CAAAGGACGGTGTGCTGAGATGCTTGGGGGTCTCTTTTCGTCGCATACTTCCAGGTTGAAGCCTGTCGCCGCGCTCGTTCGAGTGACACAGATCTGCTGTTGAGCTCGACTGATTCGAGACCGCTGATGACGGTCGGCGGGTAGATTTGCCCTCCAACACTTGCTCCTCGTCCCACTCTTCAGAGGGTCGGTGTGATAATCTCTTCTTTTTCGTAAGCTTGGAGAGTATGCTCCTATCGCCACTGCCCGGGCGCGGCTCTTCCACGGGTTGTGGCCCAATAATGGACTGGAATTCACGATGTACGTTATGAATGAATGACTGCTGACCCTCTTCCATTTGTACAAGTTGGTGTGCTTTGAAAAGGCTCAGAGGTATGTACTCGTACTCTGTGTTGTTGACAACTGAATGGATAGGGGCTACAATTCGGAACGTGAGGCTGGGTGTCGTCATGCCGGCTGGACCACCGGGCACATGAACAACGCCTGGTGCAAGAATGGCATCGTCCGTGTTAATATTCCGAAGAGAATCACGAAGCTTCCTGATCCCGCTCTTGATATGATGGATGAACTCGGTCTCCCTACCGGTTGACATCTTGGTCGCTTCTAGAGCCTCGGACACGGCCAGCATTGTCAACCCTTCAAATCGTTTCAAGATGTCTCTCTGCCACGACTCCAACGTGGATATTGGCACGCTGATCGACGGGAGAGCGTTGCGTGCCGTCCTCTTCACAAGGACGTCAAAGCCTGAGGTATTGACTCGGGCTCGGATGGCAAAGAACCCGATGCGAAGACGGGCAGTCTTCTCCATGCCCTGGTTAGAATAATGTGCCATTTGACGCAGCTTGGCTTCAAGGCCCATTGTCTTGATTTGCATTCTTGATGCGATTATCCCGCTGACATGTTCCACCTCAGCAAAGCGATAGCCAGCCATGGCCAGCCGCTCAAGATCACGCTCGTTGTGGATGCGGCGGACGAGAAACATCAGGGAACCCTTCCCAACCTGCTGCCTTAGAGCGGCACCCTTCTCGTGCAGACGCTGTCTGAACTTGGCCGACATGGGCCCTCCTGGTTGATCGCTGGGTTGCAGATCAAGGCCCACGTGTGTGGCCACGCCAGTAGCCAGAATCTCGTCCCAAAGCACACCGATCGTTGTAAGCTCCTGGCGGAGACGCTCGGCAAGTCGCACGGCAGCCAGGCAGAAGTGGCCTCGGAATAGAAGGCCTTGCTCGTCTTTGGTCGGGGATACTTCTTGGACAACTCGTCTATGCTTCTGGGATATGCGTCGCTTCATGCCGTCGATGAGGGTGTACAGACCAGGCCAGTTCCTCGTCGCCTGGAACATCCAAAGAAAGTAAGGATGTGAGACAGTGAATGGCTGCTTGTCGTTCTGTGAAGCCTCTTGTTAGCATAGTCTCTACTTATTTCTTAAGTTAAGTACCTACAGTCTGGATGAAAGAGTCGGTGACGACGGTGCTGGGAATAAGACCGTCAGTGTCGACAAGAATCCTGCCGTCCTTATCGAAGAATGCAGCGCCCAGTGTGATCTTCTGAGCTCGGCGAGCGGACTGGTTCCTCTTTCTAGCGGTAAAGACTGCGAGGCCAGCGATGGTCAAGCATGCACCTAGAGACTGATACGGAGAGTTAGTATCGCAATTTGTGCGGTCAAAGGAAAAGACTAACCAGGCAGATGACAACGATGACGGTGGCATCCCGTGACATTCCACCAGCTCCCACCTCTATCGCGACAAGAGTATATTCGGTGCCGAAGGCAGCACACCAATGCATCCCAGAGACAGCACCAGCCAGCAAGAGGGCGGACAAGAGTCTCTTCCACCACACGTTGGCCCATATAGATCGAAAGACGAAGAAGACGGATAGCGCTATTGTACTGGCGATTACGGCGATGATAGCTGAGCTGATGACATAGCTCAGTTTGTAGCTACACGTGTAATTCTGGATCGAAGCATTGCCGAGATAATGCATACCGCATACAGCTGAGCCGCAGAGGAACCCGCCGAGAGAAACACGCAGCCATGAGACGACGTTGTTGGTGCCGATGGCGAGAAAAGCGACAAGGAGGACGAGGATGGGAACGAAGAAGGAGACGACGGTAAATAGGGGGGAGAAGCCGACTTGGATCTCTGGCTCTCCATTGCCGAAATACACAGCCTTATTTCCAACAAAATGCATCGACCAGATGGCGACACCTCCCATCGTTACAGCTGCACCGCCGAGTAAGACACTGTACAGAACAAGAAGATTGTCAGCAAGGAGTCCTCGTTGTTGATTTGCGATAGCGAGCTTTAGCAGGCAAAGCATAGAAGCAGCTGTGACTAACTTGTTGAAGAGACCTTTGGATCCGGTGCGACGATTGATCAGCTCCAGAGTAGAGCCTGCACCGATCAGACTGACAATGTAGCTGAGCACGACGAAACCAGGGTTCAGACGCTGCGGGACAATATGGCCCTCATACTTGCCGAGCAATTCTTCCGGAGACATGTTTCTGCGTGTATAATGACAGCAACGATGAGCCGGTGAACTGGCCAAAAGCAATCCAGTTGGCAGAGATTGGCGGAGGGAAGAGAGGAGCACCGGTTCGCAGGAAGAGCTCGGTCTCCCTCACCGGGGACAGATGCGAGATCAGTCGCATTTTGAATCATGCATGTCCTACAGCCCGATCCCACCAATACGTCCTTCTGCGTCTTGGCCACCAGTGGAGCTTCACGGAACAGGAGCTGAGCAAATGTGACCAGTGTCCGTGATTGGGCACCGCCACCAACGTTGAGGTCAGATAGCTCGCCAGCTGAGAGAGGTAGTGCCACGCTACCTCGAGCAAGCCAGGGTCGAGAACAGGGACTTGGCAGACCGCTAAAAGCAAGTATAATGCGGGACAAATTTAAGGGCCTGAGCGGCACAGCTCGCTTGCTCGTACCACCTACGTCGATAAAATGCCGTAAGGGGGGAAGCTGGGACAATATTTGGCCAGCCTTGACTCGCATCTGACCGAAGTGGATGGTAGCCCTTGCGTAGATCTATTGCACGCAAAGCAAGGAGAGAGTGTTCGATACCTATATTCGATACCTATATGCACCATCAACACTCCATGCAGGTCAATGGGGCCGCGTAACCGTTGTATTGGGACCTTGAATGACCGAAATTGAAATGATTTACCTTTCTTGGAGCCTTTTGTTTCTTTTTTCCTCACTTTGCTTTTTCGCTCCGAGGGGCAACTGATATATCACATTCAAACAAAAAAAAAACCGACTCGAGCACGCCCGAGGATGCCGAGTCGAGATGCCACGTCTTCCATAGTACTACCACATCGCACCATGGCCACCGGAAAGGAGCGAGCGCCCAGCAAATCCAGAGAGTAATGTCACGATCTGCTGCCAGCTGAAAAACCAGCCAGCCTCGGAAAAGATTAAGTTGGCCAGATCTCGATTCTAATGTACCGACAACCCCAACAGGGAGCCCCTGACATCCATCGGCCATGTGGGACAGAGCCCTCCCGACAGTAGCTCACCGGTCCAGCTGAATCAAGGTGTGACCAAGGGCAGCATCCGATCACAATTTTGGCGCCTGCCAAGAGCGAGTGAGATGTGAGCGTCGAGTAAATCTCCACATCAGGCTCCAGATTACAGCTCCAGAGACATAATCCCCCGTTACCCGGCTTGCCCGGCTGACATCTGGTTGCACAGATCTTCTGATGAGCGATTCTTACGGAGCATGAGACCAATTGAACGCCAGGACAGCAGTGTGAACCAAATACTACTTACCAATGTCTTGGTTTCCACGCCTTGGCGTACAGCGAAAGACCTCGGGCCAGATTTTCAAATCCATGTTCCGCACTGACGCCAGGCCATGTGTTTTTTGCCGTCACCCTATTTTCCAATGGTGGATCGGAGTTAAGGGCTCCCTTTACGAAACGGTTGTGCGTGAGGCTTATGCGCTATTGAGACGTTAATGCACGATGGGAGACACCGAGGAGGCCTCCCCCGTCAAGCACGTCCTATCAAAACATACTCTGCCCTCCCTTACATGCTTCAATTCAATAAAACCATGCGGCAAGTATGCAATGTGCTCAAATCGTCTGCGGTCGGGGACTGGATGCTGTTTCACCACCGAAGGCCGGTAGAAAAGATTACTTGTTCATGCGGCCTACCAGCAGTTTGTGAAACACTTTCCCCGCCCACGGTGACGCCCACAATGCAGAGTAGCCCGTAATTATTTGCAGATGGTTTAAAGCCGTCTTGGCTCAGTGTGGAGGAGGCAGATCAGCGAATCGCGATCCATCTCTTTCACGATTGAGTGGCGGCCGCCAGCAATGCGGAAGCATTGGAAGTGTACATAGAAGTGGAGGTAGAGTACCATCATCTACTCCATACCAGCTCAAGAGCATGGTGAGAGATGTGAGGGATCGCAAGCTCTCCTCAAGCCATATTACAAGGATTCCCTCCTCGCCCACCGGTCTAGTAAACGGCGATCGCCACCATCCTCGCCAGATACGCTAAACACGAGATCAACACCAGGGTCAAAATCAACTCGGACGCCATCTACCTCCTCACTCTGTTATGCTAGATAAGCAACGGATTATGCCGTCTGGACAAATGCCCAAGCGGAAGCCTGCAGCACAAACAGCACGTTCCCGAAAGGCTAGATCTCCCGGTCGGACCGCCTCCTGCTTCCACATAAAAGTTTGAACAATAAAGGGCGCTATCATCGATGCTAGTGCCGCCCCGATCGGAAGCTAACATTATTGATCATTCGACCCAACGTAACACGTTTGGGCCTCCTCTACTCCACGTTCGTCATGGCGGCGGCGAAATTCTGCTCAATGCTGGTAAGGGCTACTCGACGAGGTGGCCCGGCACATGGCGAGGGACCCTCGCCTCGCCGCACTGCGAAAATGCAAGTCCTAATTTGTGTGAAAGTCGGTAAGCCAGCTGGTTGCATCTGGAAGAAATATGAGGTTAAAATTTAGCATGTATTTGTGCTATCTATTAAACCTCCTTTTGCTTCTCCGGCTTTATCTCAAGCCCCTTTACAATTTGGCCCATCCTGTTTAACCCCATTCTTTCTAAGCCTGGATAGTCCCTGAGAATCAATGGAATGGGTGAACTTTTCCAAATGGTTCCGTTTCTTGACACAGCGTCCTTGATAATCGTCCATAGCAACAATAACGTACACAACGCAAACGTTATTGCGGGAAGAGTAATCCACTGCCATAGAATACGGACGCAGACTCTTGTCTCCCATTCATCGCCATTTACAAATGCTTTTTGCGAACTGTAAGCTCCCTTACCTCTTTTCCGTATCTCAGTTGTAAGCCGCGTGGTGAGTGAGTCGATATTCTCTTGCAGAGTCTCCATAGATGTGTTGGGTCCTCTCATGAGTGCCACCAGACTGGACTGATCTATATTTTGGTCCAAATTGCCCCGACATTGGAGACTTTCCATCCGCGTATCGTATGAACAAGTCACGTTATTGAATGGGTTATCGTAAAACAGCGACATAGCGTAGCCACTCATTGTGCCCACACACTCGCGTGGGGCCGTAATGTCGGTGTAATGAGCTGGACCTTCGATACTCTCATTCATCCAATCGTCAACATGGAATTGCACTATCTCCGTGACATTTTCTCCGAGGGATTTTGAAGACGACATATTCGATGCTGTATACAACGTTCCATTTACCCAACAGGGCTGCTGCACGGCTTTGAAATCACTCCATAAATGTTGTCTAAGATTCGCTGACCAGAGCGGCTCCGGTGACTGCAGCCGCAGGGGAATGTCGTGAACTATGCGTTCTACCAGTTTCCCTGCATCGACAGTAGCTGAATAATGCTTGAGGCATGGGTATACGGTACAAACGGCGGCAACGTAGTCGGATGGCTCGTAGAACGCGACGGGGCAAGATCCATCGTCGATCGGGCAAGGCTGTGGACAGGTCACATTACCGTCAGGCAATACATTGCAGTGATTCCGCGACGCAGCAAGGACGGTGAAGTTGTAGACCGACCAGCAAGCTCTGTTTATGAACTCAGGGGAAGCAACCTCTCGAGTCCATGTGAGGTTCCCCACTCCTCGCATCTGCATATACCCAAACGCAGACACTGATGATCTCCCCAGCACAATGCGCATTGGTCCCTCATCCAGGTTCAGCTCGTCACCATCACCGTGGTAAACGGGTAGATTGAACACTGGGAATTTTTTGCCCTCTGAGATGTTGAGTGGCACTGGTTCTTGGACGAAATCGTACACATCGACACATCGGTTACACATCCCAATGCTGGCGTGTGTTATTGTTTGTTCCAACTCTTTTTCTCCATTGGAGAGCTGTGGGAAGCTACAGTTCCCAGACTGGCATGTAAATAGTGCCCCGATATTGGAATCAAGGTTTGGGTTCACAATTGCGTCTTGCATCGCGGTCCGTATTTCTGTGCTTAGCACACGCTGGGCAGATCGCAAGACCATTCCCAGTTCAGAAAACTCGATAGCATTCGCTGTGGTAATTGTTGGGGCCTGGACATCCGGTCCCGTTGTCCTCAGACACTGATACGTCTGAATCGTTTGCTGCATAAATGGACCAATGCCTAGAGAACTGACGGTCACAAGAATAGCCACAAGAGCCCTGGGCTGGTGAAGAATGGCAAGTGGCAGAAGTTGCAAGGAGGCGTAGATACCTCGCGAGGCAGCATCCAAACGCTCAAACTCTCCTAGAGGGCGAAATTCAGATGTAATCCATTCCCACTTGATCTGGGAGACAACCTCAAAGCTGACGTAGGCCAGGCTGGCGCGAAAGATCATGGCCAGAGTAGCGATAAGAGCGTTGAGGGTAATTCCACTATTGCCCCAGTCTGGCTGTGTCTGATCGCTATAAATTGTGAATAGGATGCAAATAGCAATGAGAAGTCCGGCTGCAAATACAAGGGTAAGAATCTCTAGAATCCAAGTGATAACGACGTTTTGCTGATACTGAGAGTCATGCTGATTCATGCCGGGAGGGTCCACCGTTTCTCTAATCAGCAACCCCTCTAGTAGCTCAGGATTACTGTCCACGCCGTTTTCTAGTCTACAAACCGGCTGGCGCTGATCTATTGACGCTCTCTCGGTATTGCCAAGGGACGAAATGTCTTGTTGAGATATGGTTGGGCTATCCGGTACGGTAGAGAATTTTGGCCGGAGTAAGATCTGCGTTGTCTCGTCCGACATGCCGAAAGCCCCATCACGGGCTGTTATGTGGTCTTCATCCATGAAACTGAGGTTCAAATTTGGAGGAAAGTAGTGACAATAGGAATTTTTGTTTCGCGATAAACTGGTGGCGGTCCAGCACTCGTCTAGGGCTTTTAACAGCCCTCATAAGGCTACAATGTCTCAGCCATTGCTTACTCTATACCGTGGGATAGCTATTGCTGACTATAGGTATTTATAAATGAGCCAACAGGAATCAAAATCACTGGAGTTCTTCCTACCAACATTTGCATGATAAATGATCCTGTGTCAGCCAATAATTCGTTTCGCTGGGGAGTACAACGCTGACTCGAAGCACAGTGCATGCACTGGGTGTAATCGGTGCAACACAAAAATCCTAGACGACTTCTAACATCTCACATAGGTCGAGCTTTTCAAATTTCTCGACCAAGAAAAGCGGTTGAATGTAAGCTAAGCATCCATTCGATCCATGCTAGCGTTTATATCTTCAACATGCTACACTATACTTTCGAATGAATGATATGAACACTAGTTCTCAAGGAATAGCGCGCTGGAGTTTTAGGTCACATGTTATGTTACATCACATTGTCTCTCCTGCATTTGCCATTAACGTGCCAAGAATCCTTCTCGGTAATCCCCCCCGGAGGTGCCAACCTTCTCTCGAGAAAGGGCGTGAACATTTTGGTGCTATACAAGATAGCCACCCTGATATACCTACCCGGTTAAGCAAAGGAATAAGAAGAAAAATAAGGTATCTCTGTACCTATTCGCCACAGATAGAGGTCACCAATTGAAGCGGAATCAATAAAATACTTGAATTTCCTATTATCCTATGAAGATGTATGAACAAGCTATTCATTCGTTGAGGAAAGGAAAGGTTATCACGTGATATGTCCCCGTCAATTGGGCTCCACCACGTCACCATATCCTAGAAGCTTGCTGAAAGGGTTACGCCTGGATCATTATAGTATAGTATTTACATAAGGATGACCCAGCTGCATCGTCCAAGGACTAGCTTCTCTGCTCCTATTTATTTGTCTATAAAATATATATTTAATCCTATTCTTTCACATATGACATGAAGCCACTGACCAGGCATAACGCGATATGTGCTTAGTCATCAGTTCTGTGTAGCTTCGCGTTGAGCATCACGGGAAAACTGATCGACAGCCAAATCCATCTCCTCTGCCTCAAGCAGCCTGCTTTGCCCGACGCCAGTCCAAAACTGATCCCTGGTTGTGTAATTTCCCCCGCCTTCCGGTGCCGATGCTTTACGATAGACCAGACTCCATGATGACGCAACCGCGACGCAAACGCATGCCAGCACTTTACGCGGTAGTCGATCAATCGCAAACGACCACTACCCCGGGTATTTCCCAAGACTACAGCCAAGCAGCTCCTTGATCGATCACGGTCAGTCGCACCATCACGCTCGCTTTACTCTGGGAGGATGATTGCTAACGTATGCTACCATGGACAGACAGCAAAGGGAAGGGGACTGCGACCTTGAATCTCGACATATCCTCTCCGACTACGAGACCCAATTCTTCACGATGCAATGATACGGACGAAAGATCCTACGAGGAGGAATTCCGTCGAGCCGTCCTCTCCATTTGTCTACTGTTGTCAATACTGGCCCCCACTCTCTCAAACGCCCGCGATGGCACGACGGAAAATAGTCAACTGTGTCGCTCCGAGGCCAATGCTAGACCTACGTCCCGATCGAGAACTGGTATAAGATGATCACTCGGTATCAAAGGAGGGCAGGGTACATGGGATCAAACTCCTCGGGAAAGCCGGCCATTTTCAAGCTACGGCCAATTGCCTCGAAGCGAGAATGCTCCCTGTTCTCGTAGCCCGACGGCTGGAAACTACGCCCATCAAAGCCTCGTTTAGTAGAAACCGGTCCTGCTCTTTACAGGTATTCGAAGCGAGTCAACCCTCGATAGGACCTCTCAGCAGGACACGCGGAGCCGACGTGAGAGGTCATCGTGGAGAGAACACGGAAGATAAGATCACAATCTCGGCACTGATGAGGAGGGCTGAAGTCTGCCAGTGTTCTTTCGGGGTCTATATAAGACATCAACAACCTCGCTTCTCAGGCTCTTCAAGGTCCACGAGGCCATCTCCCAGTTCGCCTACCAGCCCCGTTCATTGTTAGCAAGACTCACGCGGGGATCTGCCACTATCCAATCCACCCATGCTGCCTCAGCCACGCCTCACACATTGACGGCCAGCTAGAAACGGGCAGGTCCTTCGTGTCAATCCCAAAACCGTGAGGCGCATCCGCAAATATGTGAAGCTCGACAGACCCCCCGCTCTTTGTTATACCCTCTGCCAACCGATACGCGTTGACGACCGGCACAACCGGATCATTGTTGGAGTAGACGATGAATGACGGAGGGGCCGGCGATTCTAGCTGGACATCCGGCTGCACTGCATCATAAAACGCTTGCTTCTCTGCTGGCGGAAGCGGCGCCTTGTCCGCCACGATCTGCCGACCCACGGCGTTGGTCGAGATTGGGCCATACCCGATAATGGCAAACTGAGCTCCCACAGAACCCGGGTCGGGGGAAACCCATGCTTGAGGATACTCAGCAAGGAGGGCCGCTGCAAGATGACCGCCAGAGGAGAGACCGCAAAGTCCCAGTCCCTTGGGCGCGAGGCCACTCTCCTTTATGAGCTTGCACGCTCGCCTAGCATCGTCGAGGGGCGCTTGAACACCCGCCTGGGAATTCGGGAACTGGTGGACAAGAACAAAGGCGTGGAACCCCAGGCTGTTGAGCCATTTTGCAACCGCGACACCCTCACGGCCGACCATGAGCTGAACGTAGCCTCCGCCTCCAAGAATCAGCACCCCGCGGCCATTACTTTTCGCCGGGGCGTAGCCAAACAGAAAAGGCCGGTCGACCTTTGTGACAACACCATTATCCAAGGCACCTCCAGGGAGGTCCAGCTCAAAGGCCCCTTCAAGCGAGCTCTCCTCCCACAATGGCCAGCTCTGGTCGGCACCGAGTATCTTTACTGCTGACATTGCGCAGGTAAGAAATGAATGTATTCGTAGAGTGACTTGAAAGATTCACGTATTTCACGGAGAGAGTGCAGATCGATTGATTTTAAGCACCCAATCCACCTCGCCATAACATCAACCCGAGCCCCGCGCTCATTAACACATCTTCGCCGGATCCTGCTGGTGCGCCAATATCATCAGCAAAATCTGGAAGCCTTGACATGCCTATGCTAGCGGAAGCCTGTGTCAACAGTCTGTTCCAATTGAACTAACGGTATTTTCACTGTCGATTATTCGTCGGAGATGATTGGATTGGAAATCGCTCATGCCCTTGGCTGAACCCACACGATCACTACCTACACATGCAAAAACTACATCGCAACTGTTGTGCACGTATTCCGTACATCCAATTAACCAACGAGTCCTAACTAATCGGCCATGGAGCAAATAATACTGTGAATTTGTTTTCCATTCAATCCATGCCCATAGATCCCAACATACGATAGAATGACGTGCAATGAAATTAATCTAGTTCCCCTCGATTGAATCACCAGGCTCAGAGAGTCACATATCCTCGCATGACCTGAACAGCCGTTCCAGCCAAACTGACCTGGTCAATCTTCCCCTCCTTGGTGCCGATAGTAACAACAATGTTGCTCTCACGGTCTATCTCGACTCCCTGCGTGATCTCATACCGAATCGTCCGATTGGGCTCCGCATCCCCCGAGGCAAGGGTCAGGTATGACGAGAGGGCGCAGGCGGCGCTCCCAGTAGCGGGATCCTCGAAGCTCTTCTCGATCATGCGCGAACGGATGGCCACGGTGTCCGGCCCTTGGCTGACGCGCACGAAGTAGTAGCGCCCGAGGAATCCCTCTTGCCAGCCTGAGTCGAGAGTCTGGTCCACGGGGAACGAAGCAGCGCTGCCGGTCACCTTGGATAGCATTTCGACGGTGGGGAGCTCGATGAGAATGAAGGCCATTCCGTTGACAATACTGAAAATGGGGGCGGCGAGTTCAGCAGCTTTGATTTCAGGGATCACGGAAAGATCTCCGGGGGCGAAGAAGTTGGGCTGGCCAGCTGAGAGGGCGTTGAGCGTCTTCGTGTGAAGATGGACATTGTGGGGGATGGCGGCCTGGATGGTGTTTGGTTCCGGCTGTTGGAGAGGGATTGGGCCGGCCTTGGTGATGAGTCTAGTGATACCTTTGTCCAGGAGGGAGACGGCGGCGCCAATGGTTGGATGGCCGGCGAACGGAAGCTCGGCAGTGGTGATGAATATATCAATGCGACGGGTGGACTTGTCTTTCGGGTCGACGTCGGGGTGCTCCTCATGGATGAAGACTGTCTCGCTGAGGTTGAATTCGCGTGCAATGGTCTGCTTCTGCTCCTGTGTTGGGTATGGCTTCAAACCAGCGGGGATTGTGACGACGGCCAGCGGGTTGCCCTTGAACCGGGTCGATGTAAAGACATCTAGTGTGACAAAGGGGAGTTCTATTTGAGTTGCCATTCTGATGAGAAGTTTCGCTACTTAAATCCCGCGTGCTCGGTTCTTTTCTTTCTCCTTGTTGAGGATAGGTGGAGTTAAATATTGCTTTGAAATTGGGCTACCCGGGCTTTTAGCAATGTCCAAGATGTAGTTCTTGAGTCAATTCGCAAGGTATAGATGAGGTTGCATCAGCCGCTGGTTGACTCAAAGGGCGGGGACACGGATTTTAGGATGATTCACACCAGAGCGAAAGCGGAGCATCATCCATTCCTTGTTAAACACGATCTAATGGTTATTCACTACCTTACTAGGAAGCTTTCGCCATGCATCAATGGAGACCCAATATTCGTCAATAACCGACCAATTCGTATGCCGTTGCAACTTTATATCCCTAGAATGAGCTTTGCATCCTTCATGCCGCCGGCTTCGCACCAAATGATCCCGAGGAGAGGAGCGGTTTAACATAGCGGGCGCCGTATATTCCTAGTAGTCATCTGCTGAGCCTCGCATTCACTAAATATAGGATTTCATGACAGACTGTCACTTTGGCGCTTCTTGAACTAAGGGACGTCAAATATGAGCGATCCCGTCCCACAACTCATCACGCTACTCACCGCCACCGGACGCATGTAATGACGGAATCCCACGGATTTCAAGAGATCACACATACTATCAAGTTGTGTGACTCTATTACCATACCGAGTTCAGAGGTGACAGCAAAGGAAACCACTGCTTATCCAGATTGGAAGAGTACCTATCGTAGTATCCTAATTACGAACTTTCCGAGGCCACCTTTTCCGGTTGCAGTTCTCTCGCAGCTTCAATACCACCCAGGTCCGCAACTCGAACAACAGGCCCGACTTTTCCCAGCGCAAACGATTCCCCTGTCCTATATAGGGGATCGCGCTTCTCGGGGACATCTGGGATCATCTCAAATTGTATATTTGTTCCCTAGAGCTTCTATTTATAATACATCTCCCCTGCATCGAGCGCTACTCCAAGCCAGCATAGGAACCGATCACCTCCAATCAACTCCATTGTTGTCTCTTTGTCGGCAATACAGTAATGGACGTTATAATTCCTGTCCACGGCTTCAATACTCGTCCAAGGTGGTCCATTAAGTGTTTATTGGAAAGCCCACACCGTCAGGAGGCACCTCGTTCTTGACACTCTAAATATTGTAGTCAATGAGTTGGTCAATGATCCCAGGCGGATGCTATTTCACCAGCGGGATTTGGGCGTTGGAACTGTAGAGATGATGCCCGATGCGCTAAATATATACCACGCCATATCCGTCACTCAAGACAGTCTTGTTCCATCAAGTTGGCTGAAAAGACAAGCTTGCGAGAAAGCGTATCACCGTCGTTGGGCTTGGAACTGAACCTATCCACGCCCAGTCCTACCGCTGCCGTCATGAAGAGCAACCAAATATACATTTTTGGACTTTTCTTAGGGCTAGCATTCAACATATAGATGGGAGACTCAACGCACGTATGAGCCTTACCAATAAAGTTGGACACTCCGAAGTCGGCAAGTTGGTAAAGATGGCCGTCTTAAATGTATGGGCAATGTGCGTAAAGAATATTTGCCGGCTTGATATCACGGTGAAAGAGGCTTCTCACTCATTAGGAGGACTGGTCCGTGGCCGGTCTATGGCGTGTTGGTGTTACCGGAGATGACCAGGCATGGCACACAATGGATGCAATCTACCGCTGATTCACGTACAGGAAGTCCAGGAGCGGAGCATGATTAACAATGAGCCGCTGCGAATGGCTCTTCTAAACAGCGTTGGGCTCGCAGCTCATCCACGCCATAATGTATGTGGGTGATGGAAGTTCAATTCAATCAAATATGAAAAAGCTACCGTACATAAGGTACCTAGGGTCCCGAGGACTCGGTTTGTAGGGCTGTTTTAGGGCCAAAGACCCCTGGACCAAGTGCCCCGTGCCCCGAGGGTAGTGCTTCTACGGCTCCATTACATCATCAATCAGCGCGCACTGGCAGTTATTCGCACCGGCGCGCTTGAGCGCTGGAATCGCACCTTTTCGCCTAATCACCCAACTCTCACCTGCGTTCGTTCTCCCTCCTCGCGCCCTCCATCATCCCTTCTCTCCTCTCCTCTTCTTTCTTTCGCTCTGAACTTCGTTCAATGTCTCTCTACTTTTCCCTCTCCCTCGAGGCCTCGCTCGGTCGCTAGCCACATGAAACCTCAAGAAAAACCTCTGTCCCTCTCCGCCCACAATGGCCTCTACTTCCAATAGCCACCCACGACTTGCTACTCTACCCTCCCTATGCGTTCTGCCGCCGCCACGAGATCCAGTGTTCCTAGACGAACCGATCGATCAGCCTCCCAAAAGCGATACGATCCCCTCCCGCTACCGCTTTCGCACGACCCTACTCGGAACTGTGGCGGCCCGAGCTCGTCAATGCTAGTAAACCAATCAACCTGATCAAGACCATTTCCAATTCGCAAGAGCGAACGGCTTGCCAAACAGTATAGGGCTGCATGGGCGCGGCCGCCGACCCATGACGCTCCCTTGCGACCTCGAAATACACAGATCTACAGCCAATGCCGAAAACAATATCCGGAATGAATGGCTAGAACAAGGCACTGGGGAGACAATTGGGGTCATCGAACATCCAGGCACAGAGGTGCCCGAGTTGGCAGAGCAGGCGTACGCAAGCGCCAAGGATTTTTTGGATTGAGAAGAACCTCTGGAACAAGAAATGGGACGACGAATGGGCTCACAAGGTTCCAGAGGAGGAGGAGGGAGAACAAGCCGCGGCGCAAATGGGGGGGCAAGCAGAGTACCTGCCCAACGACACACGACCACAATGTCCTGATGATGGCACGCCTCGCATCGACCGCCCAGCTGAAGGCAATAATGCTCACGACGGTGCTTTCCACAACTCATTCGAAGCGGAGGAACAGCTCAAGACAACGATCCAGTACCACGCAGGTCCAAGCCGAGCACCAAAGGAACATACACTTGACAGCAAGGCCCAAGGCGCGGTCTTCCCGAACTTCAACAACCAACTTCAACCGCCAGAGGAGAGCCCCAGTATAAGGAGGTTGCGCCTAACCACCTTTGATAACAACGCCAGACAAGATGAGAGGCCGTCGCGAGAGGACAGTCGAGGCTTTGGACCTGCGCCCAAGAAGAATTGACGATGCATGCATGATGGGTAATGATAATGAGACATTGATTTCTTTATGACACCTAATGGCCAAAGTGCCTTAGGATCTACGACTGGTGAAGCGTGGAAGCCTCACTAATTGGTCAATTGAGTTCTTACGACTCGAGAGGTTGACTTCAACCTTCTTAGATTTTTTTTAATCCTGCTGATTAGCAGATGCATTCGCTTCACCGAAGTCTCACCTAATTTTGCCGGTCCCCAGGCACCCGCGATGGAACCAGACCAGGGTATAGGTAGTGCCAGTTAGCCTCAGCCCTATAATGCAATTTCGATTGGTATTACGTGCCAAGTCCTCAACCTGGTTGACGGTGAAGAACCGTATCAATCAATACGAATGTCTGGTCTTGATGGCTGGTCCGTCGGCCGGTGACCTCTCTACGCTATTCTGTTGCATCCGTCTGCGACAGGGCTAGGAGGCGCTTGTCGCGCATCTGTTTGAGGCTCCAGCACGCATGCATTCCAGTTCTACCTACACACATGTACGTCCATCCCGGTCTGCCAAGTGGTGTGCTAAACTTGGGGGTGGGCGAGCCTCCTCGGAGTGATGACGCGGCCCGGGACTTCTCCAGAGGCGGACAATAGCGGACAATAGCCAAGGACAATGGGAGCTTTGGACATGTGACTTTGGCCAGCGGGAGAAGGGATGGGTTTGATTAGGAGCTTGGCGGTGCTGGGGGGTCGTAATTCAGCTGGCATCAGATCACGAATTGTCACGGCGTTTGATCACATCATTGAGAACCAAGTATCCTTGGCTGCTCAGGGTCCAGGGAAAGGGTGAAAAGCGATTGTCCAGACGGCAGACAGCTTCCCATAGTGTGCGCTATACGCGAGTAATTGGAACGTGCCGCACTCCCGACGATACTTTGCTGGCTTCGGCATCGCTCACCCGATTTTGCCGGTTTCCCTAAATCCAAGAGTCCAGACCTTGAGGAGGGGATTCGCCGTTGAAACGGGCACGCGATTGCTGGTAGCCTGGCACAGTGCCACGGAGGACGGCATACAACGAGGGTCGTCGCTCATCTCGTAGCTGGTAGATGGATAGATTGGCGACATTGCGCATACGTAGTCCTGGCTCCGTGGGAGGGGAATATGGCGTTAATATGGGACGACGGACGAGATGATGAACTGGTCGGCCGCCTCCACGAGTCGCAAGCCGAGGGTGGCACAGACGCAAGACGCCAGCGGGTTACCGCCATAGGCTATAGCGAGCGTATAGACAGGCTAGACGCATGGATTGCCGATGCATTGGCAGCACTTGGCGTCGCGATGCTGCTGGGAGGTTTGAGGAGAGAAGGCCTTGGCTGCTGACGGGAATGCATGGGAGAGAGCGCAGAGATTAACCCGCCGGCGGGCCAAGCTGGTCCGTACGTCATGCAGGGCAGCCAGCCAAGAAGCCAGCGGTTTGAAGGCATTCTGGTCTCTGGCGTTTGTCTCGTTTTGTCTCGCTTGGCGTGCTACCTCGTGGGCCACCAAATCTCCACCAAGATCAATGTACATACGTACGTCTTACGCGGCCCGCTCCTCACCACACCATGCAAATTATTTATGCGGCCCTGGGCAGACGGGCGAACAGTCCCCCCTAATAATAAATCAAATACTGGAGCGATCCTGTGCTCACTCACTGCGGCAGCCAACCCATTCCCTCCCACTCACTACGACCCTCGAGGCACCCGCAAAGGCAGACAGGCACAGCCACGATCGCTGATCGGACACTGCAGCGACGCATCAGATCCAGCGCGCAGGAGACCCTGAACCGCACAGGACAGGACAGGACAGTCAGGACGGACAGACACTGATCCTAGGCGACACCGATCCCAGGCTGCGAGACCGAAAACGGCTGAGGGGGAGCGCACTGCAAATTCGCCACCACCATCCATCCCATCGCCAGTCGCGTCTGCAAATTGGGTCGCTGAATCAGCCGCCACCTCCAAACCCACAGCGCACTTCCAGCCAACCAACCACTAGCACCGGCGCCTGAGCTCAGCTGAGCGCACAACCGCCAGCGCATTCTCCCCTATTTCCCGGCGCTTCAGCACTCAATTCATCCGTCGCATCAACCCCTGCGGCTTTTGTCCTCTTTCTTTTTCTGATACGAATCTCGCCCCAACTCGCCCATCAAACACCCGGTCACGTGACCATCAATCGGGGTGAAACTGGGCCAAACGGTCATCTGAGGCAGCACAGCACCAACGGCGGAGATACAGCCACAGAGAGAGACAGAGAGAGACGAGAGGAGAAGAGACGAGTGACCATCGGTGACGGAGTGAACAGGCCCTCCAGATCCGCGCATTCCGCCCACGCAGCCGGCGCGCGCGTGCAGCCCCCCCAACCCTCACACATATCACATCACATATCCCCATCCCAGATGAGGCTACCTGCGCTGTTCCTCCTGGCGGCTGGCTCCGCTTGGGGCGGCTCCATGGCCAACTGGAACATCACGCTCGACGTTGCCTTCCCCGGCAACAACACCTACAAGAACGAGACCGACTTCCCCGTCGTCTTCGCCCTGCACAATGCCGCCGTCGCCTTCCAGTACGGCTTCACCATCAACTGGGAGATAGCCCCCGCCGTCAACGGCAAGCCCTCCAAGGCCCTCGCCCAGGGCTCCATCAGGGAGGATGCGTCCACCCACAAGCCCATCAACGCCACCAACAACATCTGGTACCCCGCCGACAGCGCCGGCAACAAGACCAGCCTGCCCAACGGCCCCTACCTCTTCAGCTGGCACTGGAGCATGCGGTCGTGCCGCGAGCAGGACGTCCAGATCACCATCGACCCCGCAGCCAGCATCGCCAACGGCACCATCGGCTTCACCCTCGCCGACGACGGGCCGGACCTCGACCTCACCAAGGACTGCCCCACGGCCCAGTCCCAGGTCACCATCGAGGCCGCCGAGCCCAGCAACGACATCATGGCCTCGTGCCCCTACATCAAGATCACCAACTCGTCCCTGCCCGACCCCTGCCGGGCCAAGCTGTCCGCCAGCTCCTGGGCCTGCGTAAAGGCCAACATCACGGGGACGGGCGACACGGCGGGGTGCCCGTCGCTCAAGGAGATCAACAGCACGACCGAAGACACCGAGACGAGCACCACGAGCTCGGCCTCGCCGTCGTCGACGTCGAGTTCAAGTAGCGACACGGGCGGCGTGGCCGCCGTCGTCCCGCCCTCGGCCGCGGGTACCTGGGCTGTGTTATTATCAGTCGCGGGCGCATTGCTAATATTGTAGATGATTGAATTTAAATTTCAAAGTCATGTGTTTATTTTCATCCCACCTGTGAACTCAATTTACGGTCCTGGTGACCTCGTGATGAGGGGCGCGGCAAAACCTAGTAATCGCTAATCAACAAAATAATATCTCTCGCACAAAGTCAATGATTCTCGGTCTCCATATTTGCCCAGTTCATGTATTGTAAGATGTAGGAATCTCGCCCCAAAAGTGAGCGCCGTCGTCATCTGGTATTACCTCCTTTTAATGCTTAGATCTCAAAATACTCTAATCCTGCCACTCGTGGGCGAGTCGTGCGCTTTGGATTTCAGGGGGTTCATGCAACAGAGTTATGTCCATTCCGAACAGTGAGAGATGATATAAGGAGATATTGAATGGCCTCATGATGCTACTTTTTGAGGCTTAGCACTACAACACCGGTTCGAGAAGAGAACGATGTTTGGCTTGGGAAATAGCTGGTCTGAGAAATACATTACGATGAATAGTCCTGATAAACAATCAAACACATGATCTGAATATCACAACATGGACCAAGTATTTGCAAATCGAATCAACAAGTGCCATCAAACAGATGCAGAAACTCGCTAGTTCTGGCAGAGTCCGCAACCGACAAGAGACTCTATACAGTTCTTACACAGACACGCACCACAATGCCTATTCAAATATACATTAAACCCAACTAGATAGCTTTAGGTAGTCGGAAGATATCCCTCATGCTTTTGCTTCCTTAAGATAGCTGCTTCCTCATGCACCACCTATATTACAATTACTATACGTCCATTCCATCCTACCCTATAAGGATACTTTTTACAAGGCTACGACTGACCATATCACATATATAATGACTAGAGCGTCACATCTATTAAAACTAGTCCAGGACTGAACTTTGGCAGAGCCTAAATACTAAGCAGATGAATGATAGATTTCCCCTGGGCCTCGGATAAGCTGCAGTATTAACTCGCATGTATCTGCTATGCAATGACTAGCAAACCCGATAACGCAAATGTAAATAGCTAATCACGCTTTCGAATGAGAACTTTTACTTCTACAAAACTATGTCATTTTAGAAAAGAGGCCAGTAGAACTGCAAGCTTTAGGGAATTAGGAGTTTGGATATATCTGTGGGAAGCAATCTTGAGGAGGAAGGGAACCACGATATAGTTAGCAATCTCTACCTCACGGCAGGCTTATGGCTCGGTATATGTGTAGCAGTCAATGCTAGGCTGATGGAGATCCAACGATCAAGTACTTCTTCTAGGGGTAGTTCATGTGCAAAAACTCTCCAGAGGAACGCCGTGCATTGGAATCCTAACTTTTTGGGCTCCCCAACTACGCTCAGGTACACTTCACACGTTCGTATCCTAGCGTTTTTATAGCTATTTCACTCGAAACGTCTCGATTGTCAACCGAAAAGTATACACGATGGCAGCATCTAGAATTGGCTTCCAGTTGCTCCCAGGCGACGAGAAATGCTCATGCCTTTTCTGTTACTACACTCGTATAGCTGGCCGGGACTCTAGCCGATATCTGAAGGGGTTATAGCTCGCTGAATCGACGCTCGTTCGCTCGCTTCGAATTAGATTGGTCGAGAAGGGCGGAACCAAGTTGCCGCGCTGGCGCCGAAATGGGTTTGGGGACATTAGGTGCCCTAAGTTATTTAGGGGAAAGGGCGTGTGTGGCTCGCACTCGGGAGCGCATCTTCGTCAGGTTCGCGCCGATGTGAGGCTCGATTGTCGATTGTCGACGCGACGACATGTACCTGTTGTGAGGGAGTGACGAAATATATCTGACGCGCTTTTGCCTCGGCTTCAAAATAATTTCGGATTAGATAAGCGTGTGTTCAATTAGGACGGTCTTCTACCTACCCTACACTAACATCACTCTTCGACCAGTTTACCGATGGGAGGAGCGAGGCGTGAGATAGAATCTCCAATTTATTATGTATTAGGTTCATTTATTTCAATCCTTTAGGTCATGCGACTCTACAGGCCAAGAAATTGGTTTGTGGCTGAGAAATGCTAACCCTCTGTGAGTTCACTCACTATACAACGTCTCGCCAACTTAATTTCCATGGTAAGGTGACTGTCCGCGCAGGTTAAAGTATGGCATGATGATTATCTTCCAAATAAATTGCATAGCAACTGATCTATACCCAAAATTTAGACCTACATCTACATCATGAATACAGCTCACTTCCAAAACACAGCCCACCCACCAAAGGCGGATGAAAGCCCCGTGAAGATAATCAGCGGCCCATAAGCGCTCTCCAAGCCGAAATGCCCATTCGAGGAGAGCGCCATGCCGGTCCCGGCCTTGAGCAGCGACACACTGGCCAGCCCACCGCTCACGTAGCCCACGCCCCGGGCCCCGTTCAACAGGCCGTACATCAGCCCTGAATCGATGGCCTCGTTCCCGTTGGCGGCCTCACGCTCGAAATCAGTGATGATGCCGCCCCATGTCGCGCTGTACCCCCCCGCGAAGAAGCCAAAGGTGATGGAAAACACCGCCAGGAGCGCCATGTTGCCCTTGCTCGTCAGACCCCAGAAGAGGAGAGCTGACAGGGCGGAGCCAAAAGCCGATATCGCCGTGACGGTCGTCGTGGAGAGGACGAATCGCCTGTTCGTATCGGCGAGATACCCGAAGAAGGACGACGCGAGAATTCCAGGGATGTTGTACAGCGTGAGGAGCAAGGTGGCGGAGTTCTGAGAGAGCATTGTGAAGTCATGGGCGTACGTGTTGAGGTAGGTCTGGGAGATGCCGTACCCGGAGCTCTGGAGCGCGATGGCGATGGCGTACACGTAGATGGTCCTGTGCCTGAGGAAGTGCAGCGGCATTCTCCGCGCGCGGTGCGTCTCCGTCGCGGTCAAGCTGGATGGATGTGCCGGGACGAGGAAGATGGAGACGGCCCCGGAGACGGCGGCTATTGCCGTCCATATTCTCATCGTAGTGCCGAGGCCGTACTGCTCGAGGAGGAAGCGGAAGAGGAACGGGCAGGCGGCTCCGGAGATGTTCTTGCAAGAGAGAGCGACGCCGTACGCGAGGGCCCTGTTACCTGTGGTGAACCACTCCCCGAGAGACAGCGTCATGGGGCTGTACATGAGAGCGCATCCCAGAGCAGCGATGACACCTTGGGTAGCGACGAGATGCCAGACGTGGGTGCTAAAGGACGATAACAGGAACCCGAGACCGGCGAGCACGGCGCCAGCAAAGGCGGCGGTTTGTCGCCAATGAGCCCAGTGTTTGGTGAACAGGGCGAACAAGAAGGGCATGGACAGGTACATGACACCATTGGAGGTCGTTCCAATGATACCGGTCACGTCTCGACTGCCTTGCAGGGTCCAGTTACCAGAGAAGTATTCCTGGAAAACACCATAGCTCATCGCAAAGCCTGATTGCATCAAATGTTAGTAGAACCCAGGCGAGTTGTTCGCGGCTGGAGTCATTCACCCCAAATTGGCAGCTGCGAGATGGCGGTGCCCAAGATCACGAGAGCCTTTTGGCGATTTGACTCTCTCGCTCTTGTAGCCAATCCTTCATCTTGGCTAGCTTCAAATGCATCGTGCATGGTGTTGGAAGAGTCGTGCTCCCGGGCCGCAGCGGGAGAGAGATCTCTCAATTGGACGGCTGGCTGCATCGTCATATTGAACGTCTTCGCTAGACACTTGTGAACAATGATGCGGAGAGGTTGGAGATTGAAGGCTCGACTGATTTCTTTAATATAAATGAATTGGAAATTCCTCATCCTGATGCAAACCCCGCCGCTGTTGTCACGTCATCCCTCCGATGATGGTTCCGGACTCGGAGCGCCCAGTGTCATCTCTGACCGTGAGGGTAAATAATCGGTAGATCTAAGCTTGATATCGTCCCTAGTGTCGGGTCACAGATGCCAGTTCTCCAATCCCGATGGCCCTTGAGCCGTTACAGCCGGTAGACGGAGCCAAATCGGACAAGTGTCACGCGACAGCCGAACCCAAAGCTTTATTGAAAGGCATGCAAGGGAGATGCCGGAATTTGAAGTCAAGTTCAGGATCGTTTGAGAAACAAATTTCACTGGTGACCAATCTATGTGGTTGGCCGTAGAGGGTTATATCTCACTCCCTGGCCAGTAATATATTGTTTTGCAAGATCAAGAAGAGTCGGGCTCCCCTTGCCATATTTTCTTGCCTTCTTCCTTGCCTTTCTCCCCATTGGCGCCGTGCTCTCTGGGGTCTCGTCCTCCGTATAGCCCATCATCCGAGCCGTAGTGATATCCACCGTCTTCTTTCCCTCCCCGAACTCACCCCCCGTCATGTCCGCAAAATGAAAGAAAAACTCTTGGGTCGCGTATCGGGGAGCGATTCTCTCTTGTAGCATATCTATGGCATTTACCCAGCTCCCACCGCTCAACTGAAAGGAGACCAAAGACAGACTCTCAAGACCAAAGCCAAGCCCTAAGAAAAGCTGGTCAAGTTCGTCTAGTGAGAACCCTATATCCGAGATCCGGGCCTTTCGAATGCTTGGCCAGGATATGGATCGAAAGATGGCACCTAGGGGACACCATTCTCTCCTGTTAGTTCTGCCATCGCACACACCAAGACAGTAAAAATTGAGACGGACGTCTTGAAGCTTGTTACTGGAAATGATTGCGCTGAAGAACTCCACGAGGAACTGTCTACTAGGAAGAGGGATACTCTCTGGTCGATAGGGAAGATGATGCATCTGGGGGCCCTCAAGATTAAACACCTCCAGCTGCTGACAGGCCTCCCGCAGTTGGGCCCATGAAAAGCCATCTGTACCTGGATCAAGCTGCTCGAAACCATGTTGGACTGGGATGCAGCCGATATGGAGATGCCGCAGACTCCGCCCCGATTTGTGGATGGCTATCGGGAGCTCAGTCAGAATCCGAGCTGGAACAAGTTCTGGTGGATTTGGCATGAACCCAAGTTCCGACCAGTCGAATGGGGAGGTCAAAAAAGGTAGGAGCTCTTCCTTATTGATGAGCAAGGACATGTCTCTCCTTTGGAGACGCCTGGATGTGAACCCATCTACCACACTCAAAGACACCGTGTTGGGTATTTGGCGGATCAAATGTGCGATAGTCTCCACGAAAAGCCCAGTCTCAATAAGTTTCTTTTGGGCTTCGTGTCTTTCCTTGAAGATTTCGTGACCTTGGAGTAGAATTTGTCTATACTCGTCACGCACTGCGGGCTCAATTTGATGCACAAAAGTATTTGCTGATTCAGGGTCTGCTCCATCTTGATCGGTGCTGGCTTCGCGAGGTCGCCAAGTAAACAGAATATCATGGTAATTTTTCCTCTCGCGTGGGAATGACTCTTCGTCTTGCGAGTCCTCTGGATCACCGTTCATCCATCGTCCGTCTAGAATATACATGATGTGATGGTACACTTGTCCCAGTTCTCTAAGGCGAACGTCCACGAACGAGGACAGGCTCGAAGCAAGCTCCTCAGGCCGGTACGGGATTGCGACTTGGACGCCTCGGACGCCAGAGGCGATGGCCCGATTCCTCAATATGCCGCGAGCCTGGTCCAATGACTGTGGATCGAGATGGATACGTAGTCTCCTGCACAAGAACGGCGATACGAGGTCGTGGAATAGGCGACATACTTGGCGCAGGGTTTGAATGATTTGGAAGCTTTCATTCGTGGCATGCGCCCCCCAGGGTTCGTCCCATTCTAACTTGTCTTTTCTCAAGTCTCCGAGATGTAGAAAGTTATCGAGCAAATAGACCAGAATATCAATTGGAAGGGCGGTGATTAAAGAGGATTTTTGGCCTCGGACCTGGGTATTAATGCTCGCAGTCTCGTATATTGGCTCCATGGTGGCTGAATGTCAGGCGCAAGATATGAGTCTCACTTTCCGGCAACCCTTCATCGTTGGGAAGCAAAGGGGAGAGTTTTATCTGCTGGGTGACTACAAGTTGTACTATGCTGACAGCGTGACTCACTTCGTATTTCCGGAGATGGGGCATCCCAAGTCTGGCATTTGAACGTATTTCCCCTCCCGTGCGAGCCCCCTGTCATGGATGAGCTAAGGGATTTCCCTTTTGGCCTTTGATCCAATGCATATAGGCAGTATGCATCTCGCTAGTCCCCAAAGAAGACCGGCATATGAATAATTGCCTCGTGTAACGGCGGTGTAGCTCGGTCGCTGTCCTAGACTTCTGTGCAATCCGATCCGAAATCGTTATTCCTTGCTACTAGTGTGTATTTATGAAGTCAACCAGCTCTTCTGGTTTGTAACTCCTCCTTTCCACCAAAGTAGCCTCCATATCCCTTTGATCATCGCGACAGATACATGTACCATGGGTGACCCCGCTGCATCCAAAGGCCTCATCGGACCCCTCATCCACCGCTGTCAAAAGTGCAAGGCGGGGGAAGCAAGAGAGAAGTTTCTACGATGCCGCTACTGTCGAGCAGTGCGTTATTGCAGCATTGAGCACCTGAGAGCCGACCGTTCTAGCCACAAGTCCGCCTGCAAGGGCATCAGTAAGGCTCGCGTCAAGCTGGCAAAGGAGGACAGACTTGTCCGCAGCCTCCCGGCGGATGGTGACATGCCAGCGAATGTCTTCGAGACAGGCGTGGGCAAGTTCTGGCATTTCCAACCCACACGGGACTACCTGAGGACCCGATACATCTTGGTGGAGAGACTTCATACGCTGGGCACGCTGGACAGCTACGCCCAGGCCCTCAAGCACATGCACGACATGATGAGGCTGGATCGTGCCGACCATTTGGATGTCCAGGATATTGCCCCCTACGTCATGCTGTCCTTGGACCTCGACCAGGAAAGCTGTGACTTCATCAAGGGGTGGGGAATCCAGGGCCGGAAGATTGTCAAAGGGACCGATATATTCGAGAGCGCAGACTCAATCCTCGGCGTCAACAATCTGTATAATCCTAAGGCGTCTTCTTTGCTGCTAAGACTGAAACTTCTGGTTGATGTCATCAATGTGATGAATGCCCGAAAGGTCCTCCCTCTGACTCCTCTCCCCGTTGAAATTCAGATCATTATAGAGAAGAATATGGTCCGGAGCCCACTCTCGGCACACCTGCACAAGGAATCCACCCAGGCCCTCGTGGAGAGACGGGGGAAATTAGTGCGCGGGATCCTCGAATTCAGTCAGAGGCTTGCAGATGATCACAACGAAAGCTTCATGTTCGAGTTCTTTCATGTGGCTTTAAGCGTCGAACCCCGGCGGCGTCCCGGTCTTTCATACGGGGAGAGAGAGGCCGTTATGGCACGGCGTTCTTATCCCGCGTGGCGGGGAACTGAAGGCGTCCTTCAGCTGCTGGACAATGCGGGAGCTTGCGCGATGAAGACCCCGGTGATGAATCTTAAAGGCATGTTGTACTCGTACAGGGACAAATTGGGGCAGCGCTATTCTCGCAGTGCTGCGGAGCAGCTCAAATACGAAATATTGGAAGTCATATGGGACTATCTTCCATGGGCTGTCGAGGATGCCACGTACCTGGGACCGCCCGCTGAGCGACCTTCGGAGCGGTACAGAAAGCTTGAAAATGAGCGCGTGTTCAAGAACATGGAGGGGATGATGTTCCAGAATGAACATCTGAAAGACGCAATGCGAGGGCTCGCCTCAGGCAACGGGGTCTGTGAATAGGGAATCTCAGAATAGTCGACTAATTTCATGATTTTGAAAGATTGATTCAGTAAAGCTTTAGAGCTTCCGTCGTATCATGTTGAGCTCACTGCGCCTCTTGATTTTCTGACTGGACGGCACCACTGAAGCCGGTCAGTCCTGCACACTTCTGCCTTGTACACCCAGAGGAATCATGGTTAGTTATAGTTCCATTACTGATAGATAACATGGAACCTCGCTATACTCGTTCAAGTCGAGACTCAGAGATGTTCCTTTCCGTCAGCAACCAATCTCCTGATAATATTGGGCATCCTACTTAGCTAATGAAGGTTCATTCGGAGTCTCGGACCCTCCCTAGCTACGCACCTTTCTTGGTCTTGGTGAGATTGGAGTCGGCTTTGTACGGATTTGGAAATAAGTCTCTCATTGGCCCAACGGCACCCTTGCTCCAGTGATGCAACCCGGTCACGCTTAAAGCAAAGGGATTAGGATGTTAAGACGGCCAAATGGCATGAAATCTGGATTTGATGAGAAACTATAAAGCTCCCCTCCTCGTCTGAAGTTTCTGCTCCGACCATCAGCAGCAACTCCCATTGAACTCCTTTCCTCCTTTCTCTTCATCCCGCGATTTCACAATGTCGACTTTACAAGCCAGCTTAGAGCTCTATCAGAAGCTTCCTGTTCTTGTGAACGAGAAGGCATGTTCTGGAAAGGTCTACATTGTAACCGGCTCGAACACCGGTTTGGGCTTGGAAACGGCTCGGCATTTGGTTCATGCCTCGGCCGGGCGGGTCATTCTGGCGGTGAGGAATGTCGCCGCAGGTGAGAAGGCCAAGGTAGACATTGAAAAGTCATCACCAGCTAAGGGGGTTATCGATGTGTGGCCTCTTGACCTTGCTTCATTCTCTTCAATCCATACCTTCGCCCAAAAGGTCACTGGACTCGATAGGCTCGACTGTCTGATTTCAAACGCTGGTGTCATGATGGATAAGTGGACTACGTCAGAGGGGCTGGAGACAAGCGTCACTGTGAATGTCATCGGCACCATGTTGCTCGGGGCCTTGGTGATGCCAATTCTCGCACGAAGCGGTGGTAAGTATTCCGGGGATGGTGAAAAACCCCGACTCGTCTTCGTTGTCAGTACGTTGGGATTCCAGAGCAAGAAGGAAATGAATAAAAGCGTCAATGGTGTAATCTTCGAAGGGCTTAACGACCATAAACGCGCAGACATGGACAAACGGTGAGACAAGGACGCTTTGCCGATCCGGAACCAGTGCAGAACGTACTAACAAGTTACGCAATTCACAGTTATGGTGTTACGAAGCTGGTTGAGATGTTCGCAGTTCGACAGTTCGCCAGCCTCTACCCAGTGACACAGACCGGGGTCATTATAAACATGACCGCTCCCGGCCTATGCTCGACGGGACTGGGCCACGACGCACGTACATTGACTCGGGCCTGGGTCAACGCTGCACGAGCCATGATGGCCAGAACAGCGGAAGAGGGAAGCCGCGCGATTCTTTTTGGCGCAGTGGCGAGCGAAGAAAGCCACGGAAAGCTTTTGGCAGGCTGCAAGATCAAGGAGTAAGTCCAACATTAACAAACCAACTTGAGCTTGCTAACAAGTCTGCATTAGTTATTGGGTGCCTGACTGGGTCACCAGCAAGGACGGACAGCAGCTCCAAGAGAAGATATGGGCTGAGCTTGCTGGCCGGCTTGAAGAGACTAGTCCGGGTTGCCTATCGCAAATTGGATAAAGTGATCAATAACATCGAAGCGAGGCAAAGGCACCAAAGGGAGAGGCTCGACGGGTTTTACTTGCACTCTTGAGCATTGACATATCCTTAAATTGAAGATTTCGCGATCTATAACGACTTATTTCGGATCCTTCGTAGGAAACCCCTTTTCGTATAAAAAGGGGGAGAGACCATTTGTCTTCAAGATTACGAGAGCTTTGGACATTCAGCGGAATTGTTGACTTTTTGTGTTCGAACTTGTCAATGAGCCGGTTTCATCATGGTAGAGCTTCCTTCACGATTATAAAATGTTAAGCACTGTGCTATCGGTCCTCTCTCATCCGCTTAAATACGACTGCCCGTTCGTATTAATCTCCCACCGGTCATCGATTGAGAGCTCACTGCCTCTAGACGAACTCCCACTGGCCTTGTCAGTTTTGATATATCTATGTATTACTGCCTTGGCAACCGATGCAGCAGATGCCGCGGCAAACTTTTGCCAAACCTTGTCTTTGTGGCTGTCCGCATAATCGCACACGCCTTTGATCACAAGACAAGGCAGCTCCTCCCAGACACCACAGCCCTCCATCTCGAAAGCTATGACGCCCAGCTCGTTCGCCATGGTATCCCTGTGGATCCCGGATTTCATCACGGTGTCCCCGGATGCGATGGCGCCGATATGTATGATTGGGGTCCTCATAGATGAAGAGCGTGGCTCCCTATGAATCATCTCCTTTTCGTCGCATTGAAGCTCTTCACATGTTGAGACTAAAGCCACACTGCAGGTGGGATCGGCGTCTTTGAGGCAGCTTGCACAGATGCAAGCTGGAGAGACTGTATGCCGATGGCGATAGTCGGGTTTGAATAATCTATCTGAAGCATACCCTGGGTCGTCGTATTCACCCTGACGGCCTGCTGTCGCAATCCTACTCCGTAGGTCTTTGAGGATCTCCGCAGCGTGGTTTTCGACGTTTTTCTTCGATCGGGGCGTCTTGTATTTTCCAGTGATGCTGCTGACGTCCTTATTTGCCTTTCCAAGGTGGTGACTTTTTCGATAGAATTTGTCGCCATACCTCCGCCCAAAGTCGTGCTGAACGACCTTCTCACCAATAATCACATCGCCGAGCATGATATCCTCATCCCCGTTTTTGGGCACCGCACCACATATCCCAATAACAAGCGCAAGCTTCACCCCGGTGTAGCTGAGGCGTAAGCTATTAGCGGCACTGCTCGCGTTCGCCTTCCCCATCTCTGGTAGAAGAACCAAGACTATGTTGTGCTGTCCAATGCGGCCAGTGGTGTAGTGGTTTGGATCTCCCTGCAGTTTACCGTAATTATCACCGTCGTCATCCCAGAACTGGTCAATTACATCCTCAACAGCCGTATATTCATGCCCAAGAGCGCATATTATCGCAATTTCGAATTCTTCCCGACAGGTGGGGGGCGAGTGTGTCTCCACATTGAAAGAGTCTAGAACGAAAGCCTTCAATAAGCTTGCCTGCTGGTGTCTGTTGGTCTCTTGTTACTTACCTCTGGATACTACTGAACGCTTTTCAAGCTCGTAATCTACCTCTAGGAATTTGGTACGGCTCCGAAGACGCTTGGGAGGGATATAAGCCGGGAGAGGAGTTCCTTTGTCTTGAGCCTGAGCTTGCGAGCTCACACGAACATCAAAGTTTGCCTTCTTGGGCCCCATACTCGTAGAATGTGATTCATCAAGGCTCAACTCACTACGGCGCCTTTTCAAGGTTTTCCTCTGATAATTCTTCCAGTCGTTCTCGAGATACGCGACAATCATCTTATAGATGATCTCTCCTGGGCTCGACTCGGGCTTGTTCCGAACCAACCGATCGAAGTTCCTATGAAGATCAAGACACCCGTCAATAGCCCAGATGTAATCATCACAAGCTAGTGATAACTGGTTTTCTTTGATGATTTTCCGAATGGTCAACCACAGACTGGGGTTTCCAAACTTGTCCTTTTCTTCGATGCTTATGCTTCGCCCAATTTCGATCTCAACCAAAAGTTTTGCCAGTGACAAGAAAACCGACCCGCTGAAGAGTTTGCCCATATCTGCTTGTTGTTTGGGCTCTTCCGTATTAGGCTGTTGACACGTTATATAGGGAGGAATTTCAGTAACCATGGGGGCTGGACTATCAGCTGTCGAAGATAGGATATAGATTCGGTCTGCAGACCAGCCGTTTTCCATCCACTTGAAGTCAAACAAGTGCACGAAACACCAGGCCAGATTCAAGGCTAGCTCTCTCTTATCACGTATTTTCAACGGAGCAGACGATTCAAGCCCCGCGCTCCAAGGGATTAACATCTGATGATCAAGTAGATATTGGATGGTCCTTTTTGGAACTGCTTCTAATCCTGGAGCGCAGGCTCCATCAATTTTGTATAGCGTATTATTCAAAGTCATTAGGTGAAGTGTATCATTGTACTGCAGATATTCTGCTATCGAATCGCAAATATCTGTGATGACGTATGAGTTCTCTGAGTTTACCGAACGCCTGGCTCAGATTAAGCGTCAGAGTTTGAAGACATCGACATCGATGGACGTGTTTAAGAAAATATGTACTGACTCTTGGTGCGAACACTCAGCTTCCTGCCATGCTGAAGGGTGGGCACAGGAAGAAAGAAAAAGTGCGTTACTGGTATCCGTGGTCTCTTCGGCCTTCCATTTCTTGCGAGAAGCTTGAAGCAATATACCATGCTCATGAGCAGGTTGGCGGGGACACTTTGAGAAATGTTCTTCGAGACATTCCAATGTGGTTTCCACTCCGCTCTTTCGAACAAGTCCTGCACTGAGAGTGTTTTGCAGAGCATCTCCAAAAGAAGGCGCCGAGGTCAATGGGGGAGCCCAGAAGAGATTCTCAGCTGTTTTGTTGAAGGCAGTGAGGTTATCGAGGATGGCGAACCAGCTGTCTAGGTTTTGATGAGGGAGGACCAACAAAGCACTTAATGTCGGGGCTTCTCTTCCTTCATTTGATGAGAAAATATATTCCAGTTCCCACAATGCGGGGAATTTATGATGCTTAGCAGGTTGGCTGGAAAGCAGCTGGGTGACGAGAACTGTCTCTAGATAAGAAAATATTTTGTAGGTCTCACGCTTGAAATGGGCTGCGACCTGGGGCCGAATCTCCTTGTCGAATTCAATTGATATTGCCAGTTTCATGAACTCATAGCGGAGGAACCTCAACTTGTCAACCTGGTCGGCACTGATCCCGAGTTGTCGGCTTGGTATCGTCGTGTCAGCAAGAGTGCTTTCAACCGCCTTCAACATAAAATGTTGAGCGGCCTTCAATGTGCGCCATTCTTCGAGGTCAAATATCCTGACCGACATGCCTCAGTTTTCTAGTTCCATCAAGGACTCCGTATGTGCGCCATATGCGGGCTTCGCGGGAGAATCCAGGGTACATGTATGGAAGGTGGTGCTGAGATGAAGATGCGGTTTTATCTGAGAAGAGCTGCATAGCCTCACATCTGGATGACATAACTAGGCCCATAAAAAGCCACCTATTAGAAGCAAATATCAACCGTCTCACAGCCTGTGATTGTTTATCTCATGAGCCCGAGAACACGCTGAGATATATATGCTGCTCGTTGCCATAGTTTACTAGGAAAGTTCTAGTAATGATTATATGACTTGTCTCTAACTGGCTAGTGTTAAAAGACTTTGCGGGCTTAGTCTGGCGCGTATTAGGCTCGCCATCCATCCTTTAATCGATATATCTTTTCGGTCTTCTCAGAGGCTTTTGCGGCCCGTAACATTTCATCAGCCAGATGCTTCTAATCGTTGGCGTGAGACGTATACGACACACATAATACTGTGAATCTCGACCTCTCCTGGTTATTGTCGGGGATAAAATGCAGAATCCAAGTCCTCTTCCCCCCATGGCCAAACAACTTTAAACTTTCCATTGTCTGTTGGGATTAGTTGAAATCTTGGCGATCGTCGAAGCTCATAACCTGGATGGTTCAACGACGGGAGCTCCCCCATCTCGCCTAGAGCGGGCAAGACCCCTGAACTGTCAAAACTACTCATGTCCGGTTCAATGCCATCGACAGGTGGAAGCTCAATTTCGTTCCCGACATCTTCAAATGTTAAGGACATGGCATCTATGTTGCTGTCCCATCCACTGATATCGCCGCTTCCACTAGTGTCATCTAGGAAGTTCTGACTGCCCGTATCTTCATCGTCCTCACCATTTACATTCGCTTGGAATGCGTCCAGACGCAGAGATATAAAAGAAAGTGCCTTGAGATGGCTGGATATATGGCGTTCTAGTCGCATTCGGTTACTCCATGATTGTTTTGAGCTTTCATCGTTGTCCGTCTCCGCGCTTCCCGATGATTCGGCATCTGAATCCTCTAATTTAATAGGTTGACTGTCGTGAAATCGGACCCGTGGACGCTTTTTGCGCCTGCCTCCCGCGGATCGCTGTCTTCGAAGACTGGAGCCCACGGACACAGACTGACTTGGAGGCGGTATTCGTTCTTCATCACTTGCGTCAGGCATATCAGGCTCTGCTATGGGCGAATATTGACATAGAGGGCACCTCTCTGTGTCTGGCTGAACAGGAACCGCACTCCAGGACGCGACTTCGGAGATCTGTTCTTCCGTGAGGAGATCTTGATGGGAGTCCTTCATATGTGTCTTGAGAGACTCTTCATCGTGATGCATGCTATTATCAAAGTCACATTTCCATTGTGTTTCAGTGCAAACATCCTTGACCCATGAAGCGGAATGTGCCTGATTCATATGAGATTTCCATGCACTGTACCTGCCAAACGCCACTTCCGTGTCTAAGCACTCTTTGGCGAGACAGATATACGGTTTCAAGTCGTGGTCCACGTGTTTTCTATTTTACATTAACCAGATGTGAGTAAAACGGACGCGGGAAGCCGAGATTGGAAACAAACCTCCACCATCGCGGATCCTTGAACTTTGCATTTTCAAAAGCCATAGCGCACCAGTCGCACGAAGTGTGGCCTGCCCACGGAGTTTCGGGTTTCGGAGGCTTTGGATATCGAATGTCTGTTATTAGAACTGTAGAAGCGCTTGTAGCGACGGATTTCGCTACTGTATTGTTGATGGTATTCAAAACTTGACTTTCTTGGAGAGTTGATGGTTTCGAGCGCTCTCCATGAGATTTCGAAGGCGCCAGATCTTTCAACTCACGAGGATTCCGCATGGGAAGTATTTTGGGTTGGATTTCGGCCGGTTTCTCATTTTTTATGTTTAGAACTAGATCATTTTCATCGATTTTGTGCATAGCCCTCCGCTGTGACAAGTGCCGTTGATGTTGCTGTTTGTACTTTAGGCGGAAATACCGATCGAGAATGGAGCGACTGAGTAATTTATGGAGGCTTTTTGAGGCACCAGGGTAGAGGGTTGAAACAATGAGGGCTGTGATTTTCTCCAAAGAAGTCGTCGACCTTTTGGCTGTAAACGCTTTCACCCGAGAGGCCAGACCTGCCGTAGATGATTGGCGTATCGTTGCACCGAGTCGATGAAGACGGCTGACGGAGCCATCGATTGACTCCTTTGACTTTTGGATTTTATTTTCCAGCTCTTGTAGATCTAAGCTGTGCGATCTTGATCTCTTATGTTCCAACGAGCTTTTTGTCATCTGGCTCACAAGGGCCTTTACTAGAGCGTAGCCCGCGTTAGAAAGTTTCATGCATAGTGTAAATTCGAGGACTTCGTACACAGATCTAAATTGCTGTGTAATACTTCAAGCATATCCAACACCATCTGCTGAATAAGTTCGCTTATTCGGAGCCGTTGATCAAGGGAGACATCTGGGTCGGCAAAGACACCCATGTAGGAAGCCCATGCACTGAATCTGGCATGACTGTTTTGGAGAAACTTAAGTAAAATGATACCTTTGCTATTGAGCCTGCCCTGTCGGCTCTGGAGCTCAGCGATGTCCTGTTCAAAGAGAGATTCGCATTGCAACGCTAAGAGGTAAATGCTTTGACTCCCCATTGCTACCCGTTGAATGATTAATGTGCCGGTGTATCATGAGCCAACCATTTCAAGTGATTTGTAAGATAGTATAGTTGATGCGCCATTATTATGCTTGATGGACAACGACGCCGAGAACCACTTCTCAAGATCTGACGCAATGAGGAGTAGGTAAAATCAATCACGTGGGCAGATTGCTGACTGCAGGGCATTTTACGTATGTGAAGCCCTGGAGCCCGCATAGAATGGAACATGGGTCTCAGGTTTAGCCGTATGATGACCCCAAAACTGAGCCATGACACTACCAAGGCTGCTTAAAACAACCAATGCAGAGAATTTGTATAATAATAAAACCTATCTTGATTCATCTGCTAAGAACGTTTTATCCACTAACAAACGAACAACAAGATTACGCCAACACAACAAGAGTCCTGACACGGCATAACACCGAGGTTAAGTATAATAGGGTACTAGGTATCTACAATATGCTAGTAACCTTAGTCAAGGGAACCAAGCTTTATTCAAATAGGGAGAGTAGCTCCTTTATATGTAATATAACAAAGTTTTTCCGGAATTCCTTCATTGGAAGAGCCCACATTGACAGATCTGTGATATCGAGCGTGGCTAATCGTCGTGACAGGGATCCGATACCTTATCCGTCTAGCTTGGCTGAATAACCCCTTATTGCTAGTAGAAGCATCAAGCTGATCGTGGTGCCTGCTTGATGCTTGCAATCCTCTTTGGTCGGTTCGATCCGTGCCCGTAGCTATCGCAAGAGGGAAGTTTACCTTTCTGTTCGTGGGAGGCTACAGCCTCTGATTGGCAAACACCCTAGGCGCTTAGAACAAGATTAGTTACAGCAGGCGCCGAGAATGTCGCTTTGTTCGTAAGTCGATATCAATTGCCAGGCTACCAACAATTATAAACTCCACCCTGGGTCTGATCCGAGATGGAGCGAGATGGGCTGAGATGATGTAATCTGCAAGGATTCAGAGCAAACGTTTAATTTGACACTGATGACGAACAATCTGATACCACTTGTGAGACGCTTGTCCCACTCAGGGTAGTATCCAATCAAACCGGCTGTAAATTGCCAAGATAATGTTCGCATGATTTTCAGTTTTCTCAACTTTCAATTTCAAATACCTGAGCGTTCTTCAAAGTATCGTAGTTCAGAACAGCGACCGAAGCTTCCGTTACTCTACATTTGACAATAATCGGTGTAGTGGTGGAGTGGTTGTGCTGAACCTGAATCGATCAGCAACTTAGCGGCGGTCCCTTTAATTTCGCTTGGATGTGTGACATTCACTCGCTGCGGCGTCCGGGTCATCTACCGGCAGTCACTCCGGTTTTCAGTCAAGTTGTGGCATTGGATTATTATAATTGATCTTGATTCCTAAAGGTGTTTGCGGGCTTCTCATGTTCCTGGAAATCTAGGAATTCCACACATTCTTTTTCGCTCTTGTATTTTTTATTCGAACCTAGTCGCTCCTTTCTTCAAAATGTACGGCAGGGCTTTGCTTGTGCCTTTTTTGCTCACTCTTTTCTCGCTCGTTGCGCATGTCTCCTCATTCACCCATCCAGGTTTGCTCGTCACGTCCCAAGATGTAAGCCGCGCCAAGAAACATATCGATGCGAAGCAAGAGCCTTGGTACGGCTCTTGGGAGAAGCTCGCGGCCAGCAAGTACAGCAGCTCCACGTACCAACCCAACCCTTCCAAGACGATCGATCGGCCGTCGAACGGCGAGCTTATGTGGCGGGACGCCGCTGCTGCATTCAATTTGGCTCTGCAATGGAAGATATCTGGCAATACTACCTTTGCCGATGCTTCAGGAAAAATATTACTCGCCTGGGCAGAGACATTTGAAGGTTTTGATGGCGGCGATGACAGGTATCTCTCTGCTGGGCTACAAGGATATCAATTCGCGAATACGGCAGAGCTGCTCCGAGACTACGAACCATTCGCCCAGGCAGACCTATCTACCGTTGGTACATTCCTTTCAAATCAGTTTTTGGCCGTGAACGAGTTCTTCCTTGACCACAAGGCCCCATCTGAGCATAATCATAAACACTTCTACGCCAACTGGGAACAATGCAATCTTGCGTCCATGATGGCCATCGCTGTTGTGACTGAAAACACAACGGCATGGGATTACGCAATCAATTACTTCAAGAATGGTTCCGGTAATGGTGCCATCAACAATGCTATTGTGTACATTGTCGACGAACCAGGGACCGGCCGCCCGCTTGGCCAAGGACAGGAGTCTGGTCGCGACCAAGGCCACAGTGCTTTGAACCAGCAGATCCTCGGAGTCATCGGCCAGCAAGCATGGAACCAGGGTGAAGATCTATTCTCCTACAACGATAGTCGAATCCTTAAAGGGTATGCTAGCCTTCCGTTGCCAGAAGATTCATATCGCTAACCCCGTCTATAGTGCCGAATATTTTGCTCGCTACAATCTAGGAAACGACGTACCCTTTGTTGAATACACCAATGGCATTGTGACTCATACTGAAGTGAGCAGCGCATCGCGGGGTGCTACCCGCCCAACTTGGGAGCTCCTCTATCATCATTACGTCGGAGTGAAGAAGCTCGATGCACCATGGACCAAGGCGTATCTCAACAAGACCCTCGAGGAATCTGGCGGCTTTGAACTTGGCTCCGGCGCTATGGGAGAAGGATCTGGCAGATTTGATGGGCTTGGTTGGGGCTCTTTGTTGTACCGAGTGGATGATTCTGATGTTGAATCGCCATCTGCTTCGGAAACACCTGGTCCCACTACGACCAGCGGCAGCTCAGCAACACCCAGCAGCTCAACACCCAGTGGCTCGAGCACCTTGTTAGACAACGTCACTTCAGGGACGCCTGTGTCAAGCACACTGTTGCCAACAGTTGATACTACTCCGATTCCAACTCCGACCTCGACCACTTCGCGCCAGACCCCAACCGCCCGTCCATGTTCCAGGAAGCGCAAGAGGGCCCATAGGATTTGACCGGGATCAGAGCAAGGAGAAGAGATGTTGACATCTGACAAACTCGATTTGCTTCGGGTAGGGCTGGATCTTCCCAAGTGACTGCAGCGGTCGGTCTCTCTACGCACCGGGGCTGCGTTTTTTCTAGTTCTTCATCCCACATTTTATCTTTCTCGAAATTGATGGATGGTCTGGTACCGATTCTGTCTTTTTGCCTAGGTTTAGAAACAATAACTAAGCGTACAAACAGTAAACGAGGTTTGTCCATTTTAGAATTATATATTCCAAACATGGGCTTTCGCTTCGTAAAACTAAAATTTTTAATATCACTAGTGTCTGTCTTGTAGGTAACTTATCGCAACGAAGGCATCTGACGAGCTCTGTATTTTCTACATAGTGCCCTCTCGACCAGGATAGTCGCTGCAATTGTCCTTCATGATTCTTGACTCCCATCTCCGAGCGCTCTTGAACCCTTGGAGGATGATTGATTAGCGCAAATGATACGTCCAAGGCCGACTCCAAGTGACATGTTTTTGCACAAAAGTCTCTTTAAATTCCAACCATTTTAGTTCATCAAACATTTGATAAATCCTCGGAGTCGATGGTGAAGGTCAGTTCGTGGGAATTGTCCCAGCATCTAACCCCATGGCAAATACAGTCCGGACAGACCGCAAATCTACCATTATCACAAATCTGGCAAAGGAAAAACGGCTGTCTGTCCAGGATGTCGCAGGTACAGACGTCACACCATGACCCGAATTCATCATTGGCGGTCTGCACCTCTTTCGGTCCAGCTTTGTCCCCTTTTTGGGCCTCCACTTCACGCAGAATGGATGGACTTATGCTTTGGAGAAAAGACATGACATCCTTTTCTCCAATTCGCCCCAACCAAGCTCTTAGGACCCTTCCAAAGAGAGCGGGAGAGCCGACATTGGCGTGCACTTGATTTAGTGCTGTGAACAAAATCTTGATCTCATCCGTTCCATACTGATCTAGCCAATATTGTAGGGGTTTGCCGTGTAGGTCTGGAGCATCGAGGGACACGTGCTTTAGCGAAAGCAAGTACATGACGATATGTGCATGGCCATGCCGGATGGCGACAGAGAGGGGCGTTAAGCCATGTATGTCCGGGGCGAAGGCAAGATCTGGGTTCTTTTTGTGGAAGAGCTTCATTATGTCGAGGTGTCCCCGAAGAGCGGCAATGAACACCGGAGATCGTTTGTTTTTATCAAGTGGGAGAGCTTGAAATGGCACAAGCCGGTAAAGCTTTTCTGCAAGCCGTGTATTCCCTCTAAGTGAGGCTGCAAAAAGGGGTGTCCAGCCCCCGACGTCTGGTGTGTCTGGATTTGCCCCCCTTCGCAATAGGAGCTCCGCCACTTTGGAGTAGTCCGAGTCTGCAGCATTGTTTAAAGGGGTGAAGTTGCCACTGTCGATGACGTCGATTTCTGCGCCGTGATCTAGCAGTAGCCTGACGGTTTTGAGGCTCCCGCTACGTGCCGCGGCATTGAGTGGTGTAGTCCGATCCAATCCCTCAATATCTGCGCCGTACTCAAGCAGGACCTTGACCGTTTTCGAATATCCCGCGGAAGAAGCAGCTAGTAGAGGCGTGAATCCTTCATCGCTCGGAGTGTCTATGTCTGGGGCGAGTCCCATCGTTAGGAGGCGCCTGACCATGTGGTGGTGGCGCCCCCTCGTTGCGGCCGAAAGCAACGCAGTTTGGTTTTCTCGTCCTCGAACGTGAAGATTCGCACCACGGTCCTGTAGCATATGAAGCACACCCAGTTGGCCGTATTTAGCTGCCAAATGGAGGGGAGTGAACCCAGACTCAGTAGTGGTGGCTTCAATGTCCGCTCCATGCTCAAGGAGCTCGTATGCGACGTCGACATGTCCGCCGTGCACAGCAAGATGTAGCGGCGTCCAGCCCTTCTCGCTACGAGCATGTAGATTGGCTCCCTTGGAAAGGAGCAGCCGAGTCATGAGGAGATGCCCTTTCCTGGCAGCCCTAGCAAGCGGGGAGTAATCTTGCTCATCGGGACTATCTACCTTCGCACCGTACGCGAGCAGACACTTTGCAGCTTCAAGACAGTTGGATTCTGCGGCGATCTCAAGAGGGAGGCGCTTTCCTATCGCCTTTTCTTCCATACTTGCACCCCGCTTGACCAGAAACCTAACAGCCTTCCAGTTACGAGACAACACAGCATAGTGTATAGGACCTCCGTCGGTAGTTATCTGCTCAATATCGGCCCCTGCATTGACCAAGAGCCGCATGACGCGAACTTGGCCGAAGAAGGCCGCTAGATGAAGTGACGTTCTCCCCTTGTTGGTGGCATCTATCTTCGCCCCTTGTGAAAGGAGCCACTCCACCACCTGAGCATGACCACCACCTGCGGCAGCGGTAAGAGGCGCATAACTATCGTGTACTAGGCCCTGTAGGCTCCAACCATGACGGTAAAGAACCTTGACCATCTCGAGACGGCCCTCACTAGCTGCAACGACGAGCGGCGTCCGTGCCGTTTGCCTTGCAAGCTCTCGCGATGCTCCTCGTTCGAGAAGGAGGCTCGTGATCTCCAGGCTGCCATTCTCGACAGCTATATCAAGGGGAGTACTATACTCGTATACTTCATCACAATCATATCCCACGTCGGCCCCTGCGTCCAACAGAAGCTTTACAATCTCCCGATTTCCCGCCTGCACCGCCACCTGGAGAGGAGTTCCAAATGTCAACGGCTTGGAAGGGTCAAGCCCCCTCTCGAGCAGGAAGCGAACAATCTCAACGCGGGACCCGTTTATCGCGAGGCTCAAGGGCGTGGAGCCTTGGTGCATCGGGTCCAGCTGGGCGCCCTTGTCGGCCAGCCACCGGACGGCCTCGAGTTGCCCGGTTACGACTGCGGCGAGGATGGGCATGTAATCGCCAGGCTCCAGATTGACCCTCGCCCCTCTGTCCAGCAGGACTCTGACCATGTCGAGACGCTTGTACTCCAGCGCGTAACGCAGCGGCGCGCAATGGGCAGATATTGGCGCCTCCAGGTCCGGATCCTGGTCCATCATCAGCTCGAACTCGCCAAAGTGGCCAAGCCTGATGGCCGACTCCAGGCTAATGTCCTCCATGGCGGCGGGAGGCGGAGTTGTAGCTTCTGATGGTTAAATGGCTCTGATGTCTAGCAGCTGTTGAGTTTTCAGCATTCAGCCCAACGCCACAGCCACAGCTGTGTTGTTGCCAAGCGCGTTTTCATGTGACCAGTCAGCAGGTCGGTTGGACAGGTGAAGCAGGTGGCTTGATTAATCATCTATGCAGGATGATGCTTTATTCGATACCCCGCAGCGGTCTCGGATTCATGCGTTTAAGGGAGTTGGCGGTTAGGAGCCCGTACATTGTCACACCGCAGAATGCTACGCACCTTTGGACATTTGGTCAAGTGCCAATCAAGGGAATTCCAGGGACCTGAGTATCGAAAATCTTATTTAATTTATCTAATACTAAGAAAAGGGGAAACCCCCCAAATGCTTAGCATATGCCGTGGTGAAAGCTTCTAAAGTAGGTAATACCAGCTGCGCTGGAATTGGTCTTGCCTGCATCTGGGTTTCTTTTGAAACGCACGAGATTAAATCTAGAAATCTTTGTCTCCGATTTTGAATTATTCGTCTAGACTCGAGGGGATACGACCTTGGCCCACTCGATCCCCTCTTCGTGCTGGAAGTAGTTCGTGTCAATCTTCTCAAAGCCCAGCTTCTCAAGAAGGTGCTTGCTCCGAGCATTGTCCTTGTGCGTTTCGGCGATGAAGCGACGGACTCCGTGCTCTTCCACCGACCAGTCCATGACGATCTTCTCCGCTCGGGTTGCGATCCCACGGCCGCGGAAATCGGGATCCGTGCCATATCGAACTTCAATCATCTCCTGCCAGGGAGGCAACGGTTGATCAGAGTTCTCTACTGTCGCCTCCCGGACGCAGGTGTAACCTGCCCATCGCACCTGGTCGAAAAGCTTGGCGAGCTCCTTGAACCCGTCTCCTGAGACTCTCCGCACATCCTCGTCGGGATTCTTCAACAGCTGGCCCTCGAGGGTGTGGAATGCGGTTTTCCCAGTCTTCTCGTCGGTTGGCAGGACACCCAGGGCGAAATCGCCCATGCCGCGTACTGCCCATCTCGTAGCGGTGTCTCGGTTCACAAACCAGTCAAGGGCCTCTTCGTCTGTCCATTTCAGCGGCTCGAAACCGGCTCCGAAGGCGACGCGGCAGAACTCAGCGTCGGCGTTGAGCTTGCGGAAGAGGGTGCGATAGGCCGGGACATCGCCTGCCCATGGACTGGGGAGGAGTATCAGGTCGTGGGTGATGAGGGCGAACGGCGATTGCATTTTTCGAGATGGTGAATGTCTGTGGATGTCTTGAGATGTATATTGGATCTGTGCTTGTTTGGATGGCTGGCTGCACATCTATATAAAAATTAGTTGATCTTAGGATCCGCTGCCAACGTCATTAATAATCAGCATAAAAGAAGAGTCATACCGAACTGTTAATCAATTCCAGCGGGGAAGAGGATCACGAAAGCCTTGTCCAGCTGACAAGCTGAGTCATCCGGTGCTTGCTTTATTTGGCAGGTAAGTTGATTGAGCAATATTTTCAAAGGTTCCTCAAGAACCAAGGGCTTGAGATCTGATGGAATGAGAAGGTACTTTTGCTTGATGATCGATAGTTAGCTCCGGAGTGTAAGTTATAACTCTCAAAGTAGTCAAGGATGAGTGATTATGAAACATTGAATGTTGTCACGCCATGGAAGAAGAATTACCGCATGTAATGTTCAATCAACTTCATTCTGTTACCAAAAGATAGATACATGTTCCATGATCTCGAAGCCCGCCTTATGCTTGGCTTCCCTTGCGCATCTTATCCTCGGCAGTAAAGGCCTCTGCTGCACGCTGCTCCGCTACAGTAACATGGCCCTTGAACTGGCGAGCAGGGACCTTGTTCATGAAAAGCTCATCCAGCTCTTCATAACTTCGCATCCGGGTCTCGGGAACATAGAGGTAACCCAGCACAATAAAGATTGCCATGATTGCACCAAACACGAACCCAATCTTGGCCTTCAGATTTCCGTAATCAGGGTTGAAGATGTAGGGAGACACGAAAGCCCAGAAGGTATTCATGGCATTTGAGGATGAGATAGCCACAGCAAGTGTCTTTGAACGCAAGATGGACGTAGGAATCTCTCCAGCAATGGCATAGACGGTGGATCCGATGCCGACATTATAAAAGAAGTTGAACATTGTGTAGAAGCCCACTGACGCAGTCGCGGCGGCAGTCGTATTCACCGAGCCGGAGATGGCCATGCAAATAAGCAACAGAGAAACCCCAGTGCATCCAGCGATGTACATGGGCCTGCGGCCGTAGAAGTCAGATAGCAAGAGAGCAATGGTGGCACCGGAGATGGACAAGATTTGCCCGCCAATTTGAAGCTGGAATGACTTGGCGTCGCTAATACCAATATACTGGTACATCAGAGCTCCGTAACTTCCAACGAAACCGAGGCCGGAATTGGGCTCTGACTGGAAGACCATGATGGCAATTAGGGTTCGACGCAAGTTGGTGCCTTTGAAGCAATCGAGATAGGACGATGATTTCTGCGTCTCTGCCTCCTCAAGAGTAAGGATGATTCTCTTCAAGTGCCCATCAGCGTCTCGAGGGTCCGAGTACATGCGCTCCAGCGACTTTCGGGCATCCTCAAACTTTCCCTTTGAAGCTAGGAAAACGGGGGATTCTGGCATGAACAAGTGGCCGATGATTGCGACGACACCGAATCCCCATTGAGCACAGATCAAGGACTTCCAGGCCCATGACGTTGTCCAGGTGGATGTGAAGTTGGCCATTATAGCCGCAACGAAGGGGCCGATGCACTGAGACAGGTTGCAGAACCCAATGAGGGTTGCGCGGATGGCCAGAGGCGCGACATCAGAGACATAGGTCGTGCATAGAGTCAAGAATGCTCCGATTGCGACAAAGTTGGCCATCTTGCCACCAAAGTACATGCCGATCGAGGCGGAGCCAAACTCAATGCCGACAGATGCAATGTTGAGCATTGCAAAGCCGATGATTGTTGGCTTGGTGCCGTAGATATCAGCCAGCCAAGAGGCTACCCAGGAGCCGACGATGCTTGCACCGGTTGCTCCGCCGTTCAAGGCCGACAGCCAGCGTGTGTCGACAAAGTAGGCTCCATCTTGGAGAACACCGAATTGCTGCTTGAACACGGGGATGCTGACAACGGAGCCGGATGCCTGGCTCTCAAAGCCTCGGACGATGAGGGTCCAGAGCATCAGCCCGACCCAGAACAGCAGCCAGGGGTCGCGTCGGATTGACTGAGACCATGTTCGATTCTTCTCTTCTTGTTGAATCGCTCGCCCGAGGGTTTCGTTTGCGGCCACGGGGTGCTCGGCTTGGTGGATTTCGGCCTTCTCCATCTTGAATGATGAATCGGGGACGGTTGGTTGATCGAGAGTCGCTATGAAAGGGGGAGATTTAAAGAAGGAATAAGGAGAATTCGGTGTTTGACACCACGACAATGTTCTCTTAGTGAGCTGCGGCTGATTATCCCAGAGCGCTGAGCTGCTTGTTGGGCATGACAAGATGAAGCTTGGATGCCCAAGGATATTATATACTCACGTCTGGGGAAACGTTTCCCATGTGGTGGTTGCATCGACCAACCCAACATGCATGCAAAACTTTGATCCGGGGACTGGGGTTTGTGGGGAGTGGAGTGTGGAGGAGAGGAGATGAGCTGACCCAAGGGCCTGGAGTGAACCATCAGTTGGCTCGGCACAACGCTGTACCGATCGTCTGGAACAGAGTCGGCCATCTATTGGCCCCTGGAGTCCCCTAGCCAAGGCACAGAGACCAGCCCAACCCAAAAGTAGGCTTCATCCGCCCTCAGCTCGGCCGTGGAGGTGGATCATGTGGGGAGAGAGTTCGAGTCAAGCGCCGAAGATACTGCGAGCCGCCTCCATCAGAAGACATTTAGGATCCCAGCTGCCCGGTTCTCCTTAGTTTCTCCGTTCCCCATCCTCTCCCCCAAATTCCCACCAGCAAGACAGGCCTGAGACCCCAGACGAAAGACATGTCGTCCTCCGTGGTAACTCCGGAAGAGTCGCCCCAGGATAGCACCCCACGTACCAAGAAAGCGTGTGACTTGTGCCGCAATCGAAAAGTAAAGGTCAGTTCCATTTCCCCCACTCTCCCGACCGGGGCTACTCCAAATACTACGGCTGATGCCCCATCCAGTGCCGGGTTTTGGAGTCTCAAGAGGACTGCGAGGGTTGCCGAGAACTGGGACTCAGCTGCACGCGGAACAAGCCCAGGAGGAGGAGAGGCCCGCTCAATCGGTATTGATTCCCACGATCGAGTGAGCTGAATATGCAGGGGACTGAATCATTCGCTAACTTCGCCTGTGCCAAGTCACGCTTTGGCTCAGTTGCATTCTGCCTCGTCAAATGACCAAGTACGCACTCCAACGCCGAGCCCATCGCCGCTTGCTGTTTCTCAGGCTCCAGTCACGGTAAGAGAGACTACGAGTGACAAGAGCAAAGCTCCCGGGCGGTCGGTTAATGCGATACTGGAATTGCTTGGCCCACTCCCACTCATACAACGAGTCCTCAGTGATTGGTTCAAGTTCGTGCATCCTCTCGCCCCAGTCTTGCACCGACAGCACCTCCTGCATCGAATGCACACCCATGGCGAAGATGTGGACCCTGTCTTTGCGGCTCTGGTTCTGTCCGTATGCTCGGTAACGGTCTCGACTTTGCGTCGTAAGAGTTTCGAACAATACCCAGCTATTACGGTAGAGAAATGTATCGGCATTATTGAGGACGAGAATTTGTTACTGCCACAGCCATATACCCTTGACTGGTGCATCACTTGGTACAATATCGCCTCGGCGCTCCTGGTCGATCATGGGCCCGAGGATTTCCGAGTATACCGGGCGATAAAGGAGGCTATGGCAAGTGTCACGTATCTTCTCTGTTTCAAGGGAGGCGACGGCCATTCCGAACAGGACAAAGAGATGTTAAAGCGTTTATACTGGTTTCTCTTCATGTGGCAAGTGTAAGTGTTACTCTGGCAGAAAGGCCATGAACTGAACTTGGTTAACCAGCTCGCAGAGGGGCTGAGCTAAGAGGACAGCCTCACCTCACGTTTCTTCCTTTCAATCAGGACTTAGAACATCTGAGGCCGAAACCCATTCTAGATCGTGATCTGTACCCTTCTTCAGCTCCTGAGGGCTACGCGCCCAATTGGCCCGAAGACGAAATTGCCTACATCCCTGGACTTAATAGTTTGATTGATATATTTCTCATATGGGAAAAGGGCAAGGTGGACATCGCGACCAAACCACCCGAAGAGGTACTGACGCGTGCAATGGAGCGTATCCAAACCGCCCTTGACGGTCTCCGCCCGGAATTACGGTGGCGAGGTGGGCTCACCCGGTTCCCACGGGGAGCTTGGGGTCACGAGGTCCAGATGGTCAATATTCTGATCACGGCACTCTCCATAAAGTCCAATTTCCTACAGCACCTGGGCTCCCTGCTTCCCGGGATCACACATCAAGATATTGTCAGGTCAGTGAGGAGCCTCATCGCCTGCCCTGCTTCCTCTCATGCTAACGTAGCCTTCGCGCGTTTTGTAGTGACGTTCTTGAAATTCTCAACCACCTCCCGGAGCCAGTTTTTGAAACGAATGGATGTGCGGCAGTGCACAAGATCCGAGATATCGGATCAGCATATTTAGCTGAGCTTCGGATCGGATCAGGGGTAGTAGTTGGAGACAACCAGGCTCAGGAAAAAGTGTACCAGTTATTGAACAAGCTTGACAGCCTAGATTTTCGGCCATATGCGGAGAGTGTGGAGGTATGTGCGGCAGATCCATAGCGAGGAATTTTGATATTCGGTCGAACGAAGACCGAGAGAGTCATTCTGAAGCAACGGATCACGATGAATCGGGGTTCGTCCCATCGTGCCCCGTGCTGGATGCTTGAACGAGGCCCCTTAATGGGGCAGCATAAATCTCTCTAGGAAATTATGCTTCTTTGTGCGAAGAAATGCATAAGCATTGAAAATGTACTCCAGTCTTGGGGCAAGCCGGACCATGCCGGCGGCGTATATTCGGACTTGAGACTCGTAAGCGGAGCCAGCACCCGTGCTTCTACGCCATACGACTTACCGTGTTGAAAGTCTCGGGCGTCAACTCGCTAATTGAAATGTATCTCTTTTTGAATTTTCGTATTCATTGTGTTGAGTTGTCGGGCTCTGGCAGCTTCCATTGCTGTTGAACTGTATTCTCTTTCTCCTGCGTACGTATCTCTTTTTGAAAACATTCGTTCTAAGCAATGTTTCGTCGTTTCCAATCCAAATTTCCCGTTTTATAATGCATGATTCTGCCATTGGATGAATCTTGGTATTCACATCGCACGAGGGGGATTTTCGTCAATGTTACCAGTAAAGAAATAAGAGGAGAATCGCATCCGAGAGCCCGAAGTAGCGTTAGGACGAGCTGCCATGAAAAGCATGAAGATCCTACCAAGGTAACCGAGTGCCTAGCAGAGGAGCTAATTGATTAATGACTATATTGATTTTCTATACTACATTTAGAGAGTACAATATGACCACGGTTGACATAAAATCTGTTTAGCAGGCTAGCGTTTTCTATGTAGGGTCATGGCATATGTTTTGACTTTCTACTATTTGCGATATAGACTGTTGTATTACAAAAGATTATAACACTCGATTTTAATGCCTTTGGAGCGAGCCGATGTAAACATCCTCATGTGAGGCTTCTAGATGTTGATCTAGGGCTTAAGAACCGGACGTACTACTTGTGATTTTGACCTGAATTGGAATATGGGGCTGAGAGCTGATCTAATTGATGAAGGATCAATCACAGTATTTCACAGCTTGCTTATTTAATCATGGAGGGCTGTAAATGCTGACATTGGCTTAACATTGTGAAGATGGGATCGAGTCTTCAAAAAGCTTACCCCGCTCTTCAGCTCGTCATCTTCTTATCCGGTGTAGACTAACATTTGTATTCCTGCCTCGGACTGGTCATGGATAACAGCCAGATACCCATAGCTTCCAACGAATCTCATTCTCAGACAGGAGCTTTAGGTAACCTTCGTGGTTTCGACGACAACGTGGAAGCACTTCAAGGCGTTGTCCAGGCAGACTGTTGCCGCGGCCCAGAATGGATAACGTCTGCGGCGGCTCTTGTTGGCCTATATCATACCAAATTCGCGCTGACTCGGGAATCACGATATCTGAGTCTTGCAATTAGTCTTGGTGAAGAATGCGCTATTTCTATGACATCAAATCAAGCAGGTCGCTTTTATCATGTAGCAAATTGGATGGTCGACAGATATTATCTCGAGGAAAATTTCTTTGATCTCAAAAATGCCTCTAGTTGTATCCAAAAGGCATTCCAGGCTGCCACCCGGGACCATCAAATCTGGAATGCATGCCTCATCACAAATTCACGTGTTCTCAAGGCCGTTTATGACCATACTATGGATGTGGCTGATCTGGAAGAGGCAATCAAGGCATCTAGAAATGCGGCTGATTCAATAAAATCAGGGGACACAAATCGGCTTGCTGCGCTCACTCATCTAGCTTCACTGCTCCAAGACTGGTATTTGGAAACTCGCGCAATATCAGATCTCGATGAATCGATCAAAGTTGGCGAAGAAATTCTTTCACTAATGCCTAGTGATGATCAAGAGAGACTCTCATATGTCAACTATTTGTCTCTGAGTATCAGAAACAAGGCACTGACCACGGGTCTAGCCCAAGGGCTTGATAAGTCTATATCACTCTTGCGAGAAGTCTTGGCCGTAGCAACAGGAAGCACCTTTACCAAAAGAAAGTGTTTGGGAAACCTCGCAATGTTTCTCTACGATCGATACAATATGAAAAAGTCGCCCGGTGACCTTGATGAATCTATTCAAATTAGCAAGGAGGAGGTGAAAGCATTGTCGGCCGATGACCCAATGCTCGCTGTTTCTTTAATGAACCTCAGGCTTCGACTAGACAGCAAGTATTTTGAAGAGAAGAATGTTGAAAATGCAAGGGATCTGGTCATCGCCACACGAAGGACCATCAACATCATACCAAAGGGGAGTCCGGACTACACAGATCTTCTAATTGACCTTGGGTCAGAGCTGTACAGGCTACAGAGCCTTACGGGTCAGAGGTCAGACTTAGAGGAGGCAATTCATGCGCTTAAAAAGACCCAAAAGTTAGAACATCACCATACACCTAAGGCAACTCGCCTTAATTTTCTCTGCGATCTGTTCCATAAGAGGTTTCTGCAGCGAGGACAAATGTCTGATATTCTTGAAGCTATACAAGCTGGCCGAAGATCTATTAACAACACAAGCAAAGATGATCCTATGCTACCCGATAGACTTTTTAGTTTGGGATGTGTATACCATGACCTATATCGACGGTATAGGAACAACAAGGGCTTTGAGACCGCAATACAACTGGCTCGTGAGGCTATAGACACAACTCCCAAGGCCGACAGCAAGAGGTTCCAATTTCAGAGCACTCTTGCTCACTGGCTGGGGCGAGAATATTCTGTCGGCGACTCGCTTCATGCTCTGAATGGGGCGATAGAGCTCGGTTCAGAATCGGTGGGGTCAATTTCCACTGGGCATTCAGACGGAACATTTTGTACGGAAGCGCTAGCAGATCTTTTGTCTCATCGATCCCAGTTGGAAGGAAACGATAAAGATTTAGACAACTCTATCAGTCTTGCCCAAGAGGCTGCAGGTTCCACCGCACTTGGCCATCCAGATCGACCATCACGGCTACTTCGTGTGGGAATGCTGTTGTATTGGAGATACAACGAATCTGGAGATATAGGTTCATTAGAATCTGCCATTCAATTTCTTCGGGAAGCAAGAAAAGAAGCGCCAGACCTTTCAGATAACCAAGCTGAAGCCTCTGCTCAGCTTTCATCTCTCCTTGCGACTCGGTATGACAGGATTGGAGAATCAAGCGACTTGCGTGAAGCCTCAGGTCTCATATCAGAAAGCATCAATGCAACTCCTCAAGGGCACTCGTTGATGCCTGAAAGGCTCATGATCAAAGCAAATATAGCCTTTATCCAATTCTCAAATACCTGGAAACGGGAGGATGTGGAGGAAGCGATAAATCTTGGACAGCAAGCCGTCTCCTCCAATTCACAGCATGGGAGCAGTAGACGATGGATGATAGCCACGCTCAGCGGTTTTCTGATTAACAAAAGCTTCATCACACAGGACGTTTCTGATATCAACATCGCAATCCAGCTCCAGCGGGATGCTCTAAAAGGACTTTCAATTCATGACAGAGAGTTCCCAGGCTTCGCCACAAACCTGGCATCATGCCTTTCGCGGCGATCGCGCCATGTATCGAACGCCGAAGATTTGAATGAGTCCATCCAACTCTCTCGGGACGCACTAAGTGGTATAAACCCAAGTGATCCGCAGAGGGGAGGCTATCTTTTCAATCTTGGCAGTCACCTTCATTCTCGCTACCTAAAGCTGGGGGGAATTGCGGACCTAGTAGAAGCGATCAGTTTTGGCCAGGCGGCTATTGAAGAAAATAATTCCGGCATCCGTCCTCGAGCTCAATGTCTCACTCACCTTTCGGAGTGGACCGGTCACCTATATGAGAGAACGAACGACGTTCTTGATCTCAGAAAAGCGGTTGATTTAGCCCAAAAGGGCGTCAACATGACTCGAGAAGGGCAATATGAAATGAGCTTTAGGTTGAATATTCTCACACAAAAACTATATGAATTATACAGGATCACCAACTTGGAATCTGATCTTCATGAAGCTGTGGTAATGGCCCGGAAGGGAATACAGCAGGCTACAGAGAACTCGCGAATGACTTCTCTAAACCTAATGGGTGCTATCCTGATATCGAGGTACGACGGCACGAAGAATGTGATAGATCTTGACAGCGCTATTGATCACATTCGCAAAGCTATCGACGTAGCTTGGAAGGAGCAAACTCCAGGATACTTGATAAACCTAGCAGTGGCATGCCAGAAGAAATACATGCACGGTCACCAAAAGGAGGCTCTTGATGAGTGTGTGGGGTGCCTGAAAGCCGCAATTAGGCATACAGATATATCACTGGTACTCAAATTGTATGCACAAAGAGAACTTTTAAAAGTATTTGCCGACAATCTACGGTGGGAAGAGGCCTTGGAGGTCGCAGAATCTGCGGTCTATATTATCCGACCATTACTATTCGGCTCATTTGAGAGCTTTGATAGGCAGCATTTGCTTCGTCATGTTTCGGGTTTGGGCTGCGAAGCTGCATCAGTGGCATTGGGGTCTCGTAAGGGCGAGGCAGCAGCTTTACATTTCCTCGAGCAATGCCGTGGTGTACTCACAACATCAGTTCATGATATGCGGAAGAGGATACCAGAGCTCGAGAGGGAACTTCCGGAACTAGCTCAAAGATTGTTCGAGGTGAAGCAGCTACTTAATAAGGTAGGCATCGGCAAACAAGGAGACCAAGTTCAACATTTCTCTTTCTCTGAGCAGAGCACGGACAAGATTTTCGATGAGGTTCTCTCCGATATCAGAAAGCATCCTAAATTCGACAATTTTCTACTCCCACCTACCGAATCGATGATGAAAACTGCCGCCCGTGATGGCCCTATAGTTGTTGTGAATGCTAGCGTCATCCGCTGTGACGCAATTATCATCGAGCGTTGCCAAATACGATCCATTCCTTTACCAGAACTCGAGATGGAGGTAATTACAAGCAAGGCACAAATGGACCTAGGGAGCACGCCAGTTTTAGAATGGCTGTGGGACACGATTGCTCACCCGGTGTTTGATGCCATTGGTCTGAATGAACGCTTGAAGACCGACGGCAACTGGCCGCATATTTGGTGGATTCCGACAGGACCCCTGAGTAGATTTCCGCTTCATGCGGCAGGATATCACTTACAGTGCCCGTCCGAAACCGTAATCGATCGAGTGATATCTTCATACAGTTCATCCGTACGGATGTTGATTACGGGATCTGACTCTCCGCCAATCGCCTTACCGGTTGCTAAGGCAGCTCTGCTTGTAACCATGGAGAATACCCCTGGATGCAGTAGACTCCCTTTTGCGCTTCAAGAAACTCAGGAAGTCCGAAAAATTTGTATGGGAATGAACCTCACCATCCTTGAGCCAAAACCCTTCCGACAAGACGTTCTTACCAACTTGATGAGTTGCAACATTTTTCACTTCGCCGGTCACGGTAGGGTCAACTTAAACGATCCGTCGAAAAGCCAGCTATTATTAAAAGACTACGAATCCAATCCACTAACAGTAGCAAACATAATTGAATTGGATTTGAACAAAACACGTCCTTTTTTAGCCTACTTATCGGCTTGCGGAACAGCAAGAAGTCGAAATGAGCAGCTTATAGACGAAAGCATCCACCTAATAGCGGCTTTCAAAACCGCCGGATTTCGTCATGCAGTAGGAAGTCTCTGGGAAATAAATGACGATACTTCAGCCAATATGGCGAAAGGACTATATGAGGAATTGGGCAACGGGATGATGTCAGATGCAGCGGTAGCTAACGCTCTTCATAACACGACTAGAAAGCTGCGGGATCAATGGGTACATTCAATGACTAAAAGCACCTACTCTCGAACGACACGCATCATTGATCATGAGGAGCTCCCTCGGGACATGGAATTAGATGAAGATAACTTTGGCGGGCTTTCATGGGTTCCATATGTTCACTTCGGGCCTTGAGATTACAGGAGGTTATCCTACACAGGATCGGTTTTGCTGCGCCCATCAAAAAGTCTTTCTATTTGGTACTCAAATTAAATACATCGCAACTTCGCTGGCTTCCCTCTCGTGATTCCAAGCTTTATGCGGATATGTATTGGTTAAACCAAACCGCTTGAAAACATGCCTGCTTACTTGCACTTCTCTGCGTTGTCCGATCAAGTCGTCTGCAGTTGCAGGGACAAGTATGAGGGCGCAATCATCATCGAAGCTATTGGCTGTATAACTCTTGGTACAGAGACGAAGACAAAACACGTTCTGGGGCAAAGGGAGGTGGCCTTGGGGGGTTTCTTGTGATCGAAAGCCCACATGTTGATCAATTCCGTCCTTGAACAAGCGCCTCGAATCCATAACTCCAACTTTGAGTATCTTTCCAGTGAGGAAGATGTGGCCTGAAGTCGCCGGCCCAAATGGGCTCACAGAACTGACGTCGCATTCAGTCCGGCTTAAATCGATAGTAATGAAAGCTTTGGTGTTTTGAAATGTTGCGCTACCCCATGTGATCTTCCGGGAAGTGGCGGTCCAGCTCCAACTAGGACCAAGGCAAGATGGTACTTGGCATCCCTCAGGCTCTTCACCAGGTACTTCGTCGATTGGATACCACCGCAAATAATTGACCAAGTCATGTTCCCAAAGTCCAGCTAGGTATCTGCCGGTATATCCATTTGCCCATCTGGAGGCTAAGTGGCTGATTGCTGCAAGCTCACACGGCGAATTCCTTGTTTTCAGTTGGGATAATTTGGCCACCAGATTTCGCCAATGCTCATGATAGATCCACGACCCATCCGTCTCGGTAATATACTTTGCGCCAGTCTTCAGAATACGTCGTAACGGAAGACATGGATCCTCGTCAGAGTCCAAGAAGCCCCCACATTCACAACTAATGGAGGTTAAACAGTCGAAGATGGCCTCGCCTTTAGTGAACAGAAGCCTACGTCGAGGCAGAAGTTGCTCTTGGAAACTCTCAGTTCGACTCCCATAGCGGGTCGGCTTTCCCGTTAGCCAGTCCATCGTATCTGGGTCGTGAAAAAGCCAGGGTCGAGCATATATTTCAAATGGTCTTCCATCAGGCCATGTCCCAGAAATGATGGTTGGAGATTTTCTGGAGGAAAGAAAACCATCATTACCCTCAAGCAACTCCGTAAATATAAGAACCAATTCTGCATTACTATATGCCATAGCCTTCTTTTCTGATTCGATTTCCCAGTCGTCGTCATCATCGTGGTTCTTGCAAAGAGCATTTATCCAGAGATATTTAATACTCAACTTCCGGCACACTAAAATAGCGTCCTGAAAGTCCCGGGGCAGGGTATCATACCGTAACTCAACCGAGTCTTCTTCTAGAACTTGGCATTCAGAAAGGCTTGAGAAGCTTCTCTCTTCTTGTTGATCATGTAGTACAATATACGGCTCTTGTGGTAAACCATATGCCTCCATCAACCGGATGTCCATATTTGACTCTGGGCCAAGGCTGATAATTCTCTCAGGGAGCTGAGGTTGACAAGTGGGTTTCTCTGCATCGATACAGATGGCATGATTTTCCTTGCAATTACTTATCCACTTTCGGACTTTCTCGATGAACACGAGTGAAGTAGGGTCGGATGAAATATGGCCAGCTAGCCCACCCAACCTTGTGGGATTGCTAGACTTGGGTAATTCGACATTCATGAGGCAGCCGAGGGCAGGCCATGGACAGGGAGAAGCTGTGGATTCATATCAACATCAAACGCCTATTGTTTCTACAAAGAAAGCGCTACTAACTTACTAGGAAGAGTATAGACCTGATAGTCCTCCATGTCTGGCTCATCAATCAAGAGTTTGTAAGACATGCCAAAGTCCCAAGTATCTGTCGCATAATGATCCCGATCTCGCGCAACAGAGATGCGGAGAACAGTCTTTTCGCAAAAGACAACCACAATGTACAGTGCTGGATCATCCCAATCAAAATGCCCATTCGGGACGTTGGTGACCACCTCTTTCAAGAGTAAACAGGTGATACAGCCGGCCGCTGATGAATTTTTGAGATCAGCCAGACTTATTTGAAGCTCCCAAGATACCAACTTTTCTGTTGCAGAAATGGACTGTGATTCGATTCCGGATAGAAGTCGCCTCGCTCTGTCAACTTTCCTGATTGAACTCGCCAGATTCATCATAATCGTGGTGCACGGCACCATAGCGAAGGCTGACACGGTATTCAAATTGGCACATGTGGGACAAAACGCTGGGTCTGACGTAGCCTTGAGGACCGATACGTCGGCAGGAAACGGAAGGGTTTCAAGATCGAATCTCAAACTCATATCGAAGCGAAATGGCTCTACTGCCCAGACAAGGGTCTACGCGATGAAAGGGGCTGTTGCCGGTCGTGGTTTTCGTGAGGGGCAGCCGATGATGCTTATCCAAAATTCCAAGTCATGTCAGCTGCAAGATTCCGAGTTGGGAACCAACAGTTGGGCATCAGCTATGTGCCGAGCTTCTCCCAGGGGCGCCACATAAGTCAGATGTTTCAAACTTCTCACGTCCTACTTCTTGTGGAAAGCAAGGATGAAAGCCGATCGTGAAGGGAGTCTTATGCAATACCATAATGGTTTCCGATACACTTCGTAGATGCTGCTTCAGAAACTTTTTGTTTTAAGGTCACAAATTTCTGTAAAGGTCGAAACTGTGTGAGATTCGCGAGATCTATTCTATCATCTATGCGTTTACTTATTCGCAGCAAGTTGCTGCTTGGATCGCTCAATCCAAACGTCATCCAATTCACCCATGGTCAACACCCGCCTGGACCCGGGCTTACCAGCCTGAGCCCAAAGCTTCCCCCGTAGTAGATACGTGGGTGTGCAGCTCCAGGCGTGGCAGAAGCTATTGTTTCGTACATCCCCATACGGGCTGTCCCTGCAGTCATCCGGGTTGAAGGCCTCCCAGAACGTGTCTGCTCCCGCGTCTACCATCTTTCCCCAGTACCCTGTCATTGTCTCTAGACACTCGTCGATACACCCAACTGTAGCGAGCGCATCACACACATGGTGCCACAGGTAAGGCGTAAGAGGCTTGACGGCATCGGGGTGTTTCAACGAATTGAGCAGCGCTGTGCGGGCGACCTCCTGGGGGAAAGCACCCGAAAGGGCGAGCCACGATGCCGAAGCAAAGCTGACCTGCGATTTTGGCCCGGAAATAAAAAGCTGGTCTTTCGAGAGGAAGACCTTGGCACCCTCCGTCATCTTTGATACCATTTCCTCGTGGGGAGGTTCCTTGCCGAGTAGGCGAGCCAGGCGGTTAGTGGCTTTGAGGCAGTAAAGCAAAAGCCCGTGGAGTCCAGCGTTATGATCTAGTTTCGGTTGCCAGTCAAGGAACTTCCACTGCTTTTCCCGGGACTCGTCAAATGCATTTGTATCTGGATCAACATGCAAAAGGGCCTTTTTCAGGCAGCCTTGGACAGTTGGCCAGAGCTCCAGACCGGCTTCAACATCTCCTGAGGCTTCCACATAGTCATAGACCACGGATGCGAAGAGGGCATCATAATCAACGATATAATCCGACGATGGGGTAAACTTGGGGAACTCGAAGAGACAAGCAGGGAGGGAGTCATCTTCTCGAGGGATTGCTGCAAATTGATAGATGCAGCGCTTCACAAGGTTGAAATCCTTGAAAGTCTTGTAATTAGCAAGAGCTTGAAGCCGCAAGTCACCCAGCCAAAGTCGTCTGTCTCTGCGAGGGCCATCTTCGAATACCGTCTGCATACAGTCACGTAGCGTCATGAGGCTGACGTGATCTATGTTGGATAGCATATCGCTTTGGAACAAGGGAGAGTCAATCTTGACTTCTTGACCGATGGCGCTAACGCACTCGCAGGTGACATCGGAAAAGGCGACCTTGTATTTCGGGGATGTGTCGATAACCTCGACGCGGAGGTAGCGGAACGAGTAGCGCCGGCGAAGCTGGAGAATCTCTGGGCACATGTCGATGTTGATGACCTCGTCTGGAAGCCAGGACGTGCTGATCCACGTCCTGACATTTTCCATCCCGAGGGTAACATCGAGAGGGGACTCTCCAAAGGTCAAGCGCAGCCTACATGGCGCATCCATGTGCTCGCCGCGCGCATCGAGCTTCATCGAGACATATCCCACCATGTGGATGCCGAAGTCCAAGATGAAGTCATCCCCTTTTCCCCAAGACTGAGATTCAAACTCAGAGATTGTTTTGGTCACCAAGGATGGTTTGACGCCCCAGTATTGGGACTGATCCGCGTCAAACCGGATAACATGTTGGGGCGTCCTTGTCCACCGACGGAGTGCTGGCTTTAGATCTTCAGATTTTTTTGCGAAGGCGTGATTCCATCGCGTCTCTAGCGTCTTATCCTCCGTAAAGAAGTCTGTAGGGAGGTCTGCCATGGTGTCAATGAAGCCAGCGGGGATAGCTCAGGGTAGTATTGTGTTGTACGATCCAAGCCACGAGGGTGAAGATGCGGTGTTTGTGATTTTGAAGAGAGAGCTCGGTCCATCACATGTTCTCGGGGCATTGATCGCCGGATACCCCGTCATTCTAAATGTCTCTTGTGACAGGATACGGGGACCCCAATAATGGCCAAGCCAAATAAGATATTGGCCGCGGAGTATCTTCGCAGAATGACGCCAAAGATCAGGGCATCAGGATCGTTGCTCCACAAAGTCCCGCAGGACGCGACTCATTCAGTTCCACTTCTGCCTCCTAAATGGAGAATCTCCGGACTTGGCTTCGGTGATTCTTCGATTCTAACCCCGCAGCTGAAATGGTTCGGCTCCTCTCGACAACCAGCACCGTAACTACCCTGCAGGAGCTAAATTCTGAGAATATGGTGGCAACGGATGGATTTTTCCACTCTTCGAGACCATCGCGAATGAAACCAAGAATACAAAGTATTGGGTGGCTGATTTAGAAGAGTAACGCTCTCGTATGTGGCGGCGATATAGGCGCTGGATGTCTCCATCAGTCGCTAAAATGCCAATTTTTACGAACAATAACTACATTTGTCACAATTGTTTGACGATTGTCAAGGGGATAAGATTGCATTGGCGAATATCGCCTGGCTTAATTTCCAGCTGTCTACTTCTAGGCTAATTAACACTCGGAAGATCAAAAGGACAAGACAGGAGATAATTCATTTCTTCGTTAACAATTCCCAGCAATTTTGCATCGAACCCATGTATTGTCGATAAATCAACGCACCATGCGCTTCTCATGTCGTGAATCGGAGCGTTCACTCGGGCCAAGTTGCTTGGCGTGTCTCTCTTCATCTTCTTTGACTGTATGAAGAGGGTCTTGGGCGTGTTTTGGAGCCTGTGTTGCATACTAAACACTAAGCGTAAAAGTTCCAGACAGCGTTTGTCGTTTTTGAATTGCCTTTTGGGATGGTCCTTGATAATACGAGATGGCATACCTCGGCTTCGTCAGTAACTTAGTCTCTTGACCACCGGCAAACAATTGTCCGAGCCATCTCCGTCTCGGTAGACAAGTGCATAAAAATTGTGTGCCAGATATTCAGTCCAGTGCTCGTATTTTCCAGTTCTCCCTGTGAGCTTCTTTGTTGTCGAGTTGCTTCAATTTAAGACGCCCACGCGGTGCGCTAGTATACTTCAGCCGACGGCGCACAATTTGATGATCGTCCGAAGATCGTTGGATAAGCGCTCTTAAGTGTTCAAATCCTCATAAAAGAATTTCTGCTATGCAGTCGTCCGATTTCTAGACTAGCAGCACTAAAGGTCATAGAACAAGCACTCCACAAACGCGACTTCTTGTATGTATAGGTATTAGAAGCTAGGCTGTTTGTTTTCCTGGAAACAGTACGGTATTAAAGGAGCATATCCACCAGGCCACAGTCCATGTTCATAACCTTTTGCGGTTACATCAATTCAATCTCTTCAGTGTCACCTGTGATTCGTCAATGACTTCCAGGACGATAGCCGTTACGGCAAAGAAAGTAACAATGATATGCCGAAACAAGAGAGCAAGTCTATCAAATGCATGCAACAGGTCAAATCGTATTTACATAATGCATTGTTGTCTTATTGTTGTTGCGGTGGCACAGACCTCTGGCTTGGCTAATCTGTTGACACCTAAAGCGACACCACGGCTGTTTTCCTACGGTGTTAGGCAGACTCCTTTGTTCGTTGATGATACCATTTCACTTAGCAGGTGTATTATGTAATTGACATACTAGACATATAAATATCGCCGCTCCCTCTTCAAAAAGGCGAAAGATTTACTCTTTACCCCATCCCATTTGTTTCGACCCTGTGAGCTTGGTTCTTGATCCTCATATAGAGACTTTAAGGTTTCGCCTCAGGTATTCCCGTTTCTTTTATGTTGATCGCCGTAACAAGCCTCGCCAAGCGTGTCATAGTCTCGCCCTCAAGTTCCCTACCGCGCAATTTCAACATCATCCTGATTCGCAATGTCTCATAAGAGAAAACCCACAGGAGAAAAGGCTCGGAGCTTCAACAGGCCTTTTCTGTTCCTAGTACTTGCGAGCTTTGTCTTCTTCTTCATTGGAAGATACAGCGCAACAGGTAAGAACAAGTTCCCCTCTCTTTCCGACATTCGATGGCTAAATCCCCCAGGCAACGGGCAAGACGAAGTGCAATCTCATGAGCATGGGCCTTTGAAAACCCTCTGCTATATGTCTCGGAACCTACAAAGACACCCTGATTTTTTCTCTGCGCTGGGTCTAGATCCGTTCTCATCTGAATTTCTCAAGTTTCGTCAAGGCATGGGCACCGACGAGATGGTGGAGAATGTGCTTATGGACGCGTATGTGAGAATCCGGATGGAAGACATTCGGTACAACCCAGATATGTTGACAGCTACGGAAGCTCTACTCGATAAGCATCGAATGAGCGCATACTTGGGCTGGGTTAAGAATCTAGGTGCACAAGGTTGGAAAGTAAACTGGGAAATGCAATGCGCTGGCATTTGAATTCTTCGGATTTCTCTTTACTCATGGAATATTCCACATCAAATTGTAACACCAAGGTTGAGTTGATTGTACTGTCCTTAAACTTTAGTTTCTTCAATAGCAAATGATCAATTTCGGGATCTGGAATGAGTACTGCATCCACTCTACTGTGACAGGAACTGTCATTGCTAAGGCCGCTTTATGCTCCGGCAAAAGAAGCAGGGATGAACAAGAATTCTACCATTCAGTTTGACGTAACGCTACAGATGTCACATATAACCATGACAGTGAATGTCCGAGTGTAACAGTAAACTTCAGTCACACACCAAAAAATTACGCACGGCAATGAAACTCGCGTCTTTCCACAGAAATAAGTTAATCAGAAGCATCGTTATTAATATTTTACATCTACTCTCTGAGTCTCTATCACCGCTGCAGACCAAATCATTGAGCAAGATATCAGAAGAACCATCGACAGAAATCACATACGTGTGATTCGAAATCTGCAAAAGGTGCATTTCTATGAAATAAGCACACTTTGTTGTCTTTGAACAGCGACAAATAATCAATTACTCAGACTCTACATCTGTACGAGGTACCACTTCGGGGCATTTGGTTCACCGTAGCGTTGTTGGTAAGCCTTGATGTTCATCAACCCATACCTAACAAACCTTGGCTGTGTCATAGGAACTACAGAAAACCGAATATTCCGTCCAAATCTTGCATCACTCTCCCCAATATTTTCATTACGCCTGGTGGCTCTATCGAGCCAAACGGAGTAGCAAAGTCTTTTATGTCCACGCGGCGATGATACATCTATACTCCATATATCTTATGACGGTTCATTTCCTTCGAGACCTTTCACGCATCCTTGCCCAAATAGTGTCGGGAAATTACAAACACAATGCAACATTGTATCGGACTTCATCAGCCCCGGCCCCTCCACGTTTCAAGCAGATACTAAACCGTGGAAATGATTCCGTAAATGGTAGACGGCAACGATGCTTCAACTCCCAATCCCGCTTATCTAATTATCCTGTACTCGGTCATAAGTTCCGCAAAGCCTGTATACGAGTAAAAGACGTCATTTGTGGACTTCAGTCGACATGATCTGCTTTTCGGGTTGAATATTCCGAGTCCGAGGTGCCATCCGCAAATGTAACGTTCATCGAAATCACACTTGCCTATCTAATATCGGTCTCTTCGACCCAATCAGCTTCAGAAAAACAGCATCGGAATTTTCTACCTGAGGCCGAAGCCGATAGAACGGGTTTAAGATCCAAAATGTCACCGCCATAATGCGAAATTTGCATACAGCAGATTGTAGAGGTCCTAGCAAGGTGCAGTTCTACATTCGCAGGGTACTGTCTATAAATATAAGCCATCGAACCCTATAATGCCCTATAATGCATCTTGAAGCCATAATCAGTTGAACAGCGTTTACAAGGTAAAAGCGTTTTATCATCGAGATGATCTCCGATTTAACTGTTTCGCCGGCCTATTGGCTATTGCTCCTTATCGGGTTGGTAAGTTCATATGTTGAGACACATCAAAGTAGCCATTGACCGACATCATGGTCATCCCATAGGCCGTTGTCGGGGTAGCCTCCGTGCCAATTTACAACCTCTTCTTCCACCCTCTAAGAAAGTTCCCTGGCCCTAAGCTGAACGCTGCCACTCGGATCCCATACACCCGTATGATTAGCAGCGGCCAGACCCATCACAAGCTCCATGAGATGCATAAAAAGTATGGCGACATGGTTAGAATTTCTCCCGACGAGCTGTCTGTCCAAGGAGAGCATGTCTGGGACGACTTGATGGGTCATCTTAAACAGGGAGCCCCAGAGAACGGCAAGGATCCGGGCTTCTTTAGTTTTTCGAAATCTGGGAATAAAAGCATCGTCGGTGGCTCCCGCGAAGACCACGCCCGAATGAGGAGAAGTCTGGCCCATGGATTCTCAGCAGCTGCCATCCAGGACCAGGAACCCATTATCGCCAGTTACGTTGACCTACTCATCCAGAGGCTCAAGGAGCGCTCAAACAACGGGGAGAGTGCCCTGGATATGACATCTTGGTATAACTGGACTACTTTTGATATCATCGGCGACCTTGCATTTGGTGAAAGCTTTCGGTGCCTTCAAGATTCCGACTATCATCCTTGGGTGAGCCTAATCTTCAAGCGCATCAAATACACCAGCTTGAAAGTAGCGGCCTACCGTTGGGGCATACTATCAGACGTGGTGTTCCGATTCCTTGATCAGAGTCTTGCGGTTGCCGACATTACCCATGTGAATCTTATCGAAGAGAAGCTCAAGGCCCGAGGGGCGATGGAGACTATTAGGCCTGACTACTACCATGCAAAAGGGCCAGGTAGGAAGGTAAGACCTAATTTCTCAAGAATCTTCCATCCGGCATTCAAAAAGGCTCACGAATTTTCTCGACGCAAATACAGAGTTACAGTAATCTGGAACTGCACGCGACATCAGTGTGTTGATCACAGCTGGTTCTGAAACGACAGCAACCACGCTTTCCGGTGCCACCTATCTCTTGGGGAAGCACCCCGAGGTGCTTCGAAAGCTTGTCAAGGAAGTGCGCACCACATTCAAACACGAAAACGAAATCAACATGCACAGTGTACAGCGTCTGGAGTATATGCTTGCCGTTCTAAACGAGGCTCTGCGCCTGTATCCACCTGTACCTGGTGCAATCCCTCGCATGATGAATCCGGAAGGAGGGATTATCAATGGCCGATGGGTGCCTGGCGGGGTGCGTACAAGATTCAAGTCGGCAAAGCGTCGATTGATGGGGGATTTTGCTAATTATAGTCCGTTGGCGTGAACAGACCGTGGTTGGGATTCATCAATATCCTCTCTACTACAACCCGAACTACTTTCAGTCACCGGAATCCTTTATACCTGAGCGATGGCAAGATGATTCTCGGTTCTCCACAGATGCAAAGAAGGCATTCCAGCCTTTCTCTTTTGGGCCGAGAAACTGCTTAGGCAAGAAGTAAGTAGCAATGCGAGGACACGTGAACGAGCTGCGAGCTGACTGTCACTCCAGTTTGGCATATGCTGAGATGCGTTTGATCCTCGCCCGAATCGTATGGAACTTTGACCTTCACCTGGCCAAGGACAGTGATGGATGGATCGACAGGGGTGAGACATACTTGATCTGGAGCAAGCCGGCGCTTAATGTTCATCTCGTGCCGGCGAGTCGAGACTAAAGTCTTTGCAAGTACTAAAGCCCGAATGGTCACCATATTGGTTATATTGCCCTACTTAAGCGATGGTATTTCTCTAAATATCATAAGAGTGTGATTCAACACATACTCAGGAGGAACTCCTAAGAGAGTCTCTTTTTTTTTCCTTTGGCTGCTATAACCAAATGGTTTAAACATCACTTTTACAAATCTTGTCACATCAACAGGCGGGTCTTGGCTTGCTGAATGGTTTCGATTAATCTTACAAGGACATGAAAGTCATATCAGACACCTATTGGGCTGAATGAAGACACCAGCGCGTTAATTTGCTTGTTTCTGGGCTTATCAGCGCGTATAGTCCTTTGCCTTGCCAACCACAAAGACATCATGCGTTGCCGGGTATAAATCATTCCCGATAAGAGTTATGCCGCACGCCCCGTAAATATTCCGCTTTTGGTCTTGCTACTGGTGCATTACAGAAGAGGGGTTATTGTAATTGACGAAGGGCGCACGTCGCTTCCGGCCGGTCTACTTGGCGACGAAGACGCCTGGAAAGAAGCAGAAAACTGTACCATTCAGGCCTGGATTTCAGTAAATTAACCGATCCAGGTATGTATTCCTACAGTATAGCCGCGGAAATAGATACATATATATTATTTAGTTCCCTTGTTGTTTAATAGTCTGCTTGCCGGTCTCCATCTCAACAAGCCGAAGGAGGGGAGGGGGCTTATCAGAGCATTCAAGGGTATCAGTGCGGCCCGGTGCAACCCAATGTCATTAGGCATGAAGAAGTGCGCCCTTTGGAATGATATCTCCGTATCGGAGTAGTAAACTCATTAGTAATTTAACGGGCTGGCCCGCGGTTATAACTATAAATCCGGTAGAGCCTGTACTTAGATCGACCTCTCTCGAATACCTACAGGACTAATTCGGCGAGCCCTGCGGAATAGTATTGGACATTGGCTTTTTACATGCCATCATCTGAATTCCTCGGGCGACAAGATGGTCACGATAAAAACTTCAAATGAGCGGGTTCTGTGCGTGGATGATATCCGAAAGATTGCCACAGCTAAACTCCCACAAATCATCAGCGGTCAGTCTAGACATGTACACACTAGCATGGATTGGCACTGATTATGTTTTCGCGAAAGATTTCTATAACGATGGCTCTACGACGCAAGTCACAGTTCACGAGAACTCCAGCGCGTACTCAAAGTACCGCCTACGAGCGCGAGTCTTCGTTGATGTGTCAAAGGTAGATCCATCGACTACTGTGTTGGGCGAGAAGATAGATTTCCCTCTATGTGTGTCTCCCGCTGGCCTTCAAGCTATGGCTCACCCAGATGGGGAGCTAGCCACTGCGCGTGCGTGTGCCAAGCGCCGTGTTCACATGGGTATCTCCTCATTTGCGAACCACTCGGTGGAGGACATCCGCACGGCCGGACTCTCCGTCGGGCCCTTAACAAATGCCATACAACTATACACAATGCGGGACAAGGAGATGCAGCTGCGTATCATCCATCGTGCCGAGGCAGCTGGCTGCAAAGCCATATTCTTAACGGCCGATAGCCCTGTACTTGGAGTAAGGTATAATGAGGTCTACAATGACTTTCGGACACCGGATGGCTTGAACCTGCCGATGCTGGAGAAGACGTCCGAGATGATCCGTTCGCAAACTCATGACGACGGGTTTACCGCGTTCAATTCTGACTCGCATTCGTGGGAGAGGGAGATACCATGGCTTCGCAGGCACAGCAAGATGGAGATCTGGATAAAGGGGGTCCTGACTGCTGAAGATGTGCATCTCGCTGTACAGTATGGCTGCGATGGTATCATTGTGAGCAATCATGGTGGCAGACAGCTCGATGAAACACCCGCAACTGCCGACGTCTTGTTAGAGTGCGCCAAAGCAGCTAACGGCAAGATTCGGATTCATGTCGATGGCGGCATCAGGACCGGCACCGATATTTTCAAGGCGCTGGCTCTTGGCGCTCAGTGTGTGTGGATTGGACGGCCGATGATCTGGGGTTTGGCGGTAAGTGCTCTTTTCCATTGTCAGACTTGACCTGTTCTAAATTATACGTTCAGTACAATGGGGAAGCTGGCGTCACTAAGACGTTGGATATTCTTTACGAGGAGTTCAAACGATGTATGCAGCTGACGGGCTGTAACACCGTTGCTGATATTTCTCTTGCGTCTATCGGCGCGGTTCGCTTTGATGGGCCTTTGGCTAGACTTTAGTTTTGGCACTTCTTGGCCTCCATTCATTGCTGTTTGAAATCAATTCAGGTTATATTTATTGCAATTGTTCAGCTGTTATGATAGCCACCTCGAGTTCTCAGGGTTGGACAGATTGTGTCTCTGATGGCTCATACATGTGTGCTGTGTCAAGACCTATTTATCCAAAGTGCCCAGCTTGGATTAACAATGGAATTATGGTCTCAAGCGGATGGTGGAACAAGACTGGTTTTTCAATATCCTTCGCCTTCGACGGGGTCTTAGAATTGAGGTTTAAAAGTAGCCAAGATGAACGGCCGGGATTGCGCTAGGGATCGTAAATATCGACGTGATTCCATCTGTTGCAACATTGGTCAAATTTTATTTCTTTCAAGCGCTCTGAAAGTTCATCATCCGTCTCTGAGGTTAAAGACGGGAGGATTAAAGACGGGAGAGCTAAAGACGTTGGTAAGATGTCAATAGTCATTATTGACCTCCTCAGTCTAAGCGGCGAGTAAGACGGAAGGACTCGCGCCATTGGGCCTAGACTCGACCAGCGGATAGAAAACCCTTCAACTTCGACTGCCAGCAGAGGTACTCGTTGGAAATCGGCAGGGTCTTCTTGTATTTGTTCCGCAACCCGAGACAGCTCGTTATATTTCTCTTGTCCGAGATTCCGAGTACTTAAAGCTTGAGATTGACGATCCTCAGCCGCAGTTTCGGCAGCAAGCCTAGACATACGGAGCCACACACCACAGCCATCGGTCTGGCTAGAACAAAAGGTTACTCAGTCGGGCACCTCAACAATCACGACCTCAGACTTACCATTTTACGTTCGTGTTCTCCGGGGCATTATTGTTGATTCCACAGCGTGGACACACTCCTTGCATCATCTGGTCTCCAGTGAATATCATACTCATGTTGATCTTCATACCCCTTCGGAAAGATGCCTTAGGCGGGAGTGACTGGTTCAAGTCTGTACCTGTAATGTTCTCCTCAAGAGCATACTTTCCTTGGATTACCATTCTGTGCCCCTTAAGCTTTTCGAAATGATGCTGGAGTAGCTGCTGGAAGAACTATATCCTTGGTCAGAATAAAATGTTGACGGGGTTATGAAAATGATAGAAGGTGGCATTCCATCCCCGTACCTGCCAAGAATGAATCCATTCCGTCGGGAGTTCAAGCACAGTCCCTAGCGAATCCTCGAATAACACCGGTTTACCAAGAGTTGGATCTGGGCCATTGAAAAAGTTGGCATTGGACGCATGGTAGTGCTGATCAGCAGTGATTCGGTCGAGACTATGTTTGATTTCGCAGATCTCTGTAAGGATACCAGCAGTCTGTCCACATATGTCCTGTGCCGTTTGAGCGATACCTTGAAGCTGTGGAACTTGCCTCTGGACACGTTGTTCACAATCGTCCCCCTTTTCGGCAATGCGGACCAGAAATTCTTCGAAGTCATCCAGCTTTGATCTGATAGTTGTCGCGTCAGCGCGAGTAGCGCGTCTGTGATGTTAGTAAATCATGATGGATCTGCTTTTAGGGTGGTAGTAAACGAACTCGCCTGCCATTGTAATCAGAGTAGAGAGTTGCTGCGTGCGAGCTCTCAATCTCCCCATGGTTTCTTGGAGTTTGCTGCTCTCCATGGCACCAAACTGTAGCTTCCTAAGGGCATCCTTAGATGAGGAGCCAGATCGACCTGGTCGAAGGCTGTCATGATACTTGTCGTGTATTCTTATGAGTTCTTCCTGCATCACGGAACCACACTCATCGACGATAGGCTTGATAATAGTGAAAAGCTGGTCCATAAAGGGAGAGCTTTCTCGCTCCTCACCTCAAATATCACAACGACCTGCAGCGGAATCATCATCAGAAACTTGTATTGAAAGGCAGGTGAGACGAGATGCGTTCTGAGACCTGGGTGAGAACTTGGACTAAACATTGGACCTCGTCGCAGAACTCCAGATACTGTCTTCGGCTTCCGCTCTTATCGCCCAGCGCCCGGGCCAGGTTATTGCCAATTTTACAAACAGTGAGGATGTCGCCAAGACCGCCAAATGTAATGGCAGACCCCATTCTGAGGAAAGATGGTATGTTCGAAGCTGCAGAACTTTTCTTCTTCGGGTCTTTCAGCCGGGGCGACGAAATTATTTGATGGCGAAGTCAGACTGGATGCATGAGTCTAGAAAACTGCACTTCGACATGTTGAGATCAATTATGACCGCAGCAGCCAACCACGTGATAGCCTAAACAATCAAGTGACCATCACGTGCATAGCCCTCAAATGCATTTTGGTAAGTTGCCCCAACTGAAATTCATCATCAGTTCCTATCAGGCGCGCGGTGTTTTTAAATATGAGGGGAGTGGTAATGTTCCCTTGGTAACGGTGTCAACACAATGAAGCTAACATTTTGTCAACCGAACACTAGGTTCACTTTTGCTGTATAATACCTAAGAGAAAGAGAATAAAGTTCAACAGCAATAGAAGCTGCCAGAGCCCGACAACTCAACACAATGATTTGCTGTATAATAAATCTCTGTTAGCCTTGAAGATAATGTTAAGCGTGTAATCATATACAAGCCTAAGCGGCTGTGTCACAGCTAAAAGTATAGCCTCCCAACATTGCAGCCTGTTCTCTTACAACAGGTCTAGCCTGAAGGAAGGCAGCAAGGTCGACCACACATCAATCGCGCTTCTTGAAACGAGAAAAATAGGACAGGTTTGTAGCGATCTCTGGTCGTGATGGAAGACAGATAATTCGTACCATAACTGCCAACCACATTAGACACTACTACTTGACATGCTCGCTGCTGCCGGAGACTTGATTCAGTAGGTGTTAGGCAGCATGCAGTTTATCTTTCTTCAATGATCTATATGTTGAAAGGGAGGGTACGCGTACTCCTGATTTCTGATAATAAGTAACGAGAGAGACTTCGGATGATTTACTCAATCGGCCACCTGTCGTTGCATGTAAGCGTAGAAAAGTCTCCGCTGACCACGAGAGTTGTCCCGAGCCGAGCGAAAGTTGCCGGATATGTGGATACGCGAGTTGTGTCCAGCCTCCGCAGAGCCCGGAAGAGAAGCATAAGCAGTAGTAATGTGTATATATAACTAACGTGTTGTCCCTCTAAATTCAAAACGTATTATACTCACATTCAACTTTTTCAGCTCTGTATTACAGCTACAATGGCCTCTAAATTATTAAACCCGGTGACCGATGGCAGTATCGGTCTCCTCCGTATATTATTTGCTGGGGTATGATTCCCAGCTAACCCTAGCGGCGAGATCGCTAACAATCAATCTTCCAGGTAATCACATACATCATAGCAAAGATCGTACATGAATTCTTCTTGCATCCGTTACGGAAATACCCGGGGCCTCTATTATCTAGATTTACGAGGATTCCATACTGGATTGCCAACTTGACAGGCAACCAGGTTCGTCACATGCACCAGTTGCATTCGCGGTACGGGCCAATAGTGCGTTATGGCCCGAATGATATGAGCTACACCGATCATCAGGCATGGAAGGATATCTACGGCCACAAGAAGGACAGGCAAGATAACCCAAAGGACCAACGCTTCTACCCTCAGCCGGATTCAGGCGTCCATTCCTTAATAACAGCGAGTAAAGAGGATCATGCCCGCGTGCGACGAATGTTCGCCCTCGCCTTCTCAGACCGCGGCCTCAAGCAGCAGGAACCTCTATTCCAAAAGTACGCCGACCTCATGGTGTCGAAGCTTCATGAGCTTTCGACCACGGAGCAGGACCTGGTCAAGATCCTCAACTTCACTACCTTTGATATCATGGCTGAGTTGACATTCGGTGAGCCTCTTGGCTTGCTCGAGGGATCGAAGTACTCACCGTGGGTTTCCAACATCTTTCAAGCAATCAAAGCCGGTCCAGTGATGCAGATGGGACTCTACTACCCGCTCTTGGGCTATATATTGAAGTCTCTGGCACCGAAGAAGCTCCAGGAACTGCGTCGATCGCACGCGCAGCACACAATCAGCCGTGTCGACCAGCGTCTCGCCCGGGGATCCACACAGCCCGACCTCTGGAATCTAGTCGTGACCGACGAAGGCGAGAAGAAGCTCACACTGCAAGAGATGTACAATAACGCCGACGTGTTCATGCTTGCAGGTACCGAGACGACCGCCACGCTGCTCTCAGGTCTGACCTTCTATCTTCTCACCAACCCGGAGAAAATGCGAATACTAGTAGAAGAGATCCGAGGAGCTTTTGGTAGCACCGACGAAATGTTATTTGATCGTCTGGCAAGTTTAAAGTATCTTCATGCCTGTATCCAGGAAGGCCTGCGCATGTATCCTCCAGTTCCCTCGTCGCTATCACGAGTCGCACCAGGTCAAGGCGCGATCATATGCGATGGGTTTGTTCCCAATGGCGTAAGTGCCAACTGCATCATTCCAAGAATTGAACCACGTGAAGGTTGTATTTGATATGCAGGAGACTGACATTGCGGATGTGCACAGACAAGTATTTCAGTTCACCACACGGCAACATATAGAAGCCCGAAAAACTTCCGCAACCCAAACGCTTTTGTTCCAGAGCGGTGGCTAGGCGCCGAGGAGTATGGAGACGATCTGCGTGAGGCTCTCCAGCCATTCCATCTTGGACCCCGAAATTGTCTCGGCCAAAAGTAAGTTAAACTACTCTTGCACGCATGATGTGCAACAAAACTAAATAAAATTCCAGTATGGCATGGCATGAGATGAGGTTACTTCTCGCTCAACTGCTTTACAACTTTGATTTGGAGCTCTGTGAGGAGAGCAAGGACTGGTCCGATCAGAAGGTTTTCGTGCTATGGGAGAAGAAGCCACTCCTATGTAAATTAAAGCCGGTAAAATTATAGAGCCGGTGTTGCAAAAAGACTCAGATATACATTGGCTTTCATTGATTCCAGTTGACTCTTAGCCTACCGCTAGAATAGATAGAATGATCAACACAACTCTGAACAATCAGAAATGCAGCCTTGAGACCAGCGAATAATCACAGGGAAATATTTAAATGAGGCTTCCGCACCACGGCACGGCCCAAGCAGGGGACGAGTCAACTAACCCACATCTGGTAAAGATCTAATGCGTCGCGGTTGGATAAGCATGTTGCTATTATTGGCACGCGTCATCAAAACATTGCTCGACGCGAAGTAAATATGCTGCAAAGGAATTAGATCCCAAGGAAAATGACATCATTGACATTAGCTTGTCGCTTGCTGAAACGGTTTGTTTTACGTGCCAAACGTGTTTTCATAGGTGCTGTATCTGTCAGCATTGAGCAAATTTGTGTTAGCTCAGAATGTTGTTCAGATAACGATAGCAACGACTTCAGGTTCTACTAATGTTGTAGATGAAGTTGCAAAACATATCTTAATCTGACACCCAAGCTAATTCTTATGTCATTGAAAAGCTAATGGTATTTTTCATATTTTAATTATTAAGAACACTCATCAATCGAGATGGTGACATCTGCATCACGGGGAAGATATTTAGTATCCTTAGTGTATGTATAGGGTAGGTTGTCTTTTTGGAAAAATGGCCAAGGTCATTAAACTTGTTCCTCCGTCTACGTACTAAGATAGTCACTGAGAAAACTTGCGCGTTGAGCAATGATATCACAGTATTTCCACGGAATTCATTTCATTTCAGCTACAAATGCCATTAGCCAGTTCTGACTGGTCTTTGTTTGTGGACATAGGCATTTCGCGATATGTTTTAGCCCCGCACATGTCGTAAACGTGTTAATAATTGACTCTAGAGCGGATTAGATTAGGGATCTGATTTGGTGTCGCTCACGGCAGGGCGAATCGGACTTCCGGATTGGTACTGACGCGCCCTCGACGGTTTTGACAAGGATCCTGATTCCTGACTCGCTTGCGCCAAGATGTTCTTGGACGGACTCTGACGCCCCGCGGAGGAAGATAAGATATTCGTACCTGGGGTACGAGACTTGCCGAGGCTGGGAGAAATGGTGAAAATATGAACTGTAGTGAAAAGCAGTAGCATATTTCCGTTATCCAATTGGCTTCTATTGTAGTCTGAGGCCTGTCCCTTTTCAAGATCGCGCAGGGATCTCAGCCCGTACACAGCAAGATATCAACCATGGCACAATACCCGCCCCTAGAGAGCATCAGGAGCGTGTTGATTGCGAATCGAGGAGAAATTGCTGTCCGATGCATTCATGCATGCAAGGCAGTGGGAGTCAAGAGTTACGCAATTTATACGGAATCAGACAATGCCTCACTCCATGTACGCTTGGCGGACGAATCCCTGAGCTTGGCAGGTGATGGAACCGCTGGATATTTAGACATGTGAGTTGTGGAATTTGTCAATTATTTCTTAAGGTTATGGTTACTAATATGTATCACTAGTAACGACATCCTTCAACTTTGTGAAAGGCACAGCATTGATGCGGTTATCCCAGGCTATGGGTTTTTGAGCGAAAATGTCGAGTTTGCCAAGCAGGTCACAGATGCTGGCATGATCTTCATTGGGCCATCATCTGAGTCTATCACAGAGATGGGTTTAAAACACCGGGCAAGAGAGGTTGCTCAAGGGGCGAAAGTACCTGTAGTTCCAGGAACTGATCTCCTGGCTTCTGAAGCCGAAGCTCTAGCTGCTGCTGACACTCTGACATATCCTGTGAGTTGTCCGCGTAAGATAGCGCTACTACTGGGGTTTATGTTAATTTATGCTTGATAGGTAATACTCAAAGCTACGGGCGGTGGAGGTGGAATGGGCCTCAAAATCTGTCATTCTCCAGAAGATATCAATGCTGCCTTTTCAATGGTTAAAAACAGGGGCGCTCAATTATTCAAGAATGAAGGTGTGCTCCTTGAAAAGTATTACGCCCGCAGCCGTCATGTAGAAGTCCAGGTTTTCGGTAACGGAAGGGATGTCATTCACTTTGGAGAGAGAGAATGCAGCATTCAGAGACGCCATCAAAAGGTGAATATCGAATTCTCCGCCCAAAAGCTAAAATATCTAACTTCCAGTCTGGATAGGTCATTGAGGAGTGCCCAAGTCCTTTTGTGGAAGCACACCCTGGCCTTAGAGAAACCCTCACAAAGTGCGCAGTAAACTTCGCCTCCGCTCTCAACTATAAGTCCGCCGGCACTGTTGAATTCCTTGTGGACGACAATTCTGCGAAGTTCTTCTTCTTGGAAATGAACACCAGGCTTCAAGTGGAGCACGGAATCACGGAATTGTGCTATGGCGTGGATATTGTTGTGTTGATGCTTCGGCAAGCTGATCTGGAGAGGGCTGGGAAGGGCGGCATTCCCTCATCGGAATTGCTTTCCTTGCAAAAGCCGGGACCAAACGGTGTTGCCATTGAAGCTCGTATTTATGCCGAAGATCCATTCAAAGATTTTGCACCCAGCCCGGGGGTCTTTCAGGAGGTCTTTTGGCCCAATGATGACGGCGTACGGATTGATACATGGATTCAATCTGGCCAACACGTTTCTCTGCATTATGGTATGTGCAGCTCAAAGTTTTGTCTACGATGGATTTCTCAGCGCTAACAGTTCTACTTAGATCCACTGATTGCAAAAGCCATGGTTTATTCATCAAATAGAGATGAGGCTACAAGGAAAATGATAGATCTATGCTCGCGCCGTATTATGCTACGAGGCCCCACGACGAACCTTGACTTTGTGTCGGCTATCCTATCCTCTGAAGCATTCAAGTTAGGGGATACATTGACGAATTTCCTTGACACCCGATTCAAATACCAGCCCTGTGGAATCCTGGTATTATCGGGGGGCTCGCATTCACTAATCCAAGACTTTCCCGCAAGAGCTTCGTTAGGTCATGGTATCCCCAAGAGCGGGCCCATGGACAGCCTCACATCGCGCATTGCAAATCTTCTGGTTGGAAACCCACAGGGAACGGAGGTCGTTGAAATCACTCTTCTAGGCCCCGAGCTGCTTTTCGTATCAGCTGCCGTCATTTCAGTCTGTGGGGCCGAATGCCTGGTTACTGTTGATGGAAAAGAGCGACCAATGTGGTCTTCTTTCGTCATCGAGGAAGGGCAAAAACTGAAAATCGGTTCAGTGATCGGAAGCGGCTGCCGCGTATATCTTGCTGTTAGGGGAGGGTTTCCAAATATTCCGGTTGTGTTTGGGTCCAAGTCAACAACTCCAAGTCTGAAGTTCGGTGGTTGTCAAGGCCGGGCACTTCAACAGGGTGACTTCTTGCAAGTGCAGGAAACGAGTTCACGTTGGGCACAAGAAACACAGGAATACATCTTACCGGTGGTTCTGAGGCCAAATATGGACGTAAGAGAGATCTACGTTTTACAAGGACCTCATGATTCCGACGAAATCATGACTGCTGAAGACCGACATATGCTTTATAAAACCGACTGGAAGGTTGGCCATAATTCCAGTAGAACTGGGGTCAGGCTGCTAGGGCCAACACCAAAGTGGGCGCGTGAAACTGGAGGAGAAGCTGGATCACACCCCTCAAACTATCTCGAGTACGTGTTGAGAGATTCAAATGTCTAATATCTAGACATAAATTGATGGTGTGCTAACTTTGTGGTAGTTATGGCTACCCCTCGCCAGGGGGGCTTAACTGGGGCGGCAACTCGAGCATTATTCTGACGGCAGACAGCCCTAATTTTGGGGGACTCGTCTGTTCAACAACCGTCATATCAACCGAACTATGGAAATTAGGCCAGCTTAAGCCGGGAGAGTCCTTCCGCATGACACCGGTCACTTTGGACTCTGCCGTCAGTCAGTTCCATCGGATAGAAACGTATTTGGCAACAATTTCCCAAATTATATCCAAATTAGCGACAAAAGCAGCTGTATTTGATTTGTCACTCCCACGAGCTGATGTGGGAGGCCATACCTCTATCCTCAAGACTGTGAGGCCATTACCAACAGGAACCTTCGACCCGAAAGTCACCTATCGGCAGGTAGGTCAAATTTGAATTTGCGAAACGGATGTTGATGCTAACCTCCCTTTCAGGGAGGAGATAGATTTTTACTGATTGAGTTTGGAGAACAATCGACAAATGTCGTGACAATAGTCCGGATCAAGCTCTTGATGGAAAAGCTCCATGCTTTGCCGGACTTGGATCTTCTTTTAACGCCACATGTTGGCTCATTGACTGTCGAATATAATCCCCTCAAGATCTCGCAAGCCGAGTTACTGAATCGAATCCACGAGATCGAGTCCAATCTCGAAATGACGTTGGATTTTACCATACCCTGTCGTGAGCTTCACATACCTCTGGTCATGGACCATCCCGACATTCAGGAATGCATCGGGCGATATATGACAATGGTCCGAGACAAAGCAGCCTATCTTCCCGACAACCTGGAATACATTCGAAAGTACAACGGACTTGACAGTCGCAGACAAGTTTTCGAAATCATACTGGAGACACAATACATCATTGCTGCAGTTGGATTCCTGTGCGGAACCCCGATATTCTTTCCCCTTCACCCCAAGGTCCTCATGGGCCAGAAATACAACCCTACAAGAACAAGCACACCGGGAGGCACGATTGGCCTTGGTGGATCCATTTTGTCGGGATACTCACTTGAGCAACCTGGAGGATATATGCTAGCGGCAAGAACCCTTGAGATGTGGGACACTTTCGGAACAAAGCCAGGCTTCACAGCTGAGAAGCCCTGGATTTTCGAGCCCTTTGACAAGGTCAAGTTCTACGAGGTGGGCATCGAAGAGTATAATTCTCTTGCTAGAGACTTCTTTGCTGGAAAATACCAGTGGCAAATCTCACAGTCAACATTCGACCTTCGCCAGGTATACGACTTGTTTGAGAAGTCAAAGACGGATCCTGATGTGGTCGAGTTCAAAAAGCGACAGAAGGAAGGTATGGCTGAACAGGACAGGTTAGAGGGAACCCTGTACGATAAATGGCAGGCAGATGAGCTTGCCGAAGACTCTCTGGCAGCTACAGATTCAAACGAACATGGTAACGAAAATGCAGTGGCCATTTCATCACCGATGGCTGCAAACGTCTTCCGGCTTCATGTGAAGGCTGGAGATAAGCTTAAGGAAGGACAGGTGGTTGCGATATTGGAAGCAATGAAGATGGAAGTGAAGGTACATGCCCCGAAGGAAGCAGATGGCCTCTGCGTGAGTGCGGTTCTGAAGAAGGTAGGAAACATTGTTAATGCAGGCGAAAGGCTGATGCTATTCACTTTGGTGTAAAGAATATGGAGCAAGTCTAGCACCGAGTTTTATTTACGTTTATTCTATGCTTGTGATATTTATTGTTAAAAATCTTGATTGTAGGTTGTTTCCATGTAATGAGTGGAGCTTAGATCTTGGATTTAGTTGCCTGACTGCTCGCCTTTGCTTCGATGTCTTCAAGTTGTCTCAGATGTGGATAACTCCAAGAAATCTATGTCAGGGTAAATGACTCTTTCTATTTACTTGTCTGATTTTTCCGGGTCCAAAACGTGCATCTTCGGCTTCGTTTTACCGTTAACCTATTTACGCATCTTTCAACCGATGTGGAAATCTCTCCCTCGCACACAATATGGAATGCAGAGTAACCTTATCGCGCGCTAAAACGGCAATAGGCAACCCGTGACGACGCTACACCAGGAATGGGAGCTGGAGCCACGGTACAGATCAATGACGGTCCACGGAGATCTATCCCCGCATCAGCATCCCCCCGCCTTAGGTGATGAGGTCTTGACGCTCTCGGCTAATAGCCGTGCTCGAGCTCGCATATAGGTTGAGGCTTTGGTGACGTGGAAGAGTCATGTGGTCTAGCATACCTCGGAATCTCCCTGCAAATTATCGTTTACTCAGCCTTGGATTACTAAAGCCATTGTTTGTCATTCCTGTGTGCCATCTCGCGAGTCAAAGACTCAATCGCTCACACGCTATAGCATCATGGCTGGATACTGTAAAAAGGTTGAGATCAACTGCGATATGGGTGAGGGTTTCGGAAAATGGAAGATGGTACGTCGTGCTGTGATTTATTTCGGTTTGTTGGAGCTGACATGGTCTGTTGTGAATTTTGTAGGGGCCAGATGAAGATCTCATGAAACTGATGGATTATGCCAATATCGCCTGTGGATTCCATGCTGGAGACCCTACAACGATGATCAAGACTATCCGACTTGCGAAAGAGCACGGGGTGAAGATCGGTGCTCACCCCGGACTTCAAGGTATGCTGAACTTCAGTTTTTTCCAACAGGCAAATATCCCAGATTCTCGTTTCAATTATGAGCACTTGTTTGAGGAAGAGTTGAAAGAAGTCTAACGGAGAATATAGATCTGTTTGGCTTTGGTCGCCGGAAAATGGAGATACACCCTGACGATATGTACGCCATGATCTTATATCAAGTTGGGGCACTCAAGGCTATGCTAGACGCTGAAGGAGTGCCCCTGAACCACATAAAACCGCACGGTGAGCTTTTCTTTTACATGCAGAGGGATTTGGAAATTATGGACGCCGTGTTGAGGGCGTGCTCCGTATTCAAGGTGCCTGTCTTTGGCTCCAAGGGAACCGAGCATCAAGGGGCGATGTGCGAAAAGTACGGGCTCGAATTTGTTGAAGAAGCATATACCGATTTGCAGTACAACAAACAAAGAAAGCTTCTTCCGGCATCCGAGAGCAAGATGGCTACCGTTGAAGATATCTATGCTCGTACGATGTCTATTGGGTTGGAGGATGAGGTGCAGGATAACGAAGCGGGGAAGCTAACATTGGGATTCAACGGCCAACCGTTTATGTTTTGTATTCACTCCGACATGCCTACTGCCCTGGAGAACGCGAAGGTATGTAGAAAGGGCGTAAACGAGATAAATAGCATTAGGGGATGGAAATAAAGGTGTCGCTTATGGAATAGCTTCTAAACTGCCTGAAGAAGTAGGCTGATGCTATTAAGTAGGAATCTTGTATTAGACAAACTAATCTATCAGCTGCATCTATTCTAGAACATGAAATAGGTGCTTTGTTTATCCAGCTCTCGAATGTATTTTTCCCGAGGTGTACACCACGACAGGGTATCGTCACTTGCAATCGAATTCCCCACTGATGCGGCATTGTTCCAAATCTTCTCAGTGTATTCCATCATATATTCCCTGGACCGGTCACGATATACCTCCATCATCGCGGCGTGCTTCCGCCGTACCCAATCTCTTTCCTCCAAAGTGGTGGCCTCGCGCGCAGCCATATAAAAAGGGAAAGGAAGTGACGAGTCGGGACCACAACCGGGTTCGAGTTTATCCATGATCTGAAATAAATGCCTCCGCACAAGTTGTACCCGTGAGGACTTGGTGGGGTCAAGAAATAGCCTTCGAAGTAGAAGTAACTGGGCCGTCCAGTAGAAACACTCGCAGACAATGTCTAGAATAGAAATATCGCTTAAAGACATGGGGGATGGTTGTGAAGACGGTGATGAAGATGAGGCCTGCGTTGCAGTTTTGGGCATTGAGGCACCGCGGATCATAGAGTTGTAGTACTTGTGACCCCAAATGCGCATCTCTGTTTCTAGCGTGTATGCCTTGGCCTGGACCAGGTCATGTGTGGTGCTGCCATCCAGTAGATCGGCACTGAGCACAGCTATCTCAGCCAGAAAGCAGAGAACGCGCTGGTCACATCCATGCATCTCCCGGAACACAGGGTCACCGTAATCCAGCTTCTCGTTTTCCTGGTACATGAAAAAGTCAAATGAGGCCAGCGGCCGCCGGAAACGCAGATGGGCATGAACAACATCGACCATAGCAAACCGGTTCACGAGAGTCCTCGAAAAGATTGAATCTGGAGGACGGCAGAGATATCCCAGGTCTTTGATGAAGTGAAGTGCGCATTTCAGATGCATCTCGACGTTGCCCGCACCGGTCATCAGTACTGAGGAGGTTTGCATCATGACGGCGGCCAGTGCAATCTCGGTTGCTGAGAGTATGGAGAACACGCCTCCCTGCAGAAGAAGCTTGTCGGGCGACTTCCCTATGTCGCTATGACGGTCTCTGCTCTCCTGTAGTGCGTTGAGAGCGGCCTGTAAGGAATGTAGGGCTCGACTTTGGCGTGACGAGAGCACACTTACGTTGCTCCGGCCGCAATTGTGCATGTGAGCCGTGGCAACCGATAGTATCCCATGGAGGAGCACTGGGTGCGAAAGAGACACCAGCGCTAAATTTCTCCATGGATTTTTGGTGCTGTCATGAGCTGGTATACATGTACAAACTCTCTTGAAGACTGATATCAAGAGCTGGTTAACTTGGGTTGAGAGAAATTGAGCAGGTAGTCTTACAATAAGTAAATGCTATTTCTTCTCCCGGGCTTTGGAAAATTTGAAAGAGGAGGTTACTGAGCGTGTTATCTATGACCCAGGAGGTGGAATTAGTAGGAGATGATGGTACATCTGAGTTGTCGTCAAGTAGGACCAACGAGGCATCGCTGTGCTCAGGAACTATATTCCTCGAGTCTACCAAACATTGATCCTGGAGACTCTCGTGACTGGCTTGGCCTATATGGTCCTGATCATTCCCATAAGTACTATCAGTCGTAGACCAGACTTCATGACCTAGCTCAAAGTGCTCTTCATTGGGCATCATAGAGTGGGAATGGAGGTCTCGATGAGCACTCCGAGTGGTTTCGACACCATGGCAAGGTGAAGCAGATAATGTATCATGGAGTGTTAGGGAATATTCCTCGCTGTGTAAAGCACGGCCCAAAGGCAAAATGAGATCCTCAAGAACATAGCTAGAATCGCGTCTCGGCTGTGGTACGACGCCATGTTGTTGTGAGTGAGATGCCCCAGGGCCATGGTCAGATGTGGAATCTATGGCTCTCCACGGAGGTGAAGCAGGCTCTGAATCACGACAAAGTGTCGGCTCGGATGATTGAGGCAGACTTGCCGGTGATGCAGCGTCCGGGGCAGGCAGTGGAGACCGAGTGGGAGTAGAGCTCGCTCCAGGTCGACCGCCTCGCTTCACAACCCTGGAGCCTTTCGCATCCTTGTGGAGCTTTGACGTATTGCTCACGGCTGTCCATCTCAAGGGGATACTGTAGTCGCATTCAAGACCGCGTATCTGGCAAGCCTGGCATTTGGGCTGACCCTCATCGCATTTTCTGTGCTTCCGGCGGCAGGTCATGCAACCTTGATGCACCTCATGTTAGAAAAACCCCATCAAGGCTTGCGCAATCCAAAATTGGGGCACTAAACGAACCAGAGCGAGATCGTAGACCTTGGTTAACGGGTTCCATCGTTGTTGTTGGATCACAAGCAGCAGAGCAGGGCACATGTCCCCACACTCCGCGGTGATCTCTGATGCCTAGCTCTCTGTAAGTGTTGAATGTTTGAGCGAGGGTTCCAAAAGGCAGGCCGTATCGGACTCTGGCAAGGTCGGCAGAGGCAGATGAAGCTGAATGATGATTCCCGCATTCATTGGGGGGCCGAGAACTGGCGCATCGTCATCCGTTATCATGGATGGTGGATCCTTTCCTTTCACTTATCATCCTCCTAGTACTGTAGGAGTATGGCTCGCTTGGCTCGCCCCGTTCTTTGTGCGGGGTATCACGGAGTGCAGGGCATTTCGGTGTTGGAGAGATAGGATCGGCTTTGTTCCGATGTATTCTGTGTCTGTTGTGTATATTCAGATTTGGTTGGAGTGTCAAGGAGTTGTTTCAAAATTATAGCATAGAATTGACCTCTCTCTCGAGATTGGTAGCTGAATACACCATACCGTGTCTTGAAACTGGTGAAAAGAAAGTATTACTATGCTCTACACTTGTTTCAAACAGTCCATCACACTCCCTGTTCCAAAGCAACTAATCGACGCATCATTCATAGATGCTTCTATCAAATATCCCGTTACCACTTTAGGATAGGCTTTATAATCTGTTTTTGCGAATTAGAAATATGGATGCAAAAAGGAGGCCACGAAACTACCTTGCCGTCTCGAGTGTCTTGAATACACTCGTCAAAATTGGAAACCTCATAAAATGTGCAGAGCTTTTCCAACGGAAAGTTTCCAGACCTGTGAAGTTCTATCATCTCAGGTATAAACTGTTTTCCTCATGGTCAACAACTGTGAATCTTACTCAGTAGATTGTTCGGTTTTAACTTGCCTTTGTAGCCATAGAGTCTCCTTGACATATCCCACGGATCGTTTTATTCTCATGTAGTAGTTTCATGGGGTCTATTTTCAAAATGAAATCGGGCTTAGGAACACCCACCACAACCGCACAACCACCGCAGCACACACACTCCAACATTTTCTCCATGAACAGAGAAACCCCAGTGCATTCTAAAACATAGCGAGCCCCACCACCTGTGATGGAATGAATCTCGCGTATGAAATCTGGAGTGTGCTGGGTATTGATCGTGTGCGTGGCACCTAACTCTCTGGATATCGTGAGCCTCTCCTCTATCTGGTCAATTGCAATGATTTGTCGAAGGTCAAGATATTTGGCGGCCATTATCGCAGCAACTCCAACCGTACCTGCGCCAAAAACCACAAGAGAGTCGTCGGTAGTCGGTCGAAGGCTGTTCAGAACCGTACCAGCCCCTGTTTGAAAACCGCAACCCAAAGCTGAATATACTGCGAGGTCCTCAGGATAGGGGCAAGGGATCACCGAATACTTGCTCACCACCGAATGGTTAAGGAATGACGACTGCCCAAAGAACTGGCTCACAAGCCGCCGTCCATCCTGTAAACGGGCCGAAGTGGTCTTGTCAGTGAGCCGTCTAGCTCCCAGATTAAGTGCTTCAAAATTTACACAACACGCGGGGTGTTGAGAATTGCAGTTACTGCAGCTTCCACAGTGATTGAAAGACAGAATGACACTGGTCCCGACTTTTAGATTTGTATCCTTCACTGACGAACCGACTGCTCGGATTACCCCAGCACCTTCGTGTCCGAGCACAGCAGGGAATTCGAGGATGTAATCATATGCACCATTCGCACCGATGAGATCCTGATAGCGTTAGATTTGATCAACAGGGAGATAGTAGAGTCAAGAGTTGCTAGACGGTGCATTGAAAAAAGAGGTCCATAGGCATTATCTCATTATTTTTTCACTTACTGTATGACATATGCCGGAATACTTCATCTCCACCAAGACTTCGTCTGGGCGCATATCATCGAGAACCACGGGCATGAGCTTGTAGCCAGCCTTTGACGCCTCGGTCACAAGACCTCGAGTTTGCAAGGGTATGGTAGCCATCTGCACAGGAAGCACCTATACACCACGGAAGACTAAAATGTGATAAAACTGCTGCCCAGTGAAAGCTTCGAGTTCATGGGCAACCTTGGATTGTGATGGATCCTAGCGGATACTGAGACCTGTAGTCCCCCGTAAGAACTCCCTATGGCCGACTGAAGGTAGTCTCATGACTAGAAAGTACCCCAGCTTCGCTCTTTACAATCGATCGGTTCATGACATGTGCCGGCCATCTGTGATCCGCGGAAGACGACCCGAGGGGTGCTCCACCATTCAGTAAAGCTATGGCCGTAGACGGCAATTGTAATCGCCCTGCCTACTTTGGACAAGTCTCGACTCCAATTTCTAGCTTGGGTATGTGGAATACGTTGCCCAATCGTATGCTAGCGCTGGAGATAAGCAACTCTCGCGTTGATGCTGTTCCCCAGAGCCTAGAAGGTCAAGCCTGTAGAAGTATCTAGCCCCCTTGAGCGGATAGCGCAGCGTTTATGTTGATTAGCCATCGTTATCAGCACCAGTCTCAAGACAGCCAGTTTTCCCAACCCCGAGCACTGAGAAGACGCCTAGATTGTGATCTGGGGATGGCCGAACTAATGAAACTTCAATGAAATTTGAAGATAAGCCTATTCAGCTACATTTGGCAATATTTACTTTATATTTGACACCAGCATCCGATCTTGTGGCCGCTCATCAAGGCACGATCATAAGACTTTTACAAACATTCGAAATTCTCTTCTCTCAAGGCGCAACAGCCTCTCATCATGGCAGATATCCCAGTTCCCGGCACCGTGCAGCTGGTCGATGTCACGGGCACATCGACATTGCAACATGGAAAAAGCGAACATGACATTATTCTCGTTCCCCAGCCGACGAATGACCCTAATGATCCTCTCAATTGGTCGCCGATGCGAAAGCTCAACAGCAGTGTATGGCAACAGATCTGGACCTTCTTCGCCGCCATGGTCATCAACGGACTTACACCTGCATACCTCCTGATCCAAGAGGAGACTGGAATTCCGATTGGTGATCTGAACACTGGGAATGGCTTGATGTATCTCTTCTTTGGGTTTGGAACACTCCTTACACAACCCTTTGCACTAAACTTTGGCCGTCGCCCTGCTGCTGTTATTTCATTCTTCATCACCTGCTTCCTGGTACTTTGGGCCTCCTTCATGAACACAGTTGCCGAGTGGTATGCAAATCGTATCCTGATTGGCATCTTCTTTTCAACTATCGAATCTCTTATCGAACTCTGCGTTACCGACACCAAGTTTACGCACGAACGAGGCTTCCATATGGGCTTTTACACCTGGTCTCTGTTTGGCGGTGCATTTTTGGCTCCAATCCCTGCTGGCTTCTTGGCAGATGCCTTTGGATGGCGTTGGATCAACAGAATGTACTTTATCGTGGCTATTGTGGTCACTGTCGGCATCTTCTTTGGTTTCGAAGAGACCATGTTCTATCGCCACGACACCGTCAACGAGTTCCGAGATGCTCAGGCGCACGGCATCACCACGACTTCTCCAGAAGAAAGCACCAAGAAAGAGGCCGATAATACAACGCCCAGCCAGTCTGAAACAAACATGGGCGAGACTTACGTTAAGCGCAGTTACGTCGAACGACTCAAGCTCTGGGGCCACCGAGACCCTCAACAGCCCAACAATTTCTTCAAATTCATGTTTATTCCCATCTATCTACTCAGATACCCCAGCATTGTGTTCTCTGGTCTACTTGTGGGCAGTGTTCTAGCCTGGTACAATGTGCTCCTGGGTACCATGACCTCCGTATTCGGCGGCGCTCCGTATCATTTCAGCGCAAACATGATCGGCCTCACCTACCTTGCTTGCGTGATCGGCACCAGTCTGGGCTGCTTCATTGCTGGATGGTTGAATGACAACCTCGCCACTTGGGCAGCGCGCAGAAACAACGGTGTCAAGGAGCCCGAGGCTCGTCTCTGGGCTGCTCTTGTTCCTTTGATACTTCACCCAGCTGGGTGTATTCTCTATGGCGTTGGTGCCGCGAATGAGATTCACTGGATTGGGTTGTGTGTTGGTATTGTGCTGGTAACTTTATCTATTGTTATGGGTGCCACACTTGCTCTCAGTTATACTATTAATTGCTATAAGGAGCTCGCAGGTGAGGTTATTATTACTGTTATTCTAATTTAAAATATTATAGGTAAGTCTATAATCTAGTATTTATTTAGTATTATAAGAAACAGAACTAACTTACTATACTTAAGGTTTTACTTTTAGATATACTATTACGCCAATAGTCACCACTCTAGGCCTCTAGAATTCCTTCTATCTAGTTGCTTTTCTCGGCATAGGACTTACAGGCTTATACTTTATTATAATCTAGTTCGGAAAGAGTATAAGGAAGAGTATAGCTAAGTTATACTAGACTTTAGTTAAGTAGTATAGTTTTAAGGCTCATTAATATAAATATCTCTATAACCTTTAGGTCTCCGGCTTAATAAGTATAGTTCTTATTAATATTAATAATTAGTATTTCTCTTTAATATTATATAAATAACTATATTTCTTAGATAAGAAGCTATTTTAATTTTATTTAACTTATTCCTAAGAATACTAATATTAAAGTATAGGCTTTATAACCTTAGCTATTACTCTACTTATTTTATAATACTTATTATCCTCCCTTTTATAGATCCTATTTATTTTATTATAGAAGATATTAATTTATTTCTTTAAAAAATCTTTATTTCTATATATAAATATATAGTTAAATATAAAAGTATATTTCATATATTATTCTAAGAATAGAGCTAATATCTTACTATCTAAAAACTTCTAGTCTTCCTTACTATTACCTAGGGCACCTGCCTAGTAACCCTATATACTAAGGATCACTACTAGAGTAGCTCTACCTAGAGCTATACTTACCACCTTAAGTTTAAAATCCTCAGGTGTAAAATATAAGTCTATTTCTCTAGGGGCTATAAGGACCTTAGCCTTCACACTACCTAGTGCTTTCGCTAAGTCCCTATTATATTCTAGTAAGGCTAATATATCACTAAGCTACCAGGTCTAGAGTATAACTAATAGATTATTAGGATTATTTAATAAAGCCTAGGATTCCTAGAAGTTAATTAGGAAGTTATCTATATTAGCTACTCTAAAAGCCTCTGTATATCTCCTCTTATAATACTAAGTCTAGCTAAAACCCTAACCCATATAGACCCACCTGAAGGCTTTAAGACTAGCTTCCTTTTATTTATTAATCTAGGGCCTATAAGATAGATATTTCTAGCCTTTACCTATACCTTCGCTCTATCCGCCTTAAGCAGTAACTAGTACACTCTTTACACCCTTAAGGAAGATATTATTATAGATCGCTATCTTAGCTAATACGTAAATAGGCATAATAGCATCTATAAATTTAGGATATTATATAGCCCACTAGTAAGCCTATATCCCGCCTATTAAATATCCCACTATAGCTTTAAGATACTTTAGGCTAAGCTTCTCTATCATAAGCCTATACTAAGTACGTATATTATCCTTATAGGTAATAACTAGGAAGTCTTCTTATAAACTTAGTGTATTAGATAGTAAAATACTTTCGTTATTACTAATAAGCGCTAGTATAATAATAAAATACTTACTTAGGTTTAAGGATATATACATATCCGAAATAAGTCTAGCTAAGTTATTAATAGCTAGTTCCGCTCTTTAGCCTTCCATATCTATTTCTAGCTACTTAGTTCTTAAGGGCACTTACACCCTATATAAAATATTAGGTTTAATATTACTAAGTTCTAGCTATCGCTAAAGGTCTTATATACTATAAAAGCACTTAGTAATAGTTTTCTAGACTTAAGCTTTAAATCTCCTAAGTAGAAGATTTAAATACTATCTCTTTTTAGAACCTATTTCATAGTAGAAGTTATAATGTATTTAGATACACTTATTCCTTAAATTATATAAAGATATTAGATAACTTTAGTATAAGATAAGTAAAGCTATACATATTCTAAAGCTACTATAATATACACCTATATAGTTAATCACTTAATACTTATTAAAGACCTTTATTAAGGGGTTAGTGTTTACTCCCTAAGTAGAATAGTAGGTATTAGATACTGAGTTAGATTAGGGTAGTAGCTTTAATTAGTGTTAAGGGGGGTAATAAGGAAGAAGGAATCTATCTATTTATATAATAGTAGTTCTTTAACTTACTTAAAGTAGTAAAGCGATTCACCTACCTTTAAACTAGCGTTAAGATAGACCCCACACTTAACTCGCCTCTATAGGGAAGCTATAATAATAAGGATATATCTTAATCTAAATATAGATAACACTAGTAACTATTAAGGTTATAGCTAAGACATTAAGATTAATACTACTTCAAGATAACTTTAATAGCCTATTAAATACAAGAGTAGCCCAGGTTTCTTTATAGTATTCATTCTATTAACACCTTAATAAAATGCCTTCTACTATCCTAAAAGCAAACTTACCTATTAATAACTTTTCCTATTTCATGAATTTAGAGGGTGAGGAGAAGTTAAAGGCTATAACTAAAATAGTAGATACTTTCAAGACATATAGCTTTATTTATCTAGTAAATCATTCTATCTTAATAGAAAAAACAAAGACTCTCTTTAACTAGGTAAAAACTATAAGCCTATATTACCCTACATTATATAGAACAGAGATAAGAAGTACTAATAGATTATTCAGAAGGAGATATCTAAGATATAACTAACCTTTATATATAGAGTAAGAAGTTCTTTTATCTATTAGATGCTAAACACATAAAGCCTAAGCTTTTATACCTAGCTACTAACCTAAAGTAGTCTAGATTTATTATATATAGCTATACTCCTATTAGAGTAGAGAAGTTATTATAAAATCTTAATAATCAGGGCCTAAAGTCCCTTAGAGTTATCCCGGATTCTAAAGATATATTTAAGATAGGACTTGATAAGGGGGTTAATTAGGAACATAAGCTAAATAGATATCTACTAGATGCTATTATCCCAGGATTTTAAGATTTTACTACCTCCTTTTTCTAGGAGGCCTATAAACTCAGTATAGATATACTATAATATATAGCTATTAGGCTCAGACTTAATAAGAATTACTTTATAGGCTACTACAAGGATACTAATAATCTTTTCCACCTAATCAGATACCTAGCAGTTAAACGAGCAGTAATAAAGGCTAGCATAATAGCATATATAATAGCCCATACTAACTTCAGATCTATTACTATTCTATTTTAAGATAATATAGGCAGGCTTAAAGTTAAGGATCCTACAAAACCTAGCATATATAGTAGGTTATTATCCTCTATACTCTACTAGGAACTAGCTAACCACTCTATCTCCTAGTTATTACCACACTAGTGGAAAGCTCTATAATTATAAATATAGGTGATTTTCTAATATAATAGTAAGTTTCTTAATACTAAAACGACTATCACTATTTTTAATTACTAAATATATTTACCAGGTTAAATAATATTCTTAAGTCTAACCTATACTATATTGTAGAGCCTCTAGCAGATCAGGTTCTCTCTAATAATATTAAAATCACTAAAGAGCGCTTTTCTATCCCGTTCTTTATTTAGGCTAATCATAAGAAGGTAGTTTAATACATTAAGGAGCTTAAGAGCTCTAGTGCTAAATACCTGCCTATCTTAGCTAAGGAGTATCTTAATATACAGTAAAAGGTAATATTTAAGAAATTCTAATCCGCCTAATGCCGCCTCTAATATAATATTATATTTTTAAACTATATTTTATAAAATAATAAATACTATTCTAACTATACTATATTTATAGCCGCCTTTATCCTCTTAAATCTACTAATATAAAAAGAGGGGGTTAAGCGCCTTATATAATATATATATACCTTAGTGATATAAAAGCACTGCCTTCTCTTTATCACACTAGCTATACCGTAGGCCTATTATACTACCTAAACCTAGTAATTTAGCCCGCACTTAGCCCCAGAGCGTAAGCACTTCCTATCTTTTCTTTCTAATTTATACCTCTATGCTAGTTATACTACTCCTAGAGAGTAGCTTTATATAGGATAAATTAATTTCTATTAACTCTAGTGATAGTTAAAACATAATAGAAGAATATATTGAAATTAGTATTAACTACTCTTAATAAAATTAGATATATTAGGAAGCACTAAAATCTACTACTAGGGTAGTACTATAGTTAGCCTACTTTATTAACTAATAAAACCTAATATATAATAGTAAGCAACCTAGCGTTAGGGTCTCTATAATTTCTATTATCTAAAAGAGCTTAATAAGATTCTCTTTTAGGAGTAATATCTATATCTATCTAAGATATTTAAGAGGCAATGAAGTTATAGCTTAATATAACATCGCCCTACAACACAGTCAGCGCTTAGATTCTCTAGCTAATCTAGATAAGTTAGGCTCATCCTCATATAAGAGACCCCGCAAGGGGGAGTTAGATGCTCTATATAATTTATACGCCCTAATATTCTTAGAATAAGGCCTAGAGAGACTTAATTCCCAGGATAGCTTCACCCACCACATACGTAATAAGTGTAATACTTCAAAGGCTAGGGGCTACACCCTATACTAACTCATTTTTAAACTTATATTATAGATACATAATGAAGTCTAGGGATTAGATAATTATCTTATCTTTTAGAACTATAGCTTAGTAATCAGGTCGCTAATATACAATATAGATATACTTTAAGGAAGCCTTAAGGGTAAGCCTAATTTAATTAAAATTTACCTATTTACTAAAGCTTATATAATTCTCTTAATCCCTTATTTATTTCATTAGGAAATAAGAGCATTCTCTAACTTATATTAGCTAACCTAGCTTAGGCCTTAGTATATTAAAGACTACTATATTAAAATATCTAGAGTAGTTTAGTATTCTCTATAGCTAAGAAACTTATTAGTTCTTGCATAGAATTAAATAGACCCTGGAATAAGGGACACTAATAATATCGCTACTCTCAGGATACCGTGCTCCCTACTTATATTCTAGACCTTAGTAACCTAAAGACTCCTCCTTAGACTTTATATCTATAGGTTAATGAAATAGAAACTCATAGGTCCTACCTTACTTTAAGCTACTACTAGGGTAAACTAGACCTAAAGGTAGAAATCTAACCTATATATCTACGAAAAGATAATATCTAGTAGCTTATATCCGAGATCGAGCTTAATAGTTTGCCGCAGTCCATCCAAGACGCTATCATCATCACTCGCAAGCTTGGCTTTAGGTACCTATGGGTCGACGCTCTTTGTATTATCCAAGATGACGGAGAGGACAAGGCCCATGAAATTTCCAAAATGTCAACTATCTATAAGAACGCCGCCATCATGGTGGCCGCCAGCGTGGCAGAGAAGGCATCGCAAGGGTTTCTCCAAAGCCAAGGTAGGAGGGCCACCTATCTCCCTGAATGCATGGTCACTATCCCTATGTCAAACGCACAAACGGGGACCATTTACCTATCTGCTCATCAGTATGAACCTGACCATCCGCTCGACAAGCGCGGATGGGCGCTCCAAGAGTTCATGCTCTCGTCTCGCATGCTGATATTCTCCGACTACGAGCTCCTCTGGCAGTGCAAGGAAGTCGCTCTACAGAGCGTTACAGGCACGCAGGGCGGTCTGGAGTATCTCCAACCGCTCGAATCCTTGCCATGGGCTGTGTTTGACGACGATGCAGAGCCCTATTTTGGGTCCCTTGATGCTGACAAGATCTATCTCTGGAAGACAATCATTCACCAGTACACCGATAGGGACTTGACTGACCAGGAGGATCGTCTAAGGGCCGTGATGGGCATAATCACAGAATTGGAGGTGCTCTGGCGCGATCAAAACATCCACGGACATTGGAGCAAGTGGTTCGTGCAGCTGTTGGCATGGTACAAGCCTGATGTCGACAGAGTGAAGAAGCGGCACCTTAAACGGGCTCCAAGCTGGTCCTGGGCCTCTGTCAATGGCGGTATGTGCTACGAGGAACCCTTGGCGGATGAGGATGCTAAAGTTAAGACTTTGACAATGTCGAAAGTGGTACTTTGCTGTCGAATTCTGAGTTCTGATAAAGTTGAACCGGACAAGACAGATACAGTGCAAGAGAGGCCGGATTTTGTAGATTCCGCCGCGATGAGGGAGTTTGGCAACAATGATTGCGACTATATGCTCTTAGGTAAGACGCAGAACAATGATGGCTGCGAAAGGGGGATGGGATTAATCATCTTGAAAACGGCTCGGCAGCAGTATCGGAGAGTTGGCTTGGTGACTTTCAAAGACATGAGTATTTGGCAAGGTGTTGAGCTACAAGAGGTTACGTTTGAATAGGAAGCAATGTTGTGTTTAAAATTCTAGCCATATTAGCGCTTTTCATGGAGATAGAAAGAATATATACATCTATTGATTACGAAGTCCCCTTTGTGTCCGGCCTCATGCACCTCTCCTGGCGTGAATCTTCTCGTGTCTACGGCAATCACTCTGCCGGCCAAATGCTCTACCGCAAGTTGAACATGAATAAGGTCGATCCCCGAAATGGCTCCGCTCGTGGCCCCTGAGGTTGGTTTTCCTTGTGAAGGTGTCGTCACAGATCGAGCACTTGAAACGTCCTTGCCTTCGGGCGGGCGCCTCGAACATGGAAGGTCTTTCGCTCATCTCGCGATGGTACAGCCGCACATGCCGGTCTCTATCCTTCTTGTTTGAAAATCCTATGGGTGCCAAATTACACGCGACAGGGCAAGTGAATGGCCGGTCGTGCCGGGCGTGGTGGTTGTCGCGTGCCTTCGCGCTGTCGTACCCGACGTAAAAGAAGCGGCAGAGGGTTCGCTGACACTTGAAGAGATTGGAACCGTAGTAGTCTTCGATGGTATCAGTGTGAATAGCGCTGTCGGTGGGCACAAAATGTTCCTCGAGGCAGGTCCGGTTAATACGGAGGGCGTCATCGATCTGGCTGATACCGACAGTATTACGGCGATCGAAATCACCCTTCTGGTGAGTGAAGATGTGGTTCCAGATAATGAGGAGGTTCTCATGGAGATTTCCAGGGAAGCCTTGGAATCTATCTATTTGGTCCTGTTCCAGCTCCGCGTGGATCTCGGAAGTCAACTGGTGGCCATGGGTGTTGATGAACAACTCCAGGGCAGTCGCGAACTCCCATTGAGCCTCTATAAACTGTGTCTGAATATCATCATGAAGAATCATGACGTCGCTGCAACTTCTGATGACGGTGTTGATGTGGCTGTGCCAATGGGAACAGGCATAATCTTGAAATGAGAACCAGCCGTGCCTGGCATTCTCTTTGCGGTGTATGTCCTGGTAGCCATTTACAAAGCAAGGGAGAGATAGATACCTGAGACAGAGCGCTGTCAGTCTACATTGTACCTCTTTCTCACTTATGCGATTGTTGTCGATGATGTATCTGGTTCGTCAGCCGTGCCATTGAGTGATCGCCAGATAGATTGTGAAGCAAGAGTATACATACCGACGTGCTGTTGAGTGGATTAGCCGAATATGGCCTCCCTCTAATACATGTACCAAGGACCCCAGATATTTTCGTACATTTTGCCGTAGCATTCTGTTGTCGAAGTCGACCACAGCGTTGTCCGTGTCGAATGATAAGATGGATTGAATCTCGTGCCATTTGAGGGGTCTCTTCGCGCAAACCAACCATCCTAAAAGGATCTTTGCCTTTTCCCACTGAGCATTACCTCCTTCCGACTTCTTGAGCTTTGCCTCGATAGAGCCAAGGAGCTTTTCATATCTAGAACCGGTTGTCAGTATGTCTCTTGGTATTGACTGATAGTGGGTCATACATGTCTTCAAGTTTTTTGGGGAGCATTTCTTGCTTGATTTTTTCGAGCAGTTCCCCCTTTGTCTGTTGTTGGAGCAAATACTCCATAGTGAGATGTGCATAGAGAAACATGCCTAAGCGTAGATGTTAATTTGGAATCAAATAGGACACTGCTCAGGTGAGTAGAGAACTTGCCTTGACTCTGGTGACAGACGATGCTCTCCAGCTGGTTTCTATCAGCATCCGAGAGGTTAAAGCCACGGTTGAATTCATCTGACGCCGAGAACTCCAGCATTCTCTTTTGCACATAGGTGCGAATATCCTCGGCGTTATCGGTGGGCTTAAGCGGGATGCTGGCGTCGCCTTCGGGCATGTGTTTGCTCAATTCTAGCATCGTTTGGCTGGTGAACAACACTCTCAGTTGGCCAAGTTTCACATCGTTGTCGCACCTGGCAACCAGTTGCATGAAGAAATGTGCCGTCTGGCGTGCCTCATTTGATTCACACTCGTCCAATCCATCAATAATTATGTACTGCCTAGGTGCGTGCTCAATAAAGGCTTCGATGAGCATCTGCGCTGTTTCAGCGTTGGACAAATTGTCCTCTACGCCTTGATGCATTCTGTCATCGCAAAGAGGTAGAATGTATTCGTCCGCATAGACCATTTGGTGTAAGACTCCCTTGAGGATGTCGAGATAGGTTCGATGCTCATTATCGTCCTCTTGGCAGTAGAAATAGTAGGTGTTGCTGTCGGAAGGAATCACGTTCTTCATTTCTGCCGTGCTGAGAGATTTCAACTCATCCACAATGAGCGATGCCAGAATTGTTTTCCCTGGTGACGTATTAGCACGGTACTGTAAGTTTGCTTCAAATAATGTCTGGGTTATCCTTACCGAAACCTTTGCTCCCATGAAGCCAAATGGCAGACTCTGGTGGTTCATCCTCTTTCATCCAGTCAGAGACCTCACCGTAACTCCTGAAAAGCCAGCGCCCGCTTTTGGGACATTGACTTCTGATCTTTTGAAATCCCTTGTGCATTTCTTCAACCTTGTTCGAGGGCGAGATCCAAGTTTTAATTGCGGCTCTTTGTTTCCTCTTTCTTTCGACCTCACTTTCCTCAAAGTCTCTCCAAAATGCCTTTGCGCCGTATCGGTATCTGCTGAAATCATCGTTTATACGCTCCCGATTCTGTGGATATGCAGCACCGACACTATTATTGATATGGTAATGGTTGTTGCTGAAACCATCAGGGTTGTCTATAAGGCTAGCGCGGCACATTTGTATGAATTTTCCGTGTGTGTCTAAGGATTTTGCAAGTTGCTTAAACGTGTGGTTCAGGTCCTTCCAAACAGACTTGTGAAGTCGTTGCCATACTAAGAAGTAGTATATCAGCGTCTGAACCGACTGTGAGCGCCGGGGTTCATCTCACATTTTGTGCGGAGCGAGAAGAGCTTGTATGCCAACGTATGGAACCTCTGAACGTCGTCGTAAATGTTCACTAAGCATTCTTCGGAGCCGGCAAACTTTTGAAATATCTTCTCATACTTGGACAACTCTGGCATGTGTACACCAAGCCGTTCATAGACGTCGAGGACACTGTCGAAGGCTTTCTCTGCTGGGCTAGTATGCTGGAGGGAAACAATTAGTTTTACTCTAGAGTGGCAAGCGGAAACGTAAGTCACGGTCGTGACTAATGGCACATACCTTCAACAAGAAGCGAATCGAGCCCCAGACGTATGCCATAGCGCGCCCTGCGTCGCGAGGATTTATCGCCGCAAGAGCCTCGGCGAGATCTTCCATCCCGGAGAGAAACTTTTTGATCCTATTCATGTTCATCATGGTTTTTGTTCGGTCCTGCTTTGACTGTATGTCACTGAGATCCGTTTGCATGTCTTCCAATGTGCTGGACTCAAATTGCTCCTTGTCATGGGGCTTCAGGCTGTCCCCAAACTTCTCAGCTATTTCGGCCAGCCTGTCCATGTTTGCATTCGTGCGGGCCTGCTATACCTACGATGTCCAGGCTGGGCTTGATGGAATCAATTGGATTCGCGATCACATTATTCTCCGGCTAGAGTCGAGCGTAGTGTTGGGCGATATTACGTTCTTAGCAAAGACAAAGATGAGAAAAGATTTCAGTGTCTTCTGCATGCGTACATCATCTCTGTACAACCAACCAACCCCCTGGTAGGTTTCCAAAGTGCCTTTCTGCATTGCCACCACCCACCAACAGAATTCTCAGCCCCCTGCGCTTGGCGGGCAGCCCTTCCTGCACAGCAAATTGCACTTATTCTGGCCCACCGGGTGATTGCGCAGTTCCCCGAGCACAAGTCACACCTCTAGTAAGCCTGAATGCAAGCACCGCCACGGAGTGTCCGATTCGACGCCGCAGATGGTCCGCGAACCATTCTTGCAGCTTGATGCACCAACCAAGCGAAATCGCAGCACAGAAGGCTCGATATTTCCCTAGATTCTGTCTGTGAGCAGCATGTACTCTTTAAATATCCATCAGTGAAAGGTGCCGCTTGGGATGATGGATGTTCCGAACTTCCTCATCGTTAAGTCAATAGAAGTCTCGACACACCTGTGTGCAAAGCTCCATCCATCCATCAACGGGCCATCATGTCTCGAGCTCTCCAACAACTTCTAAACCCAGTTGATGATGAGGACGATCTGACGGTTGATGGACCTTTCCGTCCAAATGAATTTGTGAATAATGTGGCCATCAACCATGCGGATTTCCTCGGCGCTGGAAATAGCTATGGCGGAGAATTTTTCAAGTGAGCGGCTATGTTCTTCCCAATCGCGATCGATCCATTCCTGGATTTGGCACCATGCCATGAAACTAGACTAAGCAGCATAGTGATGTTCCCATCTTCCAAGGGGATTTCCTTTCCGATGTTTCCAGCTCGACAATGGTTGATCCCGAATTCAGCCAGCAGTCAGATACTACCACAATGGGCAGCGAAACTGAGTACAGCTTGGACGCCGATCTATTAGAATGGCAAAACACCGTATTGCTACAAGAGAATCTTCAAGAGAATCTTCATCACAGCCTTGATTGGCCTCAACCTTCATTTGTGCCCCAGCAGATATCCCAGGCTTCATCGCTTTCGCCTATGTCAGATCAATATGCCACACAGTCCGTCGCACAGGTGGATGACGTGGACACTGTTGTATGCTATGGAATGGTAAGTAACTCAGCAGCTACCGATGGAGATATCTTAACAGGAAACACTCGACTCGGTACTAATCTGGCTCAGCTGCATTCAATAGATATCAAATTAGTCGGTGACCTGTCGTCGATCGACGTGGGGCTCCGGGCGTCCGAGTCGATATATCAGCGTTTCGAACTCTCGAACGAGCAAGATAACATCATCATACGCTTCCCTGGAAATAGAGACAAATTTGGATACCTACGCTCAGCCGAGACCAAGACAATCTCACAGGTGCTGTCCCACCGTGTAACGTTCGAACCAGTTGCCCTCAAGGCGGCTCTTCGAGAGGTTATCGGGCGCGTGCACAAGCCGGCAGATGCAATGGTAAAATTAGACATCAATGTGTACGGGCCGCGGCAAGAGTCGTCACGTGTGAGTGATACACTATCCCGCGGCAAGCTTTGGTTGCAGAGACCAGATCATAGTAGAGAAGGGGTCATTTATGAGAACCCACATTTCTTGAAGCTGAAAATCAACGGTGATCGGGAGAGAACTCTGCTACCAGTAGAGCATGTAGTGGGTAGCGTGGCACCGAGGAGAAGTGTTAGGGAAGAACAGCTTCGAAAACTGGTGGAGGAGGTATATCAATCAGTCGACAACAGCCGCGAGCTTGAAAGGGTTGACGGGGGAGCAAGGGTCACCCAAAAGTTACTCAGGTATTATAACCTTGGGAACAGACACATCAGGATCTTTGCTGATATTAATTTCTCAGACACCAGCAAGAAGCTTTAGCTTTTATGCTCGAGCGAGAATCTGGTCACATTGCTGAGAGGTATAGGCTTTGGCGGGAGGTTACTTTGGAAGGTAAAGTAGAGTAAGTTCAACTTTGACGTTCTTTCAGCCACGCGGTTACTGACTGCATAGGTATCAACATAAGATCACCAAGGCCAGGAGATCAATTCGGCCAGAGGAGTCAGGAGGTGGCATCTTGGCTGACGAAATGGGGATGGGGAAGTCGCTTTCCATTCTAGCGTTGGCCATGAAGACGCTCGACGATGGCCAGCAATGGGCCGACGAGTTGAACATTGGCCCTGTGGGCAAGAAGCCGATCAAGCATTCTCGTTCAACGCTCATCGTTGTCTCATCCGGCTGTAAGCTCCATGATCCTTGCACACCTCGTAATTCAAAGCTGACTCTCTACAGTATTGATTACCAACTGGGAGACTGAAATAACAAGGTGAATTTCTGCAGTTTTCTTCTATTGAATCATAGTTCTAAGACTACCTAGCCATCTCCAAGCAGGCCTCAAGGTAATCGTATACCATGGGCGACGAAGGGAGAAGGATGTCGACAACATACAAGACTCGGATATTGTCTTGACCACATATAGCACACTTGCAGTCGAATATCAAAGGAAGAAAGTTGAACCCTCCATCTTACATCTCATTGGATGGTATCGGGTAGTTCTAGACGAGGGTAAGTTGTGTGTCCCTAAGTTCTATAACTTAACACTAACAGTTATAGCTCACATCATTCGCCGCCCTTCCGGAACCTTTTATCATTCCTGCAGTGAACTGAGCGCTCACTCCCGCTGGTGCCTTACTGGTACACCCATTCAGAACAAACTAGCCGATATTGGGACACTCTTCTCCTTCATCCGCGCCGAACCCTTCAACAAGGCCGCAACCTTCCGCAGGTGGATCGACATAGCCTTTGAGCATACCGCAGATGACCCTAAGCACGTTAAAAACCGCCTGGTCATGCTTCTCGAGGCTTTCTGCTTGCGGCGGACAAAGGAGAGGCTGGAATTGCCAAACGTGCGGCAAGACATCCGCTGGCTGGATTTCAGCCCCGAGGAGCGCACGCAGTATGACAGCACGCAGCGCATTCTGATGCGTTCAATCAAACAGCGCGTCGGAGAGACGGAAAAGGGCTCCAAATTCGGACTGTTCCAAGCGAATCTGCAGCTACGTATTCTTTGCAACCATGGAACGTTCCAGAAGCCATTTTCATGGCAACGGCGTATTTACCAAGATGAGAGGGAGGCGAAAGGGTGCGCACTGGGAAGGGATGAGGAAATAAAGTGTTCTGTTTGCCAGCAGCCCATGCCGGTTGTCGGGTCAAGCTGGTTGGGAAACATGTTTGAAGACCACTGTTCGCATGTACTGTGCTCGGAGTGTATTCAAGAGTCGACGATGCCCGACTCTGGGCTGCAGATACGTCGCTGTCCTGTGTGTGTGGAATGGCGGAGGCCTCAAACTGTCGAGGGCATCGGCTCAGAGGTTGCCGCAAATGGTGAATCCGGGGATATTGACATGACTGATGGCCCTGTTAGGAGGACCTCTATTGGTGACGACCATGACTACTACTTCAGCTCGGAGGGACATTCCACCAAAATGAAGAAGTTGGTTGAAGATGTGGCAAAAGATCTCTGGGAGACCAAAAGGTACGTAACCTACACTGACCATTGATTGCTCTGATATGTAAGCTAATCTACGAAGCATCATCTTTTCGTGTTGGACGCGAACGCTGTATTTGGTGTCAAGGCACCTACATAAAGCCAATATTCCTTTTCTATGCATCGACGGAAACTGCCCACTTCAAAAGCGGCAGGAAAACCTTGAAATGTTCGAGAAAAGCAACGAGAAGCCTGTCCTTATCATGACAACAGGTACCGGCGCTTTCGGGTATGTGAAACTTGTCACCCTTCACTCCTCCGATGTTGACATTCTTTTCTAGTCTCAACCTAACATGTGCCAACCGAATCTTCATTGTCGAGCTACAATGGAATCCAAGTGTTGAATACCAGGCCATCGCCCGCGCCATCCGATTTGGCCAAAAAAGCGAGGTCCAAGTCATGAGATACATCATCCGACACACGGTTGAAGAGGTTTGTTGTCATATATATGCTCTCTATCATCTAGGATGCTGACGGCAGACAGGAGATGAGAAAGCAACAGCAATGGAAGAAACAACTCGCCACCTTTGGATTTGACGAGCCTGTAGACGAGATGGATGTGGAGGAGCAACAACCGTAGTGTCTTGAAAGTACCAAGACAGCACCTGGCCAGGCAGACCTATATCATATGAACTTATCCACTGCAAAATATACTACCTTTCATCAAAAGTGTTGTCCTCTTATTTTCGCAGGCTGACCCATGTTCGTCTCCGTTGTTAATCTCCGAGGAAATATCACCAGTTTTTTTTTCAGCCACTGGTTTCGTTAATAAAGATTAAAGTACTGTTTCAAGTTCCCAGCCCTTTGCTAGCCGGTTGATGAAACTTGTTCCTACTACGCCTTCCTATAGTATTCACTCCGCTGTGAATATGGTCTTTTAAACATTGTTATTCTCATGGCCTCTCAAGCCATCTGATCTGTGATATTAATGAGCCTGTAATATCCTTATCAGCTTGGGGCGGATGCTGTGCAGGTATGATCGACTCAACATAGACTACATCAAACTATCCCTGAAATTATAATAAGTCGCAGGCCGACCTTGCTTGGTAAGCAAAAGTGAGAACTAGATTATCACGGGCCCGGACTCTGCGCTACCTAGCTGAAACCTAAACCAGGTTATCGGCTTCCATAAGCTTGAAACTGTTGCTTCGTTTCTGTTTCTGCTTTCCATACCAATTCGTCGTGTAATGCCACGTAGCAACCGTGACCATTGTAAGTACAACAGAGCAAACTATAAACACCCAGATGTATTTTGATACGATTGATTGGCCATCTGATGGAAAATTAAATAAGGAAGTGGAAAACACGGACTGCTATAAGTCAGCCAAGATCCTGTTGTCTCTAAGGGGTCGGAATACTCATACTGCTACGCAAGAGAGCGGAATGTATATCATCGTCAGGAGAGCAATTGACTTCATTTGGATGCTCTCGGTCTTGGTTTCAATTGCAATCATATTGTTGACCTTTGCGATATGTGTGTTGGTTCTCGAATCCTTCTGGGCGATTTGATTCCACAGCTATGAAAGGTTATGTCAGATGATGCGCTTTCAAAACAGAAGTTATATGATTACTCACTGTCTGCATAATGAGCGATAAGCTCTCGGACATCATCTTGCATTCATCGATTTTATCGTCGTACTCATGAAGCATGTCCTGTAATCTACCTTTTATTCTTTCTCCGGTCTCTCTGAGTTTCATCCTCTCTATAACATCCACGGTTTTATTTGTTCCCTCAAAATTTATAACAGCCATCCACTCATTGAAACGATCAATGTGGGTTATAAATTTTGAGATCTGTCTCTTGGTAGACCGTATCTGATCGGCCAATTCGCGGCTCCGCAGACAGATGGCGAGATTTTCCCTGGTTTTGCGGTTATCGACCGGAAGATCTGTGTTCCAGTATTTCATGTCCAATACTTCAGCACGAAGAGAAAACTGGTCCACCAAATCGTCCACGGCATTGACAAGCCTCTCTCTTTCTATCTCCGCAAAGATTCCTACGGTAGTCAGTGGATGATGCAATCCATCACCTGCTAGCGATATCCGTCGTTGGATCTTTTGCATCTGCGATTTATTACACCCATACACAATGCAGAACTGTGATTTTGTGGCCGGGATAAACGTAGACGACAGAGCAAGATCATCAGGTAGACCAGCTGACATGCGTGCTAGATAAGCTGAGTAAATGGAATCCGTCAATACAGCGTCAATAGGTGATCACACACGCTCCGCACTTACAAAACTCAAGCTGGTCGTTGCAGTTAAGATATTTCGTTGCAGAGAAGCAAGCAACCCTTCTGGAGATAACGCGAGTGATCCCTCTGTGCACATGCCAACTAGGCACCAGTAGCTCCCATACGGGTAGTGTAAAAGGTAAATAGCTAGGCGGTGAGGGATCTCCCTCAAACACGTCGGGTGCTCTGCTGCATAGTCTACAGCGATCATCTTAGCTTGCTAGGATCTCAGTTTGGGCGGGATGATATGCCTACAACAGATGTAACCCTTCCCTCTCTTGATCAAGGGGCGAAATTCCAATTGCCTAATTTTTGATTTTAGAATTCAATCAGCATATAAAGTTGGGGAGACATACGCTAGAAAACCACCTGTCCCAGCTCTCATCTGTTGATAACACATCTACTACGGGGATCTATTGGACCATCAGCATGGGTTGCAATAACAGAGGACAGCAGAGCAAACCTCATCTTTCTGTAATTTCCGGATGGCTCTGGCATCTTTGGCGCCTTCTTCCTTGTAACCAAAAATGTTCCAGTCATTAGGTAAAAATGTCGGGTCAGTCGGCATCCAATCCATGTTCTAGCCTTGGAGCACAAGAGGAATTAAAATGATCAACAACCAAGAATCTTTTGACCCAACAGCGGCTCACAACGACAGCTTTGCGTCTGTGATGTTTGGCCTTTGAGAGACTCGGCGCATCAACCAGGAAGTTGGATATGGCCAGTCGAGCCCTTCAGCGTGGCTGTGCAGTCGATCGGTGAGACTCGCTGCACCTGCACGTTCTCGGAAGTGACTGCAGCAGCTGATGGTCGAAAATGCACGCAAAAACGCCTTGATACGTGGGCTGATGTGATTCGCCTGAAATGTAATCTCGGAGAGGAGACTCGGGTTGCAATGCATAGCTACATCATCCACACGGATGTGTGCATTATTCTTCGCTACGGATGGATATGTAGGTCCAGCTCGCACTGCCTTCGCAGACAATGAGGCGAAATGCACTTTTTCCCATTGAGGACCCAAGACAATAATTACAGGGTGTGTTCTTTCGCTCCCTTTAGGGTGTTGCACGTGATTGACGGGCCTGCTTAAGGCAGAGCATAGCCACAACCATATGCAGGTGAAGCAATCTACTCAGCTCACCAGTAAGAGGACGTCATGAGACATATATCAAATCCAAAAATCTCCAAGGTCTTCTCCATCGAAGGCACAGCCTTGGTGGCTCCCAAGTTGCAGGTATACCGTATGATGCTTTTGCCTTCCATCGCGACCTATCTGTTAAACCAAGAGATGAAAAGGAAAAGAGAAAGATAGAAAGATCATCATATTGTAATAAATAACAACACAATCAATATGTACTATGCTTTCACATTCCACACATGCATTTATCAGCTTGTACAGACAATCGACTCCACCAACATAATTACTGCACCCCCAACCCGTTGAACCCGAACCTATCGCTTGGAAGGCGATAATCCTGACTCGGACGACTGCGACGGAACCAACTTAGTTGTTGATAGACTGACTAAATTTACTGTATATGTACTTACCTCTACCCAATTCAAATACACATGTAGATTTTGTGACCCCATGAACCCCGGCCGGAGTGCGTCAAGGTATCCCTTCTCACTATCATAACTACCTTATGTATAAACGTGTAATTTTTCGAGAAAACTAGAATAAATCCGAATACGATTCCATGTCACAACCAAATATCGTCGTAGCTGCATTAGTCTCGCCTGATTGATAGCAGAACGCTTTTATACGTGACACGTAATCCGATAATTTTATTATCATAACAATACTACGCGTATAGAGACGGGACAAATGAAATAATCAAAACAATGCCGCCTATGAAAGAGCCCACCAAAATCGCCTGACGTTGGCGAAATCCATCCCAAATTTTCCCGCTGATCCCTACATTATCTGACACGAATAAATTCACAACACGTATGTATCGGGCTGCCTCTGTGGCCACCAATATCAAGCATGGCCATGCCCATTCAGCTGGAGGATCGCCTGGCAACGCGTTGTCAGATGACACCTACTCCCCCCATTTCGAATTATCGGCCTGATTCAGGGAGGTCAGGGCACTTACAGTCCTTCCACCTTTTCGTGTAAAATGTCTCCGAATGCCGGCACCCTTCTTGAAGATACCTGAGCCTTTTCACGAGAGGCGTGGCCCTGATTCTTCTCTTTTTGTCACATATCAACATCTCAGACTCGATCAGCTCTAGCATCTGAAATAGATACCAGCTGCAAGCTTCGTTATCCTTTAGCATCGCGATGCACTGTTTCACGGCAGGCTTGATCTCAGCCACTTTCAGATCAGGTGGCCCGGTGAGCATGAAGAAGGTATCTGCATCGAAGCCGTAAATATCCTTCATTGTTCTGTCGTCGGAAAACTTATCGGGAAAGTCAGCACCGAGAAGAAACCAAGTGATGTGCTCGAGAAAAACACAGCCAAGACTATAGACGTCGGCCCTTGGACCCACGCGGCCATCTGGGAGATCAAATTCCGGCGAGCGGTACGTTTCAGTTCGACCCAAAAGTTTCGGGTCCTGATTCGATCTAGAAAGCCTCGTGTGCAGCCTCCCGAGCCCGAAGTCGGCCAAGACAAGTCTCGATTCTCCCGTAGACAATTCGAAGTATAGTATGTTGCTTGGTTTAATGTCCCCGTGTCTGCCATATATATTCTTAAAGTCTGGTAAATTCTTCAAGTCTTGTATATCGTCAGGCAAGGGGAAATTTACGCGGTCGTTATGAATAGCCTCCAGTGCCTGTCCTAGCCCTAGAAACTGCTCAGACATTGACAGGCAATGCTGCATTTTTCCTACCAGGGATTTTTTCAGCTGCCAGAAATAGTCCAGAGGTCCCTCGGCCCAATCAAACAAGAAGTAGAAAGTCGGTTCGTCACTGTTAAGCTCTTCAAATGTCGCCAGAACTTGTATCATGTATCTCTTTTCGACATTTTGCTTTTCGGCATTTTGCTTTTCGACATTTTGGTCGGCAGAGAAGAGCAGCGAAGACAGTTCCAGATCAAAATCGAGGCGTTTGTGAGATATAAGTTTTTTTAGGGCATAGTAGCCCTCAGAATTTCTCAACTGGATATGTTAATTAGTCACTACTCATTTCTCGATGCATGAGACTTACCCCAGTGTCGGGCAATCGACAGTGGCAATCATGAAGCTGTACTTTGTGCACTTCGCTGAAGCCTCCATCGCCCCCATTTGCAGGCTTGCCGGCCTGGCCATCAGAGTTGTTCTCAGCGCGAGAGGTCTCCTGTTCAAGCGTAGGATCCGGGAACTTAATTGGGATACAATTTCCAGGATCTAGCACATAATGTGAATGTCGATCCGGATGGTAGGCAATATACGGTGCTGTGAGACAACGGGCCCATTGTAGAAAGTTTTTTCGGTCACTGGACAAGTTGTCGGTGCTATTCATGATTGCTGTGTGGCTGTTGTTTGAGCATTCACAGTGGAGTTGAAACGCGCGGTCACCAGGCTTAGCTTTCAAAGGCAAGCAACCGTCATTTAGTCCGCTGACGAGATGCTGGCTCATTTCGGCTTCCATCTTGCTCATGATGAGGGCGCCGAAGATTTTAAGAGCCGGGCGTTGACCGTCTGATCCGAAGTAGATATTCTGGGCTAGAACCTGCATCTGCTGAGGAGTTCGACCTTTGAAACATGGCAAATTGTATATGATCTCAAGGACCCGCTCAGGGGTCATAATCTTCTCATATTCGCTTCTTGGAATGAACTGCCTTGCATGATCAAACTGGTACCAGACTTGAGCATCGTCGAGCTCGCGTCGAATCTTTTTCGCCGTAGTAGTGCCTTTGGGCTCTACAATGTGACGACGACGAGTGGGATTATGTTCATGAAAGAGAGATTCACCGTTGTCTCTGATATGCCGTACTCGGTCCGGGTTGTCTGACTGGAACAACCGCTTAGTGCCGTTCGCTGCTTCTTTAGGACTCATTAGGCCGGAATATGCCTAGAACCGAGTCAGTTTTCATATTGCGTAACAATTATAGCCCGCCATAAGCTCCGGGTACACTGTGGCATGAATACCTGTGTGAGATGATGATCACTTGATCTTGAATTCTTAAGCTGGCCAAACGGTCTCACAGATGGAAGCCGAAATGCTGTGTCACAGGCAATAAGCGAATGACCTCTATAGAATTCGCCGAGAAATTATGGGTCAAAAACGATCACTCTCGCTAAGCAAGAGATTACCGACGAGGCACTCGAGAGGCTAAAAAACTGAAAATTGGATCAGCTCAATGATTGATTTCCAAAGCTTAGCATCACAATCTGGTTGGAGGTGGTTTTAAGTTTATTATGGGCGCCCATTATTACAACTTTATTTGCTCATACAGCCATCGAGCCTCATTTTGAAACCTCAAGGTAGCACAAGCACCTCCCGATTATATTACCGAGCCTTAAAGACACACACCGACATGGTAAGGCGAATTTTGCCTTGCAGTTTTGATAATGGCAGCCCGTCAGCCGTCCTTTTCAGCCTCAGGTGACAACCCTTTTTCGTACCGTAAGGGCTGCATCAAGGCGGACGACCCGTGACTGGTTCGCACCATATGCGAGGTGTGTTGTAGTGAGGCGATGTCCATCCATCTCAGCCTGAATGTGAGCCCCGCACATCCGTGGGGGCAGTTATGGGCTGCAATCTTGAGGACGCAGGAGGCTATGTTCAAGAGTTGGCGGTCACGAAGCTCCCTGTACATGATCTTCGTAAGGCACGATATGAGTGTTTACTGACCGACGTCCGTCACCACTTGCTTCAGTAACCAATGATATAAGCATCAATAATGAGACAGTAAAAGAAGTATTTCAAGGCTTTCATATTCACAGACGGTTAATATTTTGACCGTGTCCCGTTGCGGCACAGGGCAGAGGGGGTGGCTATGCACAGTAGATGCATATTCATGGGCTTATCACGCCCATCAGCGAATTCTAATTGGTTCTTCGAAAAAGATCATCCCAATATTTCGTGCCTCTATCAAGTAACATGTGTAGTATTATTGAGAGAGATTGGGCAAGGCGCCGAAAATGTGGCCGCGAGGGCTGCGGATGTGAAAAGTGAGCGGGAAACTGGGCCAATCATTCGTAATAAAGATGGCATAAGGTAATTGCCTATCTTATACCCCAATGTGCAGTAGATTGTATGTGGCATTCTTGTTGGCATAATTGGTATTCATTAGTCGTATTTTACGAGAGACCGACTACTGGCTCCCCAGCCGTGAATAAAGAGAGGCGGCCCCTTTCTTGTTCCGATCAGAGAAGCTTCAACTTTTCATCGTACTTAATTAATTATGTAAGTTTCCCGTGGTTTCTATACCTCAGGATGCTAACGGATGGGCAGTTCATACTATCATATCTCAATGCAACAAGCAAGTTAGGCTATAGTTATCTATTCCATCAATCGTGCGGTCCACCTACAACTACCGAAACTATGTCACACGTTCAACCATCTTACCGATCTTCAGTTGCCAAAGATGTCTATTGGCAGGACGGGGAGAACGGAAAAAAGATTACTTCTGTCTCCGCGTCCAACGTCAGCTCCAGCCAGTTGAAGTTGTATCTGGACCAGTACTACCCAGAGCGATACTCTGTGCAGGTAACTCTCCAAACCCAACCCGCATCAATCATATATTCACAATTTGAAGCTTAAGAGAGATATTTTCCGGATTACGATAATCGGCGAGGCATAAACATTGCCAACTACATGCTCAATAATAGCCTCTAGCATACAAGCGCTTAAAGTGCTTGAGATGCTCAGGAAGATCACATTTCCAATCAGGCCATGATCCCATGCCCGAGATACCTGGCCACGGGCACTCATACCCTTCGTTTTGAAAAGGAAGGCACACATTCTGGGCTGTCGCTTGATGTATGCGCAGGTTTCTTTTGATATGGATAAGTTTCTCTTTCTCTTCAGTTATTTCGATCAGCGTCCTTTTATGCTTTTTATAGTTTTCCCCTCGCAAGAAACCGCATAGTGTACTGATATATGTATTTGGTGTATGTCGAGATTGTGTTTTTTTGGTCAAGTCTTCCTATTCAAGGTAACCTTCTGTTTATTTCACAGAAAGGCTCTATCCTAACCATCGTGGTTTTCATTGGTTCTCCGATTGTCGCGCTTTTGACTATTTCGTTATGCTTAGCTTCCTATATGAAGAAGATCTCACTTCGGAAACCTCCGATAGGTTGAATGTAGCTAAGCATCACCACTAAATTGATAATGGTGGCCCATCACAAGCAAATATTAAAACGACTATGGATTGAAAAATGTTGACATCAAAGTCTGCAGGCCCTCCCCTGCTCAAACTTGATGTTCAAGGGTAATCAACGCCACCTATTCACTCTCGCATATTCATACGCAGTGTGGGAGTAATCCGACCATACTTCTCCATGGGGGCTTGGCAGATTCGAAATCTTTCGTGCAGAAAATGGTATTTTGGAGCCCACGCATGGCATGTCGACTTGGCCCAAGAACGCTGCCATTCTCTTGTCCTTGAATCGAAGAGTTCCATCCTCCGGGTCTGGGTAGATTTGGCCTTCACCAGTCTCGCTGCATCGAAACTTGATGAAATATTGAAACGGTTGTGTACCAGCCGTCCTGGATTTCTTCCTCGGTTCATGCCGCGGGGCCGAAGCTTGGAATTTCCTTTTCCTGCCTCTTGTCCCGGACCCCCGATTAACATCCCCACTCGCGTCATCAATTTCACTCTCATCTTCATCTTGCGCATGCTCCCCCTCGTCTGAATCGGGCTCCTCTGTGTCTCCTTCATCAGACCCATCTTCAGCGTCGAGGTGAGAAACATGCTCATCCAGCTTTCCTTTTTCTGTACAGATAAGCATAACGCCTTCTAGAATCCCAAAATCAAAGACAACTCTGAAGATTCCATCTTGATCAGTTTCATCAATATCAAGAGTCAGGTCATTGACATCATCCCAGCCCTGTTCAATTGCCTCACAGTCGACAATATATTGGCCAGCAGGTGAACAAGTCGTCTGTCTTCCTTTGCGTTTGAGAGATTCAAGGTACTCCTGATGTAGCTCGTCACGCTCTTCTTCGCGCTGTTTCTCTGCTGCTCTAGTCTCCTCCGCTTCTTTATCTGCGTGGCTTAAAGCCGCTTGCTGCACAGCCTCTTTGTCCCAGCCCATGAAAACCGTTTGTGTCTTGAGCCCGTGTCCTGTCGCGCAGTGAAGACCCTCGACCTTTTGAGCCACCCGGCACATGCTTCCCGTTCGATATGCGCTGGATCGATCGAAGGGGATCCCGACCGGGGTGGTTGCCTTGGTTTTGTCGGGACGCCCCGCTGTAAGGAAGTATTTGTCCATGGCGAATTCTGGATAGTACGATAACTTGTCGGAGGTAAGGTCATCGAGCCACTCGTGGTGCATCTCTTCGCGCAGTGCGAGAATGTGATCAGGCACTTTGTCACATTTTCCGGCTTGAAGAACTTTTTTCATAAGTAGCGTACCGTTTCCTGAAAACTCATTCTCACGAAATGAGACTCCATAGTGTAGGAGCTGGCCGCGAACAAAAGACTCCCCTTCCTTTGCTAAGACCTGACGCCCCTTAGGACTTAGATTGGGTAGAAACATAGCGCGTAGATCAGATCCTTCCATACGTTCCACGTGACCTACACGAAACCGTCCAGACGAGTAAACAAAGCCATCACGGACGATTTCTCCCCATCGGTTTTTGCCCATGATGACTTTCAGGGCGGGTGTAGGCTTTTATTTGTATTTTCACTTGACGCAAAGGAGGCTTTTGTCAAGATATAATGTTGGTTTTCGCATTGGGATGGGGCGGATCTAAATACTGGCAAGAAGAAATTCTCTACCGCTTGCCTACGTGTCGTTTTGTGCAATAAGGGCACATATAACTTTGAGCTTGCTTCTTCGGCCAACCTTGATTGACACACACGAGGGGCTCCCTAACTCCTGTCCACCACGCTAATGTCCAGGTAGAGCATACTTGTTCTGTTTTGACTTCATTTTGAGCGGGGCCTTTGATGATTGTTCTACTCTAATCCACGTGGCGACAAGTACGCAAGCTACGTAACGTAAGAGAAAGAGAATAAAGTTTAACAGCAATGGAAGCTGCCAGAGCCCGACAACTCAACACAATGAATAGTCAACCCCACTACAAAGGGGGTTTTGATTCTAGTTCCGAACCCTGGACTTCTCATCACTGAACTTTTCTTGACTTATCGTCTCAAGCTTCGGCTTCTCATAAAAAACTGATGGGCCATCGAGGAGAATGAAAAATCAAGCTAGCAGATGCTCAAGCAGCCATGATTAGCAAGCATTAAATTTACATCACATTGTGACATGATTATGTGAATATTCTTCCCCTGTCAAACCACAGATTATCTGTGATAAATTTTAACTCGATTAGAAGTGACGAAGTTTTGAATGAGAACAATAGCTATTTATTGTTCAAATTTTGGAAGTTCGAGACTCCCTGTCCTCGTCCCACTTCTTCTTACGTGCCATAGCATCTGCAGATTTCTGGCTAAAACCTTCATACAGGAGAGGCCAGTTGCCACCAAGAGTGGTTATATCGACAGGACGCCCTGTCTTGACATTTACATATGTCACACATCCTTTGACCTCTGCAACAATGGCTTGTTGCTGTAGAGAGAATAGAGAGGTAACGCCGTGGTTGCGTGTGGGTTCTATCCGTTCTTGGCGGTATGCGGCGATCAACTTGCACCCGTGTGTTAGCGAAGATACTATCGGAAAGGCAGGGGAGATGAGGAAAATATAGAAATATTTGTCTCAAAGGAGGGCGGAGGGCAGATGTCAGAGGAGGACTTTCTTGGCAACGTGAAAACATAGTGCAGGGAAAAGAAGCACTACAGAGTGTACTAACCGAGTCTGGGTACTTGACCTGCCTCCGTATATCCAGTTCATACTTCCTTACAGCTGGAATGACAGTCTTGCCGTTCACCATGCCCTCATATTCCTCCTCGCTAAGAAATTCATCATAGCTCTCCATGACCCGATGGAAGCAGGTGCCTAGAAATGCCATGTACTGCGACTGCTTGACATGCCCAAAGGGATCCTGGTGTTCCGCCCAGAGAACCCCATGCTCGATCATGGTTTTTGGGTCATATCCCATCTTCTCCAGTGTACTGAGTGCCTTCTCGCGGAGAGGGGCATACGGATCAGCATGTGGCCCGGGTTGGGGCGCCCCCGCACGGGTGTATGGGGAGCAGTAGGCCGACTCGGCCAACCGGGAATGCGGCTTGCTCTTCATGGAAATGGCAATTGTGCTAAATAAACGTCTGTGAAGGGATTCCTGTATGCGATACACTTTGGTCGAAGGATTAAGGGGATAGCAGTAATGCGTGGGTCGAAAGTGGACAAATTTGACCCATGGAAGAGGAAGATTTTGGGATAAATATGGTTAGTAAACTAACGAGAAGTTCCCTTTTATATAAATCTCATATTCACAGAGCAGGGGTCGCAATCTGACTGTAAGTTGTACATAGTCAGTCCTTGCTGTGGAGACCGGGGTATGTGTCGGTTCGCACCGACCTGCCTTAATAGTCCATTCAGAATGCAACTGTAAGAAGATCGACCTCCGTAATCCAAACCCCTGTTAGAATACTAATAAAACTCGACCAGCCCAAAAGCCGTTTTTAAAAGAATATATCCAACCCCCATAATGATTCTGCCAGGGGTCGGTAGTTGGTCGGTTCTCGGGATAGTCGGCCTTCTCCACTGCATCAACACCGAAGCTTTCATAACTTTTCATCCACCATTTTGCTTTCTACAGACCTAATGAAGTATCTGGAAATAATTAGCTGAAAAATGACCCATGATTCATTTCCATACTTAAATAGAGCCTGTATGACTCACATTTCATATCTGCTGCATGATAGCCTATCATTTATTTAAGTTTTGAATGCCATCGCTATCTCGTGGGTACCAGGAACAAGTAATGTATTGATACTTTCTCAATCAAGATCTATGTCATCTTGTAAACAAGCCGACTTCAATCACGCAGCTCACGTAGAATTATTAGCGGCAACGGTTCGCCAGGTGACTATTATGGTACCCCTTTCCAGCCATGGGATTTGTGAAATGTGTTTTTCTAAAAGTTTCATGTCCATCAATCTTTCTCTTGCCGGTAGAAACCACGTGATTTCAATTCATCAATGTTCAGAAGCGACACATCTCAGCCTACCCTAAACCTGAACCCATTCCGATAAATGGCCATCGCGTTTAATAAGTTTGACTCTGGGGATCTATCATAATTCAAAATCAATCTTCGTTTTATATCGCTGGATAGCATTCATTTAATAGACCACGGGAAAATATGGAGATGGGGAATCCCAGTTCCAAAATGCAACTTATATCGAGGTGGATGCTACTCTGTAGAATGACGTATGAAAGCGGGACATGCTTCGAGGCTGAACAGCAGAGCTGAGACCGGAATGGGTGTGGCCAATGTTCCCATTCTATGCAAGTATAGCCCACGTAACCTCATGGAGGCTGGAGGCTGCTGAGTGGGTGATCAGCCGCAACGCCTCTTATGAGCATGGCTGATAAGGAGGCTTTGGGTCATGATTGCTAGGTTCAGTCGGCCTCTACTGGCTCCGTGTGGAGAGCAAGCCCTTGTGCCACGCAACCCATACCGCCGTTTTGTGCTGATCATGGGGCATTGGAATCCACATACGTGGTCACTGCGCCACCAGCGAACACGACAGACACGTCCACATTCCGAACGGTCCGCCATATCCGGGGAACGATGACGTTTGAAGGCTCAGGATGGCGATTTTTTGTTGCCATAAATAAACAAATGGTTTTTATATAAGCAATATGGTTCTCCTCCGCAACATTGAAAGAACCACTATTCCATCAACATCAACATCAGCATCACACTACTCTACAGACTACAATCCCACAGCACACTCGACCAACCATTACCATGTCGAACCAGAGCTACTACGGTTACTCCAACAGCCACGCCTACGCTCAGCAGCCCCAGTACCAGCAACCACAATACTCCGCACGACACCTGGGAAACAGCCCCTACAGCCACGGCCAGGGTGGATACATCCCCCCATACCACCAGCAAGCCGACTACTACCGTGCTCCTGCTCCGAACCAGTACAATGGCCACCAGGAAACGCTTGGTCCTGATGGAGAGCGTGGGCTTGGTGCTACAGTTGTAGGCGGAGGCGCTGCTGGCTGGGCTGCCCACAAGGCTGGTTCTGGCATGCTTGGCAGTCTGGCCAGTGCTGCTGCTGGTGCCATCGGGGCGAATGTGCTTGAAAACAAGCTGAAGAAGTGAGTGCTCTGGCAGTCCTGTGCAGCTGTTCAAGATGAGTTAGCTAATCTTTGATGAAAGGTACCGCAACAAGAAGCATAACAAGCATTGATCGATACATCCGACCGACCCAGCGGAATCAACACCTAATAATTACCATTACGATGTATTTCACGCACTGCATTATATTCACAATTCGTGGCGGGTCATTTGTTAGATTTCTGAGCATGGAGTTTTGTGTTTTGCATCGCACGGCAACATCAGCCTAATGATTTTACGGAATTACGGAACATATAGACGTACCTTATATTTTAGTCAAGCAATTGAAGTTAACATTTTAATGATGCGTCCGGGTGACTTGAATTGCCACTCAACATGCCATTGGTATCGACTCCAATTCAATTTTGCCATCTAAATCACACTCTCTGCTGTCTCTATAACTTGGTGCCATCTTCGGAAAACCAGCGGATGTTTTTTTTTTCCCAATCTCACCGATTAATAACTTGCATGTATCTCCTTATTATAGAAAAGACTTTAAAATGGATCATGCACCTGCAGCATTTTCATTTCTACTGGGGCGAAGTGTGCTCAAACTATGCTCTTATCATCTTTCTCGGCAGAATTGACAAGCAAATGAAACCCCATACTATGATTGTAAAGAACTTGCCGTGCCTCAATTTCCTCTAGACCAGTCAGATATTCGCCACACTTCCCAAAGCTACAGCCGTCTCCGGTGTTTCCGAGTCTTTTGGAACAGTTTCCCTGATTTCCTCGGGTTGCGATGGTTGCGCCGGTGTCAACCAACTCCTAAAGGCTTCTTGAAACGAAAGGTTAGCTGGTTCGTAATAGGCACGGAGACTGGAGAGATTACTTACCGAACCAGTTTTCGGCGTTAGCAATGACGGGCGAAATAAGTAATGTCAAAGCAACTATTTGGCCAAAACCAAACTGCCCTTCCCCACCCTGGTCTTCTTCTGTCATATATTGAGCCCCATTTCTCCTAATCGAGAATATCACAGAAGTTTCCCGAATGAAGAAAAATATTGATAGTGAGTGAGTAATCGGTGGCACTGTCGAGACCCAATACACTAGAAGAAAGAAACACCAAGCAACACAGCCAGTGATTTTAAGAAAAAGAAGACATAATATTCGCAAGCAAACCAGCACTATCGAATCGAAATTTTGAGTACTGAAGGATGGCATTTCATCCTTCACCGTGATAAGGCGACTCCAGGATTGATTCAGGAAACGACTGATGCGGTTAAGTGGTGCTTTGATGTAATAGTCAACCAGTAAGAGATTTACCCGACTCAAACATATAGTCTGGCGAATTAGAGAAACCATGGTATGCATCAGTAGTGCGAGCTCTAATGCGAATTCTGGCAGCTTTTTAGACCAATACCCTGGCGCATCGTACGCCCGCTTATTCAATGCCCTAGTGTCGTCTATCCTGAAGAATAAATATAGCGTCAGAATGAAGAGGCACCAAATAAAGACGGTCCGGATAATGTTTCTCTCCAGGTTTGAGACCATGAAAGGATCCGCCGTTATGGCAAAACCTGCCGTAGAGGCCATGAAGACAAGCCAACATATCTCAAGACTAACCCAGTAATGATATACCAGAATATCTCGTTTGGCTATAGCAGCTACAGCTGTTGCAATACCGACTGAAAGTTGGATATCAGCAAGGCTAAAAATGGTCAAATCCAAAATCGAAACGCGATCTTGGACGTCTTGGTGCAAGCCTAGGCAAACTTTGGCGTCTTTCACAGTCACCCACTGGCCTGGATTTGGCGCCAAGGCGGTCCGTGGACGGAATAGATCCATCAAATTAGAATCCTCTCTAAGTTCGCGCATTATTTTAATGGCAACCAATACCATTATCAAGGCCCCAACAGCAATGCTGGAGCTGACAACACCAATCCCGGCCGCATCGGGATCTGGCTTAATGTGTGCCATGTTGCGATGTTCGATTTTTCATTTTGGAATAGCATATGTTGAGACTATATAAGGTTGGTAGTGTACTACCTCAAGCTAGAGAGAGAAATGCTGACCTATTATACGGCAAGGTGGCCAGCGTGGCAATAGCTTCTCAGCCCTCAAGGCTGCGGCTGTCGTTTGCACCAGATTCTCTATTGCGCCACTGGTGGTGGCTGGTTGCAACCTTGTGGCTTATTCCGTAGATATGGGCCAACAGAATCGCCCCGTGGGCTTCAGTCTTACGTTGCAAAGCCCACGCTCATGCAGTAAGCAGCAGATCAGGCTGCCCCGTGGTGATAAGCCAGATACGTGCTACTATATCATTGGCTAATCATAAACAGGATCAGCTGTCAATGCCAATCAACATTCTGCACTTTAGTCAGCTAAGGCATGCACTGCATAACCTGGCAGAATATGAGGCGATAGCAAATGCTCCCCGTGGATGCGGCTGACAATGCTGGCCTCGACAACAGGTCTTCGGCGGCTCATCGTTCTGAGCTAATGGTAGGATAGCCCGCCTCCGAAAAGGAACCTGGGTAATTGCCAATAAAGCTTTAGGTCCAATATTTGTAGACATAAGCCTAAAAATCCAAGATCTGGCCACAAGGCGGGCGATGACGCCTCAGGGATTGGAAATATCAGGGCTAAGTGAAAAGATCTTATCAACGGATTATCATTCAGTATCGCTTTACTCTCAATACAGCCTATAACCCTAATGACTCCTCCCCTTGCCACTCATATACTGTAGTATAGTGAGAGCTTCTGCCAGCCCCAATTTAAAAGCAGTATAAGTTTCGCTGAATATGCTAACGAGGCGTATCCGTGGTAGAAAGATAGCATCGCAGATGTATATGATGCAGCTTGCTCTGTCGGGCCAGAACCTCATAAAGTAGAGTGGAAAACGTCATTAATGCCCATATCATTGGCAAGGATTTGCAGAGACATGCATCCATGGATAATATAATGGCCCAATGATTGGGGTGGGTAGGTGTCGGAAACAGCAATCTTGAGCTGCTTGGGCGGATGGTTACGTCGGACCCATGCTTCTCTGACAGAGCTTGCGGGGAGGTAGAAATTGCTGTGCTGAAGGTCCCCCTCCCCCCCCCCCATGTTGGCGCTTCTCTTACAACCCTTGCGGGGAGGTAGAAATTGCTGTGCTGACGGCATCCCAACTACTACCTCGTATCTTACCTAAAGAGGAAACATACGAGAGTGACTAACCAGCAGCTTCGCAACAGTCGAGTAAAAGTGGATACACCAGGGATCTGCCGTACCTTTCTCAAAGAGGAAACACACGAGCGGCCTGTATACCATCAACCTTAATTTAAATCGAGATGGGTAGACATCAACAACCTCCGGCTTGCTCTCCTGATTCTACGAACATTGATTCCTTTTTTAATTTTCCTTATCTCAACAATTTCATAGTCGGTTTGCTGTTTTGTTATTTTCGAAGGCCTCAGTTTACTCTGACCCTCCTCTACATCCCAAGCTCTCAGCATCATAATTTTCCTATCTCCTGATTGTCCTCCTTTACTAAAGCTCCAGCTTCGAAGAACAGCAACTCAGATCATGGCGGAAGATTCGAAGTCGGCGTCCGAGCTGACGGCCGAAACCAAATCGAGGCCTTCTGAACGGAAACCCGCGTTCTCAGACTACCTCAGGGTCTTCACCTACGCCACCAAGCCAGACTACTTCTTCTACACCGTTGCGTCACTAGCCTCCATCGGAGCTGGCATCACGATGCCTCTAATGAATATCATATTTGGCCAGCTCGTCGGTCAGTTCACCGACTTCTTCCGAGACACGTCATCCATATCCCAAAACGATTTCAAGCAAATTCTCAATAAGCAGGCTCTCTACATCATGGCGCTGTTCTTTGTGCGATGGGCCCTGAGCGCCATCAACAAATTCTGTTTCCGAATGATCGGCATTCGCCTGTCGTCTGCCATCCGCCTCCACTACCTCGAGTCGCTCTTCGCGCAGCCCATCCACGTGATCGACTCCCTTCCAGCGGGCGCACCCGCCACCGCCATCACAGCCACTTCGAATACGCTGCAAATTGGTGTCTCGGATAGGCTGGGTGTGTTTCTGCAATACATGAGCACAATCATCTCGGCACTGGTCATCTCGTTCACCTGGAGCTGGGACCTGACACTGGTGACATCGTCCTTGCTTCTCTACCTGATAGTCCTGCTGTGCATCTTCATGCCCATCATTGTCAAGGGACAAGCCGCTACTCTCAAGGCGGATGCCCAGGGAAACTCGGTTGCTAGTGAGGCACTTGGGGTGATGCGATTGGTCATGTCCTGTGGTGCGCATTCCCGCATCTTCTCCCGTTATCAGGGCTGGGTCATAAAAGCAAAGAAAGAGGGACAGAAAACTGCTCCCGTCGTGGGTATGCAGGTTGGTGGTATGGTAAGTTCAAAATCCAGTATATTCCGTCGGTATCATCCGCCCATAAGTGCCACATATTAACCTATGTCCCGCTTAGTTCTTTGGAGTTTTTGGAGCATTCGGCTTGGCGTTCTGGTACGGAACTCAGAGGTACGCCTCTGGCCACATCAGCAACGCTGGAGTCGTCGTTGTCGTCCTCATGTCAGTCATGCTGATATTCAACTCTGTGGAACGCATCTCGACACCTTTGATTGCGGTCAGCAAAGCTATGGTAGCTGCTTGCGAGCTGTTTACTGTCATCGATGCTCCACAACCCCCCTTGGGCAGTCTCATCCCCGAAAGTACTTCCGAGGACCTCATCTTTGACAACGTGGTCTTTGAATACCCCAGTCGGCCAGGCGTAAAGGCTCTTGATGGGTTGAACCTTCGCATTCGCTCTGGTAAAAACACGGCTCTCGTTGGGCCTTCTGGGTCTGGTAAGAGTACTGTCGTCGCTCTTCTAGAACGTTGGTACAGCCTACGATCGCATTATACTCTACCAAAGGTGGCACTGGGTCAGGATCAGGCAAATCCATCGGAAGACGAAAAGGGAGATCATGTGGCAAGTGATTCTGAGACACCTTCCGGTCCGGCTCTTTCTGGGTCCGTTTCCTTTGGTGCCCTTGATCTCGAGGACATTGATGTTAAGTGGTGGAGAGCTCAGATCGGCCTCGTTCAACAAGAGCCCTTCCTCTTTAACGACACCATCTTTAAGAACGTTGTGAATGGCCTCATTGGAACCGAGTATGAGGATGAGCCCGAGAGTCGGAAGCGAGAGCTAGTTCGAGATGCTTGTAACGAAGCATGCGCACACGAGTTTATCAGCCGTTTACCAGATGTGTGTATACCATTTGCTTTCGCACCCCTTCTTCCTCGCCACGTTACCTCATTTCTATTGGAAAAACCAGTGCTAACCTTTGTTACCTAGGGATACGATACTCGAGTCGGAGACGGGGGTGCCAAATTAAGCGGAGGGCAGAAACAACGAATCGCCATCGCCAGGAGCATCATCAAGAAGCCAAAGATCGTCATTCTCGACGAAGCAACCAGTGCAATTGATGTCCAGAGCGAAAAGCATGTCCAAGAAGCTCTCGAACGCCTTGTTAAGAACCACACAACAATTACCATCGCCCACAGACTATCAACTATCAAGAAGGCTGATCATATTGTTGTGCTGAAGCGCGGTCAGGCTGTTGAGGAAGGCACACATCAGGACCTGTTGAGTATTGAAGGCGGTGTTTATAGCGCCCTGGTTCGAGCACAAGCGCTTTTAGGCTCTCATGAGGGCGAGGACGAGAGCTCATCAACAGATATCAAGGTTGCTCTCAGCGAGAAGACTGATACCCTCCCTGAAAAGGCGCCTCATACAGTCCAGGTCGAAACCAGTCAGAGCAGAGACCCCACGCAACGAAATCGTGGATTCGTCTACAGCTTGGCATTAATGTTAAGCGAGCAGCGAGCACAGTGGCGAAATATGATGAACCTAGTCATCTCTGCGATGGCCGTTGCTGCCGGCACCCCTATCCAAGCCTGGCTCTTTGCCAAGGCGATAGCAGTATTCATTCTAGAAGGGGATGAGTTGCGAGCGAAAAGCAACTTTTGGGGGCTCATGTGGCTTGCCCTGGCCGGCGGGTTTGGCATCGCCTGGTTCTCCCAGACTTGGAACAGTGTGCATCTGCAGTACGGAATCAGCGCTGCCTACAAGCAGCAGTACTTTCGCGACATGCTGCAGCAGAGGCTTTCCTTCCATGACGAGGAAGACAATGCCCACGGTACGCTGAGTTACCGCATCTCAAGCGACGCAAAGCAGTTGGAGGAACTGTTCGGGCTTAACCTGGCCGCTGCCTTGACTGGCATATTCACCTTCACCGGATGCATCATTATCGCACTGATTTTCAGCTGGAGACTAGGACTCGTTGCCGCCTTCGCCACGATGCCAGTCATGGTCGGCGCCGGGTTGTGGAGATACCGCCACGAGGTTCAGTTTGATGAGATGAACTCTTCTGTGTTTAAGGAGAGTTCACTGTTCGCCACCGAGGCAATCGGCTCCATTCGGACGGTGTCCTCGCTTGGAATGGAGCAATTCATCAACTCCCGGTACGCCAAGCTCCTCAGCGAGCATGTTCAGACAGCGCTCCGCAAGGCCCAGTGGACGGCACCTGTTTACGGTTTCGCCGACAGCGTGAGCTTGGGATGCCAGGCGCTAGTCTTTTGGTACGGAGGCAGCCTCTTGTCCAAAGGCGAGCTCTCCATGGATGCCTTCTTCGTCTGCTTCATGGCCATCATGCAAGGTTCAGAGTCATCGAGCCAGATTCTCTCAGTCTCGCCCGACTTCGCGCAGGCAATAGCAGCTGCGAACCGCATCCGAGGCGTGCACGAATCAGCGGTTTTAAACGAAAAGATGTTCGAGAGCGGCTCTAGCCGAAGTGAAGACCTCAGTGGAAATGTTCGGCTTGAGCTGAAAGATGTGTCTTTCAAATATCCTACCCGAAATATTCCTGTTTTCGATCATCTCAATCTTTGCATTGAGAAAGAACAGTATGTGG